ACGATACTTTTACCCTATTTGAAGGTAATAAGATGATTTAAATAAAGTTCTTTCAACAATGAATTCTATTGATCCTGCTATTCAGTTCACTTTTGAACTTGAGACTTGCATTTCTCTTCCGTTTCTCGACATTCTGGTCACACGTAACACATCCAACTTCAGTACTATGGTTTACCATAAACCTTCATCGGTTTGCTTTCCACCACACTTTAAATCATGTCATCCGACTAAACAAAAGTTAGCTTCATTTTATTCCTGTGTTTTCCGTGCTCTTCAAGTTTGCTCCTCCAAAACAGCCTTTGATGAAGAACTAAATTATTTAAAAGCAATAGCTATTGACAGGGCCCAACATTATTAATCAAGCAGTTAAAAAATTCTCATCTCAGCACACTCTTGTTTTAGGAGATTATAAAACTTCTGTTGTCATTCCCTTCTTTCCATCAATTAGCTATCAAGTTGCACATATTTTGCAGAAATTTAACTTTCGGGTTGTTTATTCTCCCATCAATAAAATTCCGAGTTCCATATTCAAGGACCCCATTCCAGATATGAATTCCGGGGTATTTATAGGATTCCTTGCCAGTGTGGTTTAATTTACATTGGCCAAACTAAGAGAGCCTTAAAATTTCGCGTCAAGGAACATGAGGCATATGTCAGAAAAAAGGAATGAATATTTAAGGCTTTTATGCGGTGCCCGATTTCCTTAATGCCCTAAGCACACATTTATATTGCTTAATGGTTAATTCAGCCTTGACTACTTTGCAAAATTTTGGTTATTTTTATCCTCACTAGGTAAATTCTTTTTTTTTTTTTTTTTGACATATATTACTGGAAAACTAAATCTCAATGCAGCAATAACTATAGCTCGATTTAATAGGTTTAGGCATATGATAATATTTAGTCTGAATTGGAAAATTATGAAGAGGTTCAAATTCCGGCATAACTTTACCTGTTGAAAAAAGAAATAGGATTTTGAAAATTATTATTATTAAAATTATTCATTAATAACTCTATCATTTCACTTTTTCTTTTTCATTTAAATGATCTAGTTTAAAATCTGGTACATCTAATTCTTCTTTCCTTAGTTTCGTCAGCTCTTGTAAATATAATATATTTATAAAGTCATTGACTTTGTGGATTAATAATATTCTCAACATCAGATGGCTCAGTAGTTCCACTAACCGAATTTTTTCTCAAAATTAGTTTCTCACTTGAAGTATTACCGTATATACCCGCGTATAAGTCGACCCCCCACTTCGACATAAAAAATTCGTAGAAAATAAGAAACCCGTGTATAAATCGACCCCCCACTTCCGAAATCGATCGAGAAACTTCGAAAAATTTTTTTAAAGTACTACATTTATTCAAAATCATCTGAGAAAAAAAAGTAAATATACGATAAAAAATACCTTGGTAAATAAACAAAATCAAAATCCTTCAACGTCCGATTCATGGTCAGATTCGCCAAACATTTCATATTCTGTCGTCATTGGCTCGTCATCATACATATTTTCAGTCTCGAACTCTGTATAGCTCATAATAACTACTTTATTGTGTTGACTTAAAAACATGATAACAGTTGATATCAGTGGCATCAAAATATACTATGCACCTATCCACAGGCGCATAGTGTTTTGGATTTCTTCCCAATTTTAAGCAAGCACTGTGAGCAATCAGAGATTGGAATTTGAAGAGATAACGATGTTTTTATAGGTATTGGCCGTGAGATTTGTACCAACTGAACTGCACTTGTTCTATCAACTGATATTTTTACATCTTTCTCTGAAGGCATTGTTTTTCATTATTTAGAAAACTTTAACAGTGACACTATTGTTATTAACAATAACACTATTAAAAGCAAATACAGTGGAGTCTCGAAATACGAGCAACTCTATATACGAGAAAATCGAGATACAAGGAAAGCATGAGCGAAACCTTCGTGTCTAAATATGAGCATTTACTCGAGAAACGAGTAGCGAGCCAGGCTGTTGGTATGCGTTGCGCGTTTCCCGATCTGGTTCGACTCGGAAAATCCTCTCTTCGTCAGATCAACTCCAGTGTTCTTTGAACTACGTGTTTGTGAGCTTGTGAGTTATATGTTTTTACTTTTAATGAGAAAATAGTTATTTCACGATGCCTCCCAAGAAGGTTGTTGCCTCAGATAGTAATGAAAAAAAAAAAAAAAAAAAAAAAGAAGGAAGTCATGGCCGTTGAAATTAAGACAAACATAAGCGTGGTGTATACGAAATACGGAATAGATACGGAGAGACGGAATATACGAAGATTCACGGCCATTCGGGGGACATCGACGATATGCATTGTTCTGAAGAAGAAAGAAGAAATTAAAAACTTGCTGCGGCCAAAGAAGTTACCGTTACATCCAAGCACCGTCTAAAACTCCTATAAAATGTTGAGAAACTGTTGTTGGTGTGCATTAACGAGAACAGTTAAAAGGCAATTCGGCGTCGGAAGCTATTATTGCGCTAAGGTAGCATCTGTTTGACCTTCTCCGAAAACGCCAGGTCTCGATGAAGAGAGATGGCAATGAGTTTTTGGAGTCGACGTTATAACCCGCGTATACGTCGATACCGCGTATAAGTCGACCCCCCCCCCACACTTCGACATAAAAAATTCGTAGAAAATAAGAAACCCGCGTATAAGTCGACCCCCCACTTCCGAAATCGATCGAGAAACTTCGAAAAAATTTTTTAAGTACTACATTTATTCAAAATCATCTGAGAAAAAAAAGTAAATATACGATAAAAAAATACCTTGGTAAATAAACAAAATCAAAATCCTTCAACGTCCGATTCATGGTCAGATTCGCCAAACATTTCATAGAACTCTTCTGTCGTCATTGGCTCGTCATCATACATATTTTCAGTCTCGAACTCTGTATTGTTACAATCACTACTAGAGCCTTCGTCGTCATTTTCACTTTCAAAAACAGCATCATCTTCCGTGCCGTCTAGTTCGTTGCTAATACAACATTTTTTAAATGATTTTATAATCATTTCAGAGGGTATTTCGTTCCAAGCATCTTTAACCCACTGAGCAATTAATGTAATATCGGGCTTTTTAATGTTGCCTCCTTTTGTAAATGTTGGTCGACCGGAACTAATCCACTCTGCCCAATATTTTCTAACATTTATTTTGAAGGGCTTTTTGAGGAAGATATCTAGGGGTTGAATGACAGATGTCAATCCTCCCGGAATTACGGCCACAGTCGTTTTTAGGTGTTCTGTCACTTCTTCAGAAAATTTTTGAACTTCCGATTCTTTTAATTTTTTATGGCCCCGCGTATAAGTCGACCCCCCCCTTTGAAGTCTTTTTTTGGTCCAAAATATCTCGACTTATACGCGGGTATATACGGTATTAATAATGGTTATAATAACGAACTGTATGATAAGACCGATTACTATGGACTTTAATTTTTTATTTTTCGTATAAAAAATTAAAGTCCATAGTGATCACAGTTGCTTACAAAAGATATTAAATATAATGCTTTGCATATATGCAATATAAAAAAAATTGCAGAGAAAATACGATTATAGCTTATTGAAAAAGGTAAGTAGGACAAACAATTTTCAGGCATTTGGGTAAAAAATATTTATTAAATTTTACAAGATAAAAAAACTGATGAAAAAATTAACAATTTTTAAAAAGATTTATTTGTAGAAAAATTCTCAATTTAGTTTACAAAAAAATCCCAAATAATTGATTCATGAGTAATCATTCCATGGTATTTGAATTAAAAAAATTAGCTTGAAAAATTCTATTTTCTTCAATTACAACCTGCCAATTAAGTTACAACTTAATGCTATCTATTGAGTAAAAATAGAGAAAGAAATAAGATGAGGATTTGAAATGCATCAGTAAGAATGGGATTAGTATTAAAATGCTTTTCATCAGCTAAAGATTTTTTTATACTATTTATCAGGGGAAAAAAATATAAAAGAATATTTAAGGGACTACCATATATTAGCAATGAAAGATGAGTTAATCTTTGTTTTTTCTGTTAGAAGATTTAAATTTTGTAATACAAAATTTTGAAGTTATCTTAATTTAGCTAATTATGTTATGTTACATTACAAGATTTATGATAAATTTTACAATTAAAAATCTGACATAAAATCTCTAAGGACTGAACCATAACTTTTCTTTAAAGAAGATAAATTAAAAGTTGACCTGAGAAATTTGGAGAAATTTTTTTCACTAATTAGGTTTACTATAAAACTGTTATTCATTTAACTGAAAAAAAATTGTTTATACTATAATATGGAATTTTTTATGAAAAAGAGAAACTGTGTTCTAGAAAGGTTGTTTCTAGAAAGATTGACAATACGAACTAAACTTGAGTCTGATTTCAGGACGTTCAATGTCACAATTTAACTTATTGCTCTTTATGTCATCAAAATACAGTTAATTCTTCTAACACTATTTTCCTGCAACAACTTGACAGTGTTATTAACTATTCAGTATAATCAGAAGTACATTGATTCAAATTATTGTAATACAAATTTAAAAAATAAAGATTTTTAAAATGGGGGCATAATATTACAAAATATGGGTTGTTATATACATAAAAAGTGAGAAAATGTGTTTTTTTTTTTAATATTATACTTAAATTCCATGCACCAAAAACTATGTAATTTTTCTTAAATTCCTTTTTTATTAACTCAAGAATCAATTTTTTATTAAATTAAGAATTTTAGAAATTTAAGAATGTGAATTTAGTAATTTTTTAAATATATTTTTTTTAAATTCCATCTTGTAGAAAAGTTTAAATGCGATTTTTAAAATATTGTTACATACAGAAAAGAAATGGAAAAAAAAAAAAAATAGGAAAATATGTTTCTCTTTAATGAACTTTTCCATAAAATGCATTTTCTTCAATGGTGGTGATTTGCAATAATAGTTTTGTGAAATAATTATTTACTTCATTCAAAACAATAAAATTTTATTCTAAAATTTCAGATAATACTACTACAAAGAGAATATTCATCCATAAAATTATAATAGTTAAAAAATTTGCATTTATTAACCTCAATTAATTTTTCTCAATATTAATAGCTATAAAATTTGAGATAACAATACTTAAATAATCCTATAATACTATAATAAAGTATGATATACGTCATTTGAATTTTAAAATGGAAAATAACTATGTTCATAAAATAGATCGAACAAATTTAACACAAGTTTAACAATTTTTTACAAATTTAACATAAATATATGAACATTAAAGAAGAAGGAATCTTATCTGCAAACGAAAAGTTCAAACACACAAAAATATCTTATCAAGGCACTTTAAGTATTGATAAATAGATTTACAGAAGTACTCACAAAGTATGTTTATAATAAAGGAACTTCATTATAAAATACATTTTCTCATTATTTCATTCTATCAAGAAAAGTCGATAATTTTCACATTACTAACTCCACACTATCACAAATGATTTCAGCAAACTGAAGTTTGTAAAGGAGATGAACAAAAAGCCCTGAAACGAAACATAAAATGCTTTGTAAAAAGTAAAATCATGTATACATAGCAGGTAACACCTGTAACTAACACTATCATTACAGAATGAAAGAATTAGTTATTAATATGGAAAATATCAGGATTTATTTGATATATGACTTACAATAGCAATGTTTTTGAAATGGTGGTAATAGGTTTTATTTCTTTTAGTATTGACTCTAAGCAATTTTATTTAGAAAGTTTCTTAACATTAGGCAGAAAATTTTATGAAAAACGTTAACAAATTTGAGAATCAGCTACAAAACAGAAGTTGATCTGCATCTAATAATTCCATTTAGGGAAACATACCCTTCATACCTACACACACTTCACCCGGTTCCTCAAAAATATTTATTAAAAATAGAAGTAATAATCCAAAAAGGAACCACCTTTCCCATAAAAATGTGGAGCCTACTCTCGCCCCCTCCCCCCCCAAAAAAAATTCAACAAGGATAATGAAACAAAATTTACATTCATTTTTATGGAACTCTCACATCTGTACTTTTGAAAGTGTTCTCATAATAGAAAATTTCTGAAGATGTCGGAAAGTTCAAAAATACTCAAATACTGCTGATAATGTTGATATGAAACTACACATATTTACTACATAATTAAATAATTACATACAAATTTATGATATATAAGCAAAATAAAAATTAATAACAAGTATAAATAATGGCAAATAAGACAAAAATGGGGGTGACAAATCAAAATTCATACACAACAAAAATTTGCTAAAATTGTATTAAGAATCCATGCAGTGTGAGAAGAAAAAAGAATGGATAAAACGATCGAAGGAAAAGATAAAAACACGAAATATTTAAAAAACTGACAAGCAGAAAATTTAATAAAAGGAAGTTTAAACAAAAAATTCCAAAAACTGTGAACATAATAAAAGCCTAAAGGGAAAGGATTAAAAGATTAACAGAAAAGGAAATAAAACAACTTATCTAAATTGTGGGTCAAATTTCTCAGCCAACTGTCTTATTTTTAATTTTTTTTAGATTAGATGGGAATTTTAAAAATCATTTCTAAGTCACTGTTTTTCCTCAGTGCTTTCTCGTGATCTGTTTACTGTAAACAAATTGAAATGTAAGCTAAATAATGCTTTTTGGATAAATAATTTAAAATTAACGAAAAAATTCAGTTCAAAGAAATCTACAGCATTCTGTGTAAACAGAGACATAAAGGTCAATTTCTCTTCAAAAATCTTTCCTGAGGGTTCCCTGCCCATTGGCAGATAACTAAATAATCCATTATAACTGTCAAATCAGCAGTAAAACAAAGTCCACATAAAAATGAAGATGGAATATTTTAAAATATAAACAATTAAAAAATAGTAAAAAAAAATTATAATTTCATTATCATTTGCAAAACAGTTGAGTTCATTTATAATACTATATACACTATATACCAGATATATAGGTTTACAGATATATATACTATTACATATTATATATAATAGTAAATAAGTTAGTTAAATTAAGAACTTTGCAAGAAATTGCATAAATGTGGCACTTTTTACAAATATAGGCATACTTATTTATAAATTGCATACTTGTTTACTATTATATATATATATATATATATAATACTATATACCAGAGGTATACTGCTATCCATCTTCAATATTGTGCTTAATCATAAGGAATTATTTATGTCTTCTATGAGTAATAAACAGATATTTAAATTGCATTAATATAAATTTAAGAAACAGAATATTTAAAATTCTTTATGAAGAGTTTTTTGCATTATTAATATGAAAATATTTTTTATTAAAATTAAAATCTGGATTTTCAAGACTTTAACTACATAAGTTAGATTTTTTGTCTCTCTGTTACAGAAAACTCAATAAGACTTGATTATGTTTGCATACTATAAAACAAGCACACATCAAGAACTAGGTAAAAAATAAAACAGAAATAATTTACTTACTTCTGGTTTATAAAACATAAACTGGCATTTCCAGTTATCTAGAACAGTTACATTAGCAAATTCCTCTTGTTCAGAATGTTCAGGATTTTGCGCCAAAAATCTTCCATAATTATTACTATTATTCAAACTGTTCGAATTATTCTGAAATGAATGAACAAAATTTAAGATTATTTTAAAATTAAAAGGAAAATATTTGACAGTTTCAGTATCTCAATAATATCTTCCTATAACAAACTAGCTTGAATATTTTACCAGTACTGTAACTGAAATATTGCAAAATGATTTCTTCTTTTTTTGAAAAAAAAAAAAAAAAAAAAAAAAAAAAAAAAAAAAAAAAAAAGCGAGAGAGAGATAGATCAACCAATAACTTATGGGGCTGAGAGATAATTACAATAATAACCTTTCTTTTTATAAAAGCTAGATTAAATAACTAATGGAACTAGCTGACAATTACAATTTAACACAACCCTCTAAAGTTAAAAATTTAAATTAACAAGGATACATTTAAAGTATCATTATAAAAGTGTCATTTGTTAGCTGTAAATTTCCTTCTGTGTTTTTACCCATGTGTACTAACTATACAAGCTAATTTCCCTAAGAAGGTCCTCAATGAAAACATCTCTTTTTCCCAAGTTTAGCTGCATTTGACCAAACAAACAATATCTGAAAATTGCTGGCTACAGCTTAGGCTGCGAATAAAAATAATTCTGCTTCTCTCTTCTTCTTCTAAGTTTGAAATATTATGCAGCCAAAAATGGACATGAAAAACTCTTCTCTAAGGAAAAGAAGAAAATTTTAATTAATTGATCACCATCGCTTTACATATCCAGAGGTATACTGTTCTACATTCAAAGGATATTTTTATAATATTTGTGTCTGATTGCTTGCATTTTATTTATTGTCATTTTTGTAATGTTATACATTGATTTCATTTACTTATTTAGCACAGTAATTTTATGTTATAGTTCATGTATGCTTTGATTAATTATGAATTTCTGTTAACTGATTTTTATATGTGTTTGATTCACATATTATTTTGTAGAATTTTGAATTCTGAATCAGCTAATTTTGGGTTTGTATGAACAACTAAAATAGAATCAGAGATATATACGTAGTCCCTGATTGGGCATTGGACACACTTTGTGATTTTTTGCCATTGCATATTTAACAGAAGTTGGGAAAACATAAATTTCTTGCTAATTAAAAACTTCTTTTTAAATATTCAAAATTGTACAGTTTATTCTTAAAAGTTCTTTTTTATGTATTTAAATTAAATCTTAATAAATTTTTAAAAGCTTCATTCATAACAACATTCAAAAATTGCTTCAAGATTTATAAAACTTTCTGACTATTCTTTGAGTGAAATATCAGTCACATTATAGAATAACAAGCTTGCCATGCCAGCTTATGAACACAGAAGACAATTCAAATTCAGGTTTGACTATGTCATTTCACTCGCTAGAAGTGTTACTCTCACTCTGTTCTATATATTACCTTTCAACAAAAATAACTTTATTCAGCATTCTTCTGTTCTATATATTACCTTTCAACAAAAATAACTTTATTCAGCATTCTTGATAGGAATTCTAAAAACTACAAGACTCTAAAAAGCTATTAAGATATTTAAAGTAATTTCAGAAAATAGGCAAAAAAGGGAATTAAAAACATTATTTCTATGGCCTATATTGTTTAAATGCAGGAAGGTAATATTCTATCAGTTATATGGCCCATTTAGATAAATATATTATCCTATAAAGAATAATATAAATTGGAAATGTTAAAATAATCACTGTTTAAATAGGCATAACAAATTAATGTTTTTTGATGACTAAGAAAATTTTTGACCCTGAAAGTTATGTTCTGTTTAATAGATAGCTTTACGCATATTTTTAATTACATCTCCTGTTTGGCATTAAATTTGATTCTATTATTTATTGTTGTATATTTCAACATTATTCTTCATTAAATGAAATAATTATTATACTTATGTTTTTTACTTAGGAACGAGACTTGTACAACTACAAATATCAATAAATACATTTTACCATTTACAGTCATATTTTTATCTCAGATATTTATATATTTTTGGTTAGAATAATTTTCTACTCATTATGCCCTAATTCAATAAACTTGTATAAAATAAAACTGAATAAACAATCTGCCTTTTTAGATCTGTGTATTCCAAAATGAGCCTTATTCTTCAGAATGGAAAATTACAATTTCTGATTTTTTTATTATGTAATATCTTTTTGAAGTATTCTCCAATACATAATTGGGATAATTTTGCAATGAATTGTAATAAAAAAAAGTGCATTGAAAAAAGCTCTTATCCTTAATCTAAGCTTTCTGTATAAGCGAAGTTAAAACTTGTTAAAACAGTGGTGTAATTATTAAAATTATAGAAGCTATGAAAAAATAATAAATTAATCACACTTATTTATTGTTTCAAACAGAACTTGTCAAGTATTTAAAACATTAAACCAGGTTGATTAATGAGTGCTGAATAACATGTTTCATTCCTCTCGACACTGCAAGACTCTAAACCATTGCAAATTAATTTCCTTTTCGAAAAACTATTCCTCAGGTAGTCTTGCATTCTTGAAGACATGTTATCCCCACTCTTTGAATTAAATTACTGTAAAAATAAAAAACCTTATAAAAGTAAAAATGTGTAAAATAAAATTAAAACATGAAAATTACAAAAATATAGTAAATTGAAAGAAAAACAAGTAGTACTTACTGCACATGAAAACACTGAAAATGTTATTTATACAAGTTATGAAACATTTATGGGTAGTCAAATTTGCAATTAAAAAAGGGCTGTCTCATAAACTTGAAGTCCTATCTAATTTAACTTTTTTACTTGTGATAAAGCAAATTTGAATTAATAAAAAAATAGAAAATATACTTACTAAAATATCTCTAGATATGCATTCCACGCCATTAACAGTAACCTTCTCAAGGGAAAAATCTATTCCAGTAATCTGAATTTGACCCAATACCATTCCAGTTTCATATCCTTTCTTTACCACAGTACTATTAAATCCATTCTGTATGAAAATAATTATAAACAATTTAATAATAAATTATAATACAAAATCAGAAAAAATTCAGATTATAGTTTTCCAAATTATTATTTCAAAAACAATTTAAGTCAACTAACATACCTGAAAATATACTTTCCTTGGCATAAGACAGATATTATATAGTCAGTAAAAACACTGCGTTATATGCATTTTAATATTTCACAGATTTATGATCAAAAACATTTTCATGATGTGATATAATACATACATTTGGTTGAGTTTTTAGAATTACCGTTTATACTGAAAGGCCATTAATGATCATTTGGCAGTTTATTTCCCATCAGCATAAGTTTATCTTTGGTTTGAAAGTCTTCAATTTATATCAGTTTTATTGTAATATCAATGGCAGATACTCACTTGCATTGTTTTCTGAAACATGTAGAAATAACATCATAACTTAATAAAATAAACAATTTTCTCAATCTTATTAACTATTTTTATGATATCACTATCATTAAATAATAAACTATTCCTGTAGTTCTTTAGATTGGATTTCTTAACCATTTTCACCATTCTCAAATGAGAAACAATATAATGGATTCTTCTTTAATCCTTTCAATGATCAGTAAAGATTCTAGGAATTGAATCAAGGAAATTATTTTTCTTCGCAGTCTCTGATGTCGTTATACATATTTCAATGTTAATACAGTCAAAAGTCGTTAATCCGGACTCGTCGGGACTTCGGCGATTCCGGATTATCGATTTTTCCGGATTATAGATCATCAGAATATTTATTTGTTTACTTTATAAAACATTTCTTTCAATGTACGTTGTTTAAGTTGCTTCGTTTTTTATGTGATAATACATTTTCTTTAATTCTATAAACAGACATAATTTCTTGTTCAGTTACAAAGTTCCGCTGTTCAAGTCCTATAATTGCTGTGTCTACCGACTAATTTGTCAATCGAATTTTTCGTTTTCAATAACCTCTGTCACTTTCTTCGCTATCGGAAGCGAATTATAAGACGAGGCATTTGATTTAAATCATATCAAAGACAGAGTACATCGAGAGGAAATACCACATTTAGTAAGCAATTATAAGCCAAATAAAATAAAAACATCTGCCCTTAAGATAGGATAGTGGTTGACAGATCAACTTTCAATTCATTGCGGTCCGCGTCGTAAAGATAAACAAGTTTAGATAAACAAACGTTAAAATTTAGATAAGCAAAGGATATGCGTTTATCCATTTTTGCAGCAATTCCACTTTTTGTTTAATGGACTCCGAAACATACTTTCGCTTTGTATATCCTTTACAATTAGTAATAATATCGAAAATTCTATTGAAATAATCGAAAGTTCAAGCTTACTTTTATAAATTGCTCTAACAGTCTGCAAAAAAAATAAGCCGGATCCAATTCGAAGATTAAGGAACAACGCAATCTGCAACATTAACTGAAATAGATAATTAGATAATTTTAGCTTAGCTATCCCGTCTGTTATACATTAAACGCGCATTCGTAAACGTATTTTGCGCGTACGCAAATTTGCAGCCGTAAAGGTCTTACGCGCATGCGTCAACGCGACGCATGCGCAGAAAGTTTGTAGCTTTGAGGTCCGGATTATACATCATTCCGGATTATGGATGTTCGAATCAACGACTTTTGACTGCATTTACTTCCTGAATCAAGAACTTATTTTGAATAACTTATAACACTAATTTATTTATAGTCATCGTTATTTTAGATAAATCCACTATCTAGATACAACAGGATTGATGGAATGATGACAAGGAAAAATTATATCCAACAGATAATTAATAATGAAAGTAGTAAGTCATAGAGCAAATGAATATTTTTCTTCTATTTCTCCATGGTATTATTCAGATCATTTAAAAACTCTCTATAAATTGCTCTTACCATTTAAGTTTTCTTATTAATACTATTTTGGACCATCTGAAAGTCAATTGATTTTTATGTTTTTAATATAGAGACATCCATAAATTTCTAATTATGCATGGTTTTTCAAATCTTCCATATATGGATATAGCCAAAAAGACAATCACTCATTTTAGCAACTGACAATTTCTTTAAACTGCAAACAGGGCCAAGCAGACAATAAGCAAAACTTTTGAAAACCAATTATGAGCATGCTTTTGATCTTAAATTTTCATCATTCTACTACACAATGTCCCTAGAAAAGAGCTGTTTCATAGAGCCATTGTCAGTGTTTTCTAGTATTATATTTTCTAATGATCTTTCTTAATTTTGTGAATTAATTTTTAAAAATGTCTTTACCCATTCATTATGTTTGTTTTCTCACAAGATAACTGGAAAAAATAATGAAATGAGAATATTTTATGCAGAAGAAACCAGTCATTAAAAGCTATTAATATCTGTATAATTTCCATAGTTTTTCTCCTTGATATTTACGTTGCTACAGTAAGTGTTTTCCTATTTTCCCATTTTCATATCCTTTTACAATGAGTATTTTCATTTGATCTTATTTATGACTTGTTAAAAAGTTAGCAATATATTTTCATCATTTTGTGAAATAAAAGGATATAGCAATAGTGTAAATTATAATTTCGGTGGTATATAAACCAAATTCCTTATGTTACTTTTATTCAAAATTTTAAAATTTATACATCATTAAATCTTCACTAAACCTTCTTAGTTTTTCACGTTCAAGAATACTAAAATACTTTACTAAATGATGTATGTTATTGATGCATAATTAATATTACATTATATGTATTATGACTACATTGCATGGCAGTGAAAATGAAACACCATGAATGCATGCTAAGAAACTGATGAATCAACAAAGGGAGAGACACTGCAATGAACTAAAAGTGATGTTTATTACAACATGATACACTTACAAAAAGAGTGACTCTACAGTATGCTCAATCAGTTGTAGGACCACCATTGGTGATGATACAAGCAGCAAAATATCTGGGTACAGTTGCAAAAGTCAAGTAGATTGTCTCCTGAGGGACAGATACCCATTCCCTGCTAACCATTTGCCACAGTTCATCTTCTGAGTGTGGCACAAGCCAAATGACATCCGAACATATTTCAGACGTGTTCGACAGGTGAGAAATCTAGGGAGACAGGTGTCCATGGAAGCACCCGGGTTCCTTGCACAGCCCACTAGCTGATGCACACCATGTGCAGTCTGGCTTTGTCTTGCTTGTAAATGATTTTTGACACTGCATGAAGGAAGGGTAGGGGTATTTGATGGAGCATATCTTCCATGTATCATTGGGTTGTTATACTGTTATACTGCCAACAATGCAGACTACTAGTGATCTGCTATCATAGGCGATGGAATCCCAAACCCAAACAGCATGTTTTCATGCAGTGTGGCATTCCACAATTGTGGCCGGATTGTACCTCTCACACTGTCACTATTAGATTTGTACACGGTGACTGACACTGCTAAATAAAAGTGTGACTCATCAGAAAACACCACACTCAAATGTTCACAAGGCACCACCACAAATGGAGGCAGCGACACCATTACAAATGGAGGTACCCGTACCTCAAAGGCAGCCTTCTTAAAAGATGCCATACACATAGGACAGCAGTTGACAGTTTGGCACTCCATGAAGGAAGGGTAGGATTACTTGATGGAACATGTCTTCCATGTATGGTTGGGTTGTTATAGTGCTAACAATGCAGACTGCTAGTGATCTGCTATCACAGGCAATGGAATCCCGAACCAAAACAGCATGTTTTCATGCAGTGTGATATTCCACAATTGTGGCCGGATTGTACCTCTCACAATGTCACCATTAGATTCGTATATGGTGACTGTCCCTGCTTAAATAAAAGCATGACTCATCAGGAAACACCACACTCAGAAGTTCACAAGGCTCTGTTCCAACACCATCATAAATGAAGGCACCTGTACCTCAATGGCAGCCTTCTTAACAGATGCCATACACATGGGTCAGCGGTTGACAGTAGGTGAATAATTGTTTTGGTTGTTATGGGAGCATCAAGAGTGTCCTGCACCTGCCATAATGAGGACAAATGTGGCCTGCAGGGTAACCATCGCACACCTGCGCATAGGTCGGTCTGCGCGCTGGTAGAACTGTCATCCGTTAATGCACCACATTTCTTTCTTCCAACCATCTCTACCACAGTTGGTATGCCATACAAGGGAGTAAGTGCCTTGGAAAATTATTATTCTGCCTGACAGAGGGTACATGGTGTCTACCCTGCAATTTGCATGTTCTTTGGAGCATGCAATTATGGTACAGTCAAAAGTCGTTAATTCGGACACCTATAATCCGGACCTCAAAGCTACAAACTTTCTGCGCATGCGTCGCGTTGACGCAAGCGCGTAAGACCTTTACCGTTGCGAATTTGCGTGTGCGCGTGCGCAAAATACGTTTACGAATGCGCGTTTAATGTATAACGGACGGGATAAGCGAAGCTAAAATTATCTAATTATCTATTTCAGTTAATGTTGCAGATTGCGTTGTTCCTTAATGTTCGAGTTGGATCCGGATTATTATTTTTTGCAGACTGTTAGAGTAATTTTATAAAAGTAAGCTTGAACTTTCGATTATGTCAAATAGAATTTCCGATATATATTTACTAATATGTAAAGGATATACAAAGCGAAAGTATCTTTCGGAGTCCATTAAACAAAAAATGGAATTGCTGCAAAAAATGGATAAAGGCATATTCTTTGTTTATCTAAACTTAAACGTTTGTTTATCTAAACTTTGTTTATCTTTAACGCCGCAGCGGCGTGCAATTAATTGGAAGTTGATTTGTCAGCACTATCCTTATCTTAAGAGCAGATGTTTTTATTTTATTTGGCTTATAATTGCTTACTCAATGTAGTATTTCATCTCAATGTACTCCGTCTTTGATATGATTTAAATCAAATGCCTCGTCATTAGAATTCGCTTCCGATAGTGAAGAAAGTGACATAGGTTATTGAAAACGAAAAAATTTCGATTGACAAATTAGTCGTTATTCTCGACACAGCAATTATAGGACTTGAACAGCAGAACTTCGTAACCGAACAAGAAATTATGTCTGTTTATAGAATTAAAGAGAATGCATTATCACATAAAAAACGAAGCAACTGAAACAACTTACATTGAAAGAAATGTTTAATAAAGTAAACAAATAAATATTAAGCTTTTTTTTGTAAATTTTGATACCCTTTAGATCATAATTGTTCTTTATTTCATAAATTACGGTTTCATATTTTTACTTTTATAATTTCAGCATGCCATTTTACCAGATTTAAACTGATGATCTATAATCCGGAATCGCCGAAGTCCCGACGAGTCCGGATTAACGACTTTTGACTGTATTGCATTTTCATTGCCACGTAATGTATTTAAAATTTTTTAATACATTTTGAACATTTAAAAATAAAATTTTAAATTTGATCTCATGTAGACCCATTCAATAAACAAGTACCAAACTGCAATTCAAAATAAAATAAATAGATAAATTGTCATAAGCCAAGGGAAAAAATATGAGCATTTACATATCTTTATAATGATATTACAACAGCAAATGGTGAATTAAACAGCTACTGAAACTTGTACAGCAATGAAATATAATAATTTGAATTAGATTTTATATATTATTAATGTAAAATGACTTTTAACTTACTTTATTTGTTTTAAACTGAATAAGGTTGTATTTCCCATTTTCAAATGTATCTATAAAAGGAAACAAAAAAAAAAAAAAATATTTTAACCAAAATTCTATTTTATAAAGTGGTGTTGTATGGAAGTGAGTGCTGGACAATGAATAAAGTAGATGAGGATAGAGTAATGACATTTGAATGAAAGATTTTGAGAAGAATTTTTGGAGCAGTAAGGGAAAATGAAGTGTGGAGAATAAGAAATAATTTTGAACTACAGCAAAAATTTAGAGAACCAAACATAACGAGGTGGCTAGACAATGTGGAAAAGTAGTTAAAGAATGTTGGTGTCAATAGGTGGTGGACTGTGACATTGGATGAGTCACGATGGCAGAAGCTGACTCACTGAGCCTTAGCTGGTGGACTGACAGCATCATACAATAGTGGTGAAATATTTATTTACAGTTGTAAAGGATCAACCAGTGTGTATCATCTGCGATGAAGCTATAGCAGTCTTCAAAGAATATAGTATTTTCTGCCACTTTCACATCCAAGTATAAAAAGCAATTTATTGAGATATGAATGAAAATAAAGCAGAAAACCTTTCTAAAGAATTATTAGGTTGACAAATATGTTTTAAAAAAGTAAACAATATTAAGGAAGCAGCCACATATCCAAGTTAAATTGTAACATGCAGTAATGCTAAAAGTAATACAGCTCCCAGTGATGGGAAGTTCCTTGAACAAGGCATGCTCCAAGTTTGTGATAGGAAAGAAGATTTTGAGACTGTAAGTTTATCTTGAAATATGGTGACTTCCAGAAATGAAGCCATCGATAAAAATTTGACATCACAGTCAGTGTCAAAGATAGTCAGTTTAAATTCAGCTACATAGTTATGGATGAAAGTACTGATATAAATGATACTGCTCAACTAGCATTATTTATAAGAGGTGCTGATATGAACTTTGCATGCCTGCAGTCATTAAAAGGAAGTGCAATGGAATGAGATATTTTTGGTAAATTTCTGGAAGGGCTTTCAACTTAAAGCGTCCATAACAAACATATGTAGTAATATGACTGACGAAGTACCTAATATGACAGGAAAAAAAATCTGAATTTTATGTTTATTTCATCAAAACATCATCATCATCATTATCTTATATATGTAAACAAGTGTTCCCTACCATGAACCTTAAAAAGTATTATACCAGAAATAGATTGACAAATAAGCATTTAGTAGCATTTCTCAGAATTAGTAAACTGCAGATCAAACCCAAATTTAAGGACCTTTTAAAAATACAGTTATAGTTTCATTCATCACATTATTATTTGTATTGTAATATTTGTACACTCTTTTTAAAGTTTTAGAATAAATTACATTAGCCCGCTAAATTTTTTTATTCTGTTTTTTGGCTTGCTTTCAAAGAAGTTTCTCTGTCACTACTCTAGATGAACTCTTGATGTTCACTGATGACCTGGAGCATGGTGCTTTCAAACAAGCACAACATTTTCAAAATGTAAGTTAATCCAAGTAACCCCCCCCCCAATTTTTAAAAAATTAAATGAGCATATTTCTCTTCTAATCAAGTTATTTGTGTTATTGATATATCTTTGGTTAGCCATGACTTACTACTTAATGCAATACCCAGAATATACTTGTAGTACAGTATTCAGTAATCTTAAAAATATTCCTTATGGACTTGTAAAACATTTTAATCCTTAATTTAAAATAAAGATGATCTCAGAATCCCTGGAAGATCAAAATACCAGAAGAATGATAACATTATTTAAACTTAATTAATAGAAATCGCAATTCTAACATTTCATGGTCCTCTACTTACGACGTTTTAGAAATTTCCAGCAGTTTAAAAAAAAATCTGGCATTTTGTTGAGCTTTTTCAGAATGTTCTCAAGTCACCACATACAGCAATACATTGCTAAATACAGAAACTTTTACAACAATTTTAAATACTTCCACTTCTGTGTTATACATGAAAGACAATTTTGAAGGTAAGCTAATATTGGTTAATAATAATAAAAATAATTATTTAAAAAAATCAAATTTTTTAATTTAGCAGCCAAAATATTGAAAAATACTTTTTAACCACAGACTTGTATTTATGAGCTCAGTTCAAATATGAATTACTACATAAGTTTCTTTGTAATTTTTAATATGGGAACCTTTTCGATAAAGAAGTGATAAATGCTACAACAGATTTACTTTGAAGTGAAAAAAGTACAAATGCTAAATAATTGCAGTTTTTTTTAAACTTTAAAAAGTACAAATAGGTAAAACAAATATAAAAATATACATCCAGTAAAGTAGAAAAAGATTTCATAATTACACAATTATTTTTATTAGAAATGTTTCCTTCCTTCCAATAATAATTTAATAAAAAATTACAGGGGGAAATAAGGTTTACTTTTCTTTCTAAAAAAAGCTTAACTTCTATCATTATTTATCATTTCAAGAACCACTTCAGTGAAGAAATAAAGCACTATATTTAATAATAAGATAAGCCATCTTTTAAGTAATAAAAATTTGTTACCTAAAGAATCCCCATCATCCCAAAATAATTCACCAGTTGCTTGTTTGTTTTCATCCAAAAATACCAGTAGAAGAAAAGCATTTTTACGGCTGAAATTTTATCAAGTAATTACTCTACATGATATAATTTATGTAAATGCATACTCAGAAAACCATATACAAAATATTAATAATTATTGCACTATAACATAAAAGTTCAGAAACAAAATTAATTATTATTTCAAAACAAATTTGAATCAAATTAAAAATTTTGTATAAATTGCAACATATATGAAGAATTTTTATCAAGTTTTATTCAAATACATCTATGTCGTGCCAATATATATTCTTCTAAAATGTTTTATAATATTCTTGTACAAATACAAAATCTCATTCAATACCTGATTAACAATCTTTAATACTCTAGAGCAGTTGTTCCCAACCTTTATTCTTTGGTGTACCCTTTAACAACTTTTCATAATTTATGGTGCCTCTAACTTCTCCCTTCAGAACCTATGACCCTCTTCCAGTATTGACACATATATTTTAAAGTGACATCATTTTACTAAATATCATAAAAATAATAAACTGCAAAGAATAAGTCAGAAAAATCCATTGTTCTTTTTTTAAAAAAATCATAAAGTCTGAGACTTTCTCAATCTTTACTGAAAGGATCTGAAATGTAGTTGACCTTTTTACTTTGCCTGGACAATCCTGAGCTAATATCTGATTCAATACATGATTTTCAAAAATCTAGGTTTTTGAGCACAGAATCAGTTTTGACAGATGTTTTGAAAATGCTCATGGAACTGTTCAGCAATCCTGACCTGAGTTTGTTTAGTTTTGAAAAAATATCAGATAGTTAAGCAAGCCCTTGAAGCCATTCATCATTGTGAAAAACCAAGCTTAAATTAAATGTGTGGTTCTCTAAAAGCATGCATAGAAAAGATACCAAATCAGAACTATTATCAATCATCAGTTTCTGTTTTGTGCAAAGATCTAATGTTTAACTATTTATCTATTTTCACGACAACAACACTTTTTTACTTTATCTTTAAAAGTACACAAATTTAAAACAACTTTAAAAGAATATAAATTTAAGAAATCCACACTCAAACTGATTTACAAACCATAATTTAAAGAGAGCTATATAACTGACTTGATGACTCACTCAGTACCAAAAATATAGTTAGTTCCCAATCACTATGTATGATAGGTTTTCACTGAGCAGGAAAGGAAGTGATTACAAATTGTTACTGATTCTGTATAATGTAACATGAAAAGTCTGAAGAAAATGAAGTTCTGTCAGGAAGGTTCAGGGGCAAGTCTATTTAAAGTTGAAGTAAGTGGCTATCTGGCTAAACTGGTGAGATATTGCAGAGCTGGAGATGGTTTTTGTCTCTGAATTTGGCGATCATTTGTGTCTGGTCCCTGTATAACTGTAATTGGTGCAGTAATCGAATAAGTATAATTGATCCCTAAATGTAACTTTAACCATATATACTTTTCAGTAATTTTAAGAAATGGAAGGTACTGGAAATTCCTCAGTGGCCATGGAAAAGCTATGTAAGACTGGAGCTAGCATCAGTCCTTAGTTTTTAGTTCAGAGCTAATGTGGAATATTGAGAGATCTTCATGTGAGTTTCACTTTTTGGATGTGCTTTGTATAGCATTGTGCTTAATGTTATTTATAGTTTGAAGTAAGTACAAGAAGTGGCAACAATGATTGTTCTCTGTCCTTTGAGAAGAGCTGTGTGTGTACTTTTATGGAAAGTTCTAGAAATGTGAAGTGTTCCTTTTAGAAAAATAAATTTTATCAAGCTGTTTTCAGTTTCACATGTATTCAATCCATTACAAACTGTATGCATGTAACAATTTTTAGTTTCAGAACTGGGATTGAGTGCCGGTGATAACAACAATCGAAGAGCAACTAAAACAACTTTTGAGAGCCTTTGTTGCATTTAAAATAGAAATGAAAGTGAGTCATGAATCCATTAATGAAGAGATGATAAAAAGAAAGCTGTTCAAGAAAGGATAGAAGGGATCTAAGAAGAGATGAAAACTGAGCAGATACCAAATCAGAACTATGGTGCCTCTATCTAAGAAAAGATCGAAGCAGGTCAACAAGAAATGAGAAGAGAAAAGTCTGCCATAATAGAAAAGAAATTCAAGGCTATTTAAGGCAGAAATGATACATTTGAAGATAAAGTTAGAGAAATTCAAGAACACGTTTCTGTTGTCGAACAACAAACTAAAGGAAGAGATTCTGCTGCCCAATAACAAATCGAAGAAAGAGTTCCTCTGTCAAACAACAAATCAATGATATAGTATGATGGAAAGACCTCTTTGCAAGAGTATAAGACTCAATTCTCTATAGTGGCAAATGGAAATGTATGGGATTCTGAAGCTAAAGCCGGCCATCTCATCACTTTTCAGAGAGCAGACGCAGCGAATTATCCTTTAACTCTGCCCCAAAGTCAGAGGTTATGAAGCTTTATGCAACACGCTGGAGCTGTGCTGTGGCAAGTGTTTAAAAGACTACAGCAGGCTTCAGCTGAAATTGTCCCATAAGAAGCTCGTGGAAACACTCCACAAGCTTAATACTAAAAGGCTGTCTCATCTTGCCTTTTCTGTCTAATAGAAACAAAGGAAATCCTGTCCTTGCAGTACTCCAGATCTTGAAAGGGATCCTGAACGAGAAAAAAACCTTCAAATGGTGCATTTCAAGGACCCAAAAAGCACTCTAGTGTATGCCATAAAATCCAAGGCAGCCCAGAAAGCAACTCCTACAGACTGCCACCCAGCTGAAGCAGGTCATGTCCAGGAGTCAATGGATCAAGTTACTGCTCTTCTAGATGATTTAAGCAGGTAAGTCAAAGCCTTGAGGTGGAATACGAGTAGCAACAAACTGACCCTAAAGTGCTGGAACTGTAGTGGTGATGGTCACATATGAAGGAATTGCAGAACACCCCCAACACCCGAAGATGCAGGAGCTAAGACTGCACAGGGAACCTAATTAGTGGTGATCTCACATGGCAGAAGTTGCAAAATATTGAGAAGCCCCATTTTAAAGTGTTTCAGATTTCTGCAGTCAGTGGCAGCAGTATACTCGAGTTATACTTTCAAAGGAAATACAATTTTTCCTGGGACTTTAAAAATAATGAACTGCATTTTGCCCAGGGAACATAACCCAATTTGGAATCTGAGATAAATTCCACCAAATAATAGCTCAAGATGACATCACAACATCAGCAAGAACAGAATTTTTACTACCTTGATCCACAGCCGAAAACAGAAATTTCTGATATCCCAGAATGGAATATCCTAAGAACTATAAAAGTCCAAAATTAGTACTAGTACTTTCTCACTCATCGATCTATGGAGGACAGTCATTCCAGGTGAAATTCATTAGGAAAGGTGAAGTGGTTGTAGCCTGTACTAAAGTGACCTGTGTTAAATGAACTACTAGTCCACTAATGAATTATGAATGCATACACACATAACAGTATGATGCATAAGAAATCAAGAATAAATACAGGATTTGTGAAAACTTATTACTTTCACTGCTTTTTGACATACTTCAATCAAACCTTTAGTACAGGCAATCAAGTCACATTGGAAACAATCAAATTTGATTTTCTTTCATATAATACCAAACTGAAATTTTATGAATATTTTGACTTTTTATCAGCACTTACTAAAACACTGGATTATTTTCCACCACTACTGATAATTTTTTATATATACCTATGTCATCATGTATTCCAAGGAGTAATGGTACCGCAGGTTTGGAACTGTTGCTCTAAAGCTTAAATCATATGTTGTGACACATTAGTGCACCTTAAAATATACTATAGTTGTGCTGTGAGGAAAACAAAAGTGTAACGGGAAGTAAGAGGAAGTATAAAATTGTGTACTGCATTCACAGAAAATATGCCAAATAAAGTGCCTGCTCTAAAGCTTGTTAAATGATAGTGCTAATGAAACTTCTGTGTCATAAACATTCACTTCTGCCTATGAAATTGCTATGCCATGAACACAGCATCAACAAACATCAAATTTGCATAAAAGATAATACAAGCTGGAATATGTGAATGATTCATATTTCAACACAAGTGCATAAAGAAGTTATAAGTAATACTATCTGTATTGTGTATAGATGAAAAGACTGCACAACGGACTTGGAAATCATATTTGATCATTGGTTGCTTGTGTAAAAGCTATGTGGTATCATGTGTAAGAAGGAGAAACCAGCACATGTCATAATTTGGCCATGGCAAAATTATGGTTAATGTGATTATATTTTTGTTAATGGTTGTGCCTTATCTTCGATGTCTGTGTGATGGCATCTTTCAACAAGAAAATGCATGACCACATGCTGCTCATGCTGTCCTGGGTGTTTGACAGTTGCCCTAGCCAACAAGGTCTTCAGATCTCTCGTCCATTGAAAACATCTGATCATGGGTTACTAAAAGACTGGCATAATGCTATTTGCCAACCAATACGATTGATGAACTCTGCCATATAGTTGAAGTCGTATGAAATAAAGTACCTGCATTTGTCATCCAAGCTCAGTTCAACTTGATGCCCAGCTGAATTACAGCTGTTGTTGCTACCTAAGGTGGCAGCTCTGTGCACTGACTTCTGTCTGCTGTGTACCCCAAATCACCTACAAATTTAATCATGTCTTTTCCCACTATATTATATATGTACAATAAATAAGATCCTGCTGTTCGCTTGCTTTCCTTGCTTAGTAATTTTAATGTGGTATAAAAGTAGTGTAGAAGTGTACTGTGTAGGTAGCAATGTAAAAGACAACTATACATGCTTATGCATGTATGGTGCATACTTAAATACTAATTTTTTTTGCGGGGGGGGGGAACAATAATAGAACAGAAAAGTTTATTCTTAAGCAATTTTGAAATGTTTTATTGACATATTTACAACTTTAAAATTACAAGTGAATCTTTTGTCTAAAATTAAATATCAAATTGAGTAATTATTTAAAAATTCTGAGAGTCAGTCTACAATAAATATACTTTTAACAACTTTTAAAATAATTCGGCAGAACAAGAATGTATTCATTTAAAATAATCCTGATATTAGAAACTTGGTTGTGTATCTGTAAATTTACTAGGTAACACTTTCATCAATATATATATTTCCTTCAAAAGTTAAGGAACAGCATATTTTTCAAAGCTCATCATTACAAAAATGTCAGTAACATTTACATTTACAGTTCATATGCATGACAGTAATGCAGTCGTCTGCCCAATTTGTTGAGGTGACGGGTGATTGAAATTGAGATGTCACAAGCTGATGCTACTAGACGTCTCACTATCTCTCAGTGTGGTCTACTGACTATAGAATCAGTTTGAATCTGAGGTGTGTCTAGAAGACATGTTCCAGGCAGACTTAGAGTTACAACACCTGCGGGATACCGTTATTTAGCTCTTTCAGCCCGAAGGAGGAGTAACATTACTGTGCCTCAGCTCATGGCAGATCATTTAGTAGCAACAGGAACAAGAATCTCAGCTACTACAGTACACAGATGCCTGAAAAATGCAGGTCTGTATGCAAGACGGCCAGTTATTTGTATTCCCTTGACTCAAGAACACAGAGGTGCCCATTTATGTTGGGCAAGAGAACACATCTTCTGGACCAGTCAACAATGGGTGTCTGTTCTCTTCACAGACGAGTCCAGGTTCACCTTAGAGGATTCAGATCATCAGTCAATCTGGAGGAAACAATGCACCAGATACAACCACTCCCACATTGTGGAAAGACACAATTAGCGAGGTGGTGGAATAATGGTTTGGGCTGGGATTTCTCTTGGTGGTAACACTGATCTGCATGTGTTCCATGGAAGAACTTTGACAGGTGTGAGATATCGAGACGAGATCCTTGATCAATATGTCCACCTATATGCTGCTTCTATTGGTCCTGGATTTCTTCTGATCGATAACAATGCGCGACTGCGCCAAGCTCGGGTTGTTGAAGAATATCTTGAGGGTCACGGTATGGAGTGGATAGAATGGCAGCTCAATCCTCAGACCTGAATCCGATACAGCATCTTTGGGACTACCTTGGGAGCCAGATTGCTGCTTTAAGTCCTCCTCTAAGGTCATTCGATGGATTACTCTGTGTCTGGTCATTGCTAGCCATTTCACTAACGACAACTTAATTGACAGCATGTAACGTCGCTGTCGCCAATGTATTGAATCTAGGGATGGACACATTCCTTATTAGAACTCATTTTTGTAATGTTACCACCTCATTTTCCCTCAAAAACTGTGATATACCATTTCTCCAAGACTGGATTTCTCTGCTAAGAGTGCAATTTTTTGTTGTAATTCATGTTTGTGTTGAACTTTAGAAACCTTCTATGTCGCATTCACTAAAGCACAGTTTAGTGAACATGTCCTATAAGTTTCTTGTTTTTATTTTGCTTCATTCTCATATTAGATACAAAAACATGCTGTTCTTAATTTTTGGAGGGCAGTGTATATAAGGGATGTTCATATGAAAAAGTACTGAATGACAATATGGATATACTGAAGTGCTTATTTACAAGTAATCACAATCACCACCAGAGGCAACTATCGCACTGTTTCCCGAGCCAAAGTATTAACTCTTCCCAGAACTGCTGTAGCTGTGACAGGAGCCAGTCCTCTACTCTGTCCTTCAATTCATCATCTGAGATGAAGCCCTTCCTTTTGAGATGTCACTTCTCACCTTTTGAGATGTCGTTCACCTTGTTGATGAGTTCAGCCGTGATTAACACGTTTGCCTGGCCTGGTCTCGGGTCATCATTCAAACACGCTAGAACTTTACAAAAGCAATCCACTTCCTCACTGATTTGTCCGACACACAGTTTCTCCTGTATACAGACACCATCTGGCGATGAATATCGACCGGTTTAACCCCTTCCACAGTAAGAAATCTGATAATGCCTCACTGCTCCTCAGTCATCAAGTTTTGCAATATGGACACCGTGATCTCCTTAAATGCATTTTCACATCAATTGGACAGAACACACAACTGCCTACTTCTCACCTGCGTCGTGTGCGGGCACCTAACGCATGTGCACAACCACACCAGGTGCTACATTTACATCCTTAGACGTCTCACTACGTATGCCAAAGTGACATATTCAAATTTCAACTGGTTTATTTGTTATGAAGTTTTGTACCTTTTAATTTGAACGCCCCTCATATATATATATATAATCCAAAAGAGGCTCCAGGAAGCAAAAATAATTGATGCCACTTTACATGAATAAGTAAAGCATTTGCTTTATACAACAAATTCTCAGAAAATATGAGCATAGCACAGTTAATAGATCACAATGGAATAATTAAAGTAAATACTTCTGAGCACATGCGGAACAGTTTTATCTCACTGAATGTCATCACCTAATAATTGAATTATGTGTGCATACGGATTCAATGTATCAGTGCTACCTGGGAAATGGGATTGAAAATTTCTGGATTAGATTAGATAGGCTTGTTTTAATTATGGAAAACACTGAAGAACTATATTCCTTGAGTAGAAGATGGTTTCAAAGGATTAACTAAGGAAATCCAGCCCATATTTAAAGAACATACAGGGAAGAGGGGAAAATATCATAAAAAGGCCATGAATCCAGCTCATCAACTGCAAGGAACCAAACCAGAGCCAAATTACAAATACTTTATGATTTTAATCTCTTAGCCAATAGTGATCTAAAAAGAAATTGACTGAAATCTGATCCAATTAAAAGGCACAGAATTTTAATATAGGAAACAGTTTGAAGATTATCAAATATATACAGGGTGTACCGTAAATGTTGGGACATACTTCTAGGGGAGGTAGGGCACATCATAAGGATTAAGAATTGCATAGGAACCTATACCTGTCAGGGCTAAGTGGTACCAGAGGTAGAAGATGGGAAAAGAAACAAGAGTGATTAATTTGAAACGTTTATTGGACATGAATACAAATGGTGTACGACAACTATGTTACAACAGATGCTTGAAGTTTGCACCATCAGATGCCAAACATGCCTGACATCGACAGACCATTTGGATGCCATGAAATTTTTTATCTTTCTGGAGAAAGTTATTCCAGATTTGCTTGATGATGTTCCACCAAATGTGAGGGGCAACATGTGATTCCAACAAGATGGGGTCCCTGCTCATTTTGGACCAGATGTTCCTAGCCATTTGAACAGATCATTCCTGCATCGATAAATTGGGTGTGATGAACCAATTCCCCCCCCCCGCTCACCGGATTTATCGAGCCTTGATTTTTTCCCCCTTCTATGCCATGTATCACTATCCTGTAGTGTCTGAACTGGATCTCGTGGCAAGACTACAATCAAAGACACTCCCGGTCCAGCAATAAATGGTCTGTCGGTGTCAGGTATGTTTGGCTTCTGATGATGCAAACTTTGAGCATCTGTTGTAATATTCAAGCTGCCGTACACCATTTGTATTCATATCCATTAAATGTTTCAAATTAATTACTCTTTCTTCTTTTCCTATCTCCTACCTCTGCTACCACTTACCCAACATTTCCGAGCATGGGTTCCTATGCAATTCTTAATCCTTATGATGTGGCCTACCTCCTCTAAAAGTTTGTCGCAACATTTACGGTACACCCTGTATATATATATATATATATATATATATATATATATATATATACACTGCACATTAATTTATCAAAATACATAAAACAAGCACTTTTTTGTTAAAGAAGAAAGGCATTCATAGAAATCTACCTACTACATACCTAGCAGTTGTAGTTTGAGCTGGAATTTGAGTTGGCACAACATAACCTCCTCTAAGCATGATATTAATGCTATAAATCGGTACCGAGAATGTAACTCTTTCACCATGGCCCTCAAAAGAACTTCCATTTCCCTGATACCACATACCTTTAGGAATATAAGCAGATACGGTGTTTTTGCCCTGAAAATCAACAATTATTTTAGTTTTAAATTCTTCATCACAATTATATACATATATTGAGAGATATTTAAAAAAAAAAAGCTTTTTAAAACATTAAATACAATTATAAATTGGTAATCATGAATATGAATTATACATTCTTTTATCATTTCATATTATTAGTCGATACCTGCTTTTATAATTAAAAAATTTTCCATTTTTTATTGCCTAAAATCATACCTCTTATCTTGTGACAAATGGGCAAAATTATTATTTGATTTTTTTTTAAATCTAGAAACTGAACTGTTTTTGAAATTTTTATATTATACTCTACAATTATTTAATAACATGGTCCTGATATTGGAAGCTAATTCTATCACAGCTACAAAAGCATTTTAGACTTATTCTGAATTAATTTGCCAACTTCAGAAAGGAAAACCCCATAAATTTATACCATCTTCTGCCAAAGAATTGCTATGCAGTCTAAAAGAAAATAATGATGTTTAAAAATAAAAATCTCAGGCATATTTATAATTTTATTATCCAATACTTAGAGTTGTGGAGAACCAGTTTCAATAAAATTAGTAAGTGGATAAATTTACGAAATGAAATTACTTGGTTTGATTTAGAAGAGTGCACAAGTTGTTAATGAAATTATAAAAAACTCCAAGAATGTTGATGAGCTGTTTGATGAATTATGGCTTACTGTTATTATCTTTCATTTCTAATTCTTCATTTTACCAAATTGGAAGACCCACAGTATTTCTAACTAAACATTTATATCAGTAGAGTATATCCTTTTGAAATAACTCTGTTTGTTCTGCACTAGTGGCCAAGAGAAGCTACGACAGTGACTTGAAAATGCCTCAGCTCCTTGTATAAGTTAACTGGCTTCTATGAACTGCATCAGTACATTCCGTGATAAAAAAAATATAAGTAATGATAGTCTAAAATATAATATTACTGATATTTAAATAATAATGATGTTGTAGAAATATTTATTGCAGTGAATGTTGATCCATAATGAAGAAAAACTTGGCACTCTATTTTGTGCCTATTTCAAAATGTTTACATTTTTGATAGCTTTGCAGTAAGAAGAGAAACAGCAGTCCAGCTAGACCAAAGTAAAGAAAGTAAGTAAGTTATGTTCAGGATGAAATATTAATCCAGAATGAGTTACTTTGAGTTCTCAATGTATTTGATTGGATAATTAATACTACACTGCTGTAAAATTATTATTGGCTGTTCGAGTTTTAGTTACACTCATATCGCCAGCGTTATGTAAGAGTCATATGACATGGATAAGTATCGAAATGATGGCATTCAGAAAAGATTACTATTTTTAGAATACAGGGAGAAAATTGCTATTGCTAATTTACATTTATATTTGCATATTTTTTTTTTATCTTTTTTGTGTAGCTATACTGAACCATCAAAAATGATAAACATACAATAATACAACCTATGCATATCCCCATTTGTTCCACCAATGTGTATACAAAGCAAAGAGATATCTGTTAGACTTCTAGAAATGTTTTGCCCAAAAAAATAGATGTAAGCTTTTATAATTTAAGCAAGGTATAGTATGATTTTTTTTAAAATTGACATGGCCTCAGAAACATGAGGCTCATGAGATAGGTAACAGTATGTTAGAGAAAGCTTGGATTTTCATGTATGGTCGGTCACTCACAGCACCATGACTACAAATACAGCACTACTGAAAATCTGGCAAATCTTTGAACTTACAGCAACAGTATGGTCATAAAATGATTGTGAAAGAAAACGACCAGCATCAGATGTCAAGAAACACTTCACAAGAAAGAGATACAGAACATCCTAAAGTAACACCAGACTTCAATGCTGAAACCTTAATATGAGGAATGCAGAAACTTTCCTCTGTTATATGGATTTTAAAAGCCAACACTCAACCAGACGGCCTCTCAACTACAGTGCATAAATGTATGACATGGAGTTATGCAATTCACCTGAACTCTGCAATTTGCCTGGCTACTCTATCACTGGAAACAGGTAGCTTTATTTGATCAGTCACATTTTTCAACTATTTCAGATAGATGGAAGGATCTGAAGAAAACCTCTGGAATCTATGAACTCCAGATGCAAGTGAGAGAGGTTGTGGCAGCTCCATGATGCTATAAAGTATTTTTAGTTGGCATTTAATGGTCTACTGGTATATGTACAGAAATCTTTTACAAGTGCACACTCTTCCTGATGATTAAGATCTCTGCTTTCATTATGAGGGATTTGCCTTCTTTTAACAGGATAATGCACTGCCATACAAGTCAAGAGATGCAAAATTATGTTAAAGAAACATTCATTTACGTTTGAAGTCTTTTATGGCCACCTAAGTCACTATATAAGTCACTATTATAAAACACATTTAAAATGCAATATCAATATGCTGTGCAACACAGAAATCTTACACTTCTGAATACCACTCAGTAAGAAATATGGTATTCCTTCTGTGTGAACACTAATAGATATGCATGGAGTACACGTTTTTGCAGTTTTATGTAAAAGAGCTATTATATATTAAGCTGTTCTACTGAGTTTTGTTCTGGTGGAAGTACATGAGTATACAACTTTGTATGAAACTGAGAACAAAAAAGAAACACATTACATATCATACTGGAATAGTTAATATCCATAAGTATCCCAATAATTACTGGTAGATTTTACTTTTGAATTTAATAAATACAGTTTTGTTTAAAAAATTTTTCATTTATGAAGTTTAATTCTTATAATTCCAAATGCACACATAAAAGCTACTCATCAACTTAGTAAACAATTTTGCAAACACTTTAGATCAAATATGATTGCAGTTGTGCAAATGTATTAAGTAACAAACAAACCAAACCGGGGGGGGGAAGAAAAAAAAAGAAAAGAAAGAAAGAACATTACTGAATAGAGAACAGGATTTATCAGTACTGCTGGACCCCAAAGAAATTGCTGATCAATATCAAAAGTGTTGACATCATCTGGATACCTAATAAGAAAAATTATAGTTAAATAAAAATATAAAGAGGTAATAGATAAAAATTGACATGTAATAAAACCTTACAATTCACATAAAAGTAAACTGAAATGCAAGCAATATTTTATTATGCATCTGTAACTTATTAGAGATTTGATAATGAATTTGATTTTTATATGAAAATACTTTTGTGAACTTTTGTACTAAAGTGGTTTACATTATTTTATTCATCTTTAATATTAAAATTACTAAAGAAATGTAAGTCACATGGTAAATGAAACATAACTTCTGTCCAAGAATTACTTAGGACAAATTATTTTTGTTACAATTCCAAAAATCTTTATGATATGATACCTTTGAACATTCACAGCATAGAACTATATATTCCTTTAATATAATGAATATTTATCTGACAAATGCACGATTTTGAAATTTTACTAAAATTACTTTAAATAGGTATTAGCAATTTGCACTGTACATAATTACACCTCATTTTTTTCAAAATAAATAAATAGAAGATAAATAAAAATTTTGAGATGGGAAAGGAGTTTTCTTGAAGAAAAATATGCAGAAATAAAATAATATTTTCTAGGCAGTGTATTAGAGGAAACATTAAGTATACAGATGCATTTAAATTCATAATACTTACAAGCATAAGAATTATTTTTGAAAAATTAAATATCAGCACAATGGATGACACTAAAAAGAAAATTTTTCCATAGAAAAAAAAGCTACGTATGCTTACACACCTCATATAAATTTAAAAGTATTGTTTTCAAATGCTTAGAGACCTAACTTTGAATTCAAATTACACAATTCATATTCTTTTGCACTCTAATTTTTAGCAATTGAGTAAAATCATGAACGAAGATCAAATACGAGTAATGAAACAAAATAAATGCACAGATAAACATTTGACACTGTCAACAGAATAGGAGAAAGTTGAATACCCTAACGAAAAACAGGAGATATAAAAAGGTATATTGAAATTATATATCCATAAGGATATCATAGAATTTTATATAATTCCAGTATAAATGAAAAATCAAATATATGTTCAATATGAGAAACATGTAAAACACTAATTATAGTAATATGGAGGGTAGGCTGGATTTCTGCTAAACAAGCACCATAAAAACAATAAAAAAGTTGCATTCTGCAGAAAACAGACATGCTAATTCCATACCAACAGATATCAATGCTTCATACATACAGATCTCAATATTACAGCATCTTTTACTTTTTGATCATTTTGACATCAGTATTTAATCTATTATATTTTAAGTTCATGCCCCTTTCATTTTTTTTTTTTTTTTTTTTTTTTTTTTTTTACCTGATGCAAGCACCTCAGTTCACTGCTTGTCACACAATGCATACTCTGCATTTAATAAATTAAATCTTTATGATATTATTTATGCATTTAATAAATGAAATCGTTATGTCAGGTGCTTGTCATTTGTTGAATTACAAATAATTTGAACTTATGCAAACTGACACATCCCCTTATTAGTTTTTATAGAATACGAATATTTAAATGAATAGCAAAAGCTTATTGGAAAAGGCTCTCTAGACTCTAGTTCAAACTCTGTAAAGAACTTGAAAAATGAACATAAATGATTTTGTTTAATTTGATGAAGTAAACATATTTTAAAATACAACACTTATTTACAAGGAATAAAAAATAAAATTATTACATTACAGAAATATATAGATGTGCAAAGAATACATACTCAAAAAACAGAGGCCTTACTACTGTATTTCCAAAAACATGACTTCGGTACAGCAGAGTATATAAATAAGGCAGTAACTGGTAACGCACTTGTAATGATGCTTTAGTAGCTGCAACAACAATAGGGCCTAAGGCCACAGGATCTTGTTCCTTTAAAGATAAATAACAATTTTAACTATGCTACTTTACTTACTTCATAATTCAAAAATTATTTTTATAAAATGTATGTTTTGTGTATATATACATATGTGTGTGTAATGATTCAACGATGTAAATGACGTATTGATTCCCAAACTGCGCATGTAGATTGACAGAGCTGTGTAAAAGGAAATGACAGACATGCAGACAGACGTAGCTGATTTCAACATAAGTTTATTATTGGATAAAGCATTGTTGGAGACACAATATTTGTATCACACAGAATTATGTACCCTACAATGTTAAAACTTAGCCTATCTTCAAACAATGGACAATATAGCGACCTGAGGGGAGCATGGAAGCTACAGCAGGAAAGAATGGCAAAAGAGAGAGCACAGTTGTATTGCAGTTATTTACAGTAGAATTTTTCATTAATCTGATTGGCTATACACAAAGTAGAAGGTTAGAATGACATGATGCAGAATTAGTTTTCAGATATGATGCAGTTTTGAAAATGCTATTACTATTTTTAGAATATTAGAGGAGGAAATGCTCAAGTTAAAAAAAAAAGAATTAAAATTATTATTCAGAGTTATATATATGTATTATACTGTTTATAAATAGCCAATTTTATCAACACCTTAAGGCTGAAACTGTTTGAACTTCTTAATTTAATCAAAAGTTCTCTAAAAGCACAAGAATTGGCACAAAAAGAGAATACACATACATGGCAGAGGCACTCTAATCTCCTAACTCTCCAGTTACATCATACGGGGTCCTTCCACTACAACAAAATATTCTAAGCCAGTTATTTTGTGGCAGGCAATATAGGAAACTGGCATTAGCTGAGCAAGATACAAACACTGCATTCTATTGGGGAAAGTAGCTAACAAAAATCTTGAAATGCCGTAATTTCCGGAAGAAAGGCCGCATCATCGTAAACGCCACACTCGAGAAAAATAGCAGGGAAAAAATAAAAATTAAACAGAACGCCGTAATAGATTAAATTGCGCATGACATCTTCGTGGGCCGTATAGATGCAAAATCTCAACCTATGTCCTGGTATATGACATATTAGTTAAGAAAAATGCATGAAAAGAAACCATTACTCAAAAATAAATTAAAGGTAAGAAATGTTGAAAAAATATTTATGTTCATGAATATATTTACCCACTATATTGCAACAACGAAAAAGCAAATTTGGATGACAAAAGGAAATTTTAAATTTTACTTACAAAAGGAATTACAGCAAACTATACATCATATGAAGCCATCAAAATCTGATTCTTCACTATCTGAATTAAAAAGATTTAGTAAATCTTGATCTAAGTCCAAGTCTTCCAGATCGTCACATTCATCCTCTTGGTTTACAGTCTCTTTATCTAAGGATATAAGTTCAGCTTCTTTGAAACCTGCCATTATTGACAATGTTTTTACCGATTTCCATGCACTTCCTACCCACTTTACAACTTCTTCATAAGATGCTCTACGCATTTTACCGCTTTTGGTATACGTATGCAATCCTTCACTCATCCAACACTCCCACCGCTTTTGGACTTCAGCTTTGAAGGATTTATTACCTGACAAATCTAATGGTTGTAAGATTTTTGTCAAACCACCAGGAATTATTGCTACGGTCGTAGACAATTTTTGACATCTGGTTTTCACTGATTCAAGTAAATGAGCATGCATGGAATCCATTATCAATAACCCTTTTGGTTGGGAAAAAAGATCCCTTACGACACTGCCAAACATTTTGTAGCCGCTCATGCATGATTGTTTTGCACATCCAGCCATTCTCGTTTGCACAGATAATTACGTCATTAGAAAAATCTCCTTTCGGAATAGTTTTTCGTTCGTTCGTTCCCCCCCCTGTTTTATTGGCTTTAGCTTGTCACCATTTGTGGCACAAGCTAACATACATGTAAATGACGTTCTTTCATGTCCCATCGTAAGCACAGATACAGTTTTTGCACCAGTTTCATGAACAGTTCTGTTTGCAGGAGAGTCAAAAGCTAATGTCATTTCCACCTTATTTATCATCTGTGACCAATGAAGTTTTTTTTTTTGTCAATAATATCAGTCACATATTTTAGAAAAGATGCCTTTTTATCCTGCCAGTCCGTTGGTAATTGTTGCCCGACTGTTATTCTAGTACGCATAGAAATATTTTTTCTTTTCATAAATCTGCTACACCGGCAAGGCCCTCCTTTGAAATCATTTATGTTCATTTGTTTTGCTATAAATTTTGCTTGTAAGTGAATTTTTACAGTCAAAATTGCCATTCCCTTTCCTTGTTGCTCCTTTATCCAGTTTGCAAGGTTGTCCTTTAGATTCAGCCACCTTACAGTACCACTTCTTTTGGCTTGTTTCTGTTGTGGCATATTTTTAAGTTCTTCTTTTTCAGTTCTCCAATGAATGTCGAATACATCTCTCGTCCACTTCAAACTCTCGAGCTGCTGCTCTATTTCCAATTTGTTCATCATGAGAAATTACATTAAGCTTAAAACCAGCAGTATAGCTTCTGTGACATTTAGGTGCCATTTTCAAAAATTTTCCGCTTCCTTCTTACTTAAAAACTATCCATCAAGTACTTGTACCCAAACTGATGATATCTATATCTGGCAGAATGCCAAGAAAAATCAAATCATGCTGAAGGGGAAATATTCAAACTATGTACAATGACCATCATAGGAAATATTTTATTTTTAGTGCACCTAAACACCGCATGGGTAAAAATGCCGCGACCGCTGAAAATTTAAGTTTTAAACATGCGTTTCTTCTGGAAATTACATTATAAAAGCAAATTTGAGACAATAAAAAAACAAAAAAATCTGATGTGTGCAACACATGACTTCCTTGAACGGAACATTAAATTATACCCATTTTTCCTTGCATTTCATTTAAACTTATTGAATTGAATTAAATCTACTTCGTTGATAGTGCATAAACCACAATAGAATAAATGCACTCTTTAAAATTCACTATATTTGTTTACCATAGCGACACTCTGGCCCTAGGTTCGCTTAACAGCATTACATTTCAATCATTTTTTAACTCAGAATGTAGAAAATTTATATCATCTTAAGAATTATCTAATCTTTACCACATGTTCTATTAAAATACTATAATAAATCTAAAATGGTGTATAAAAGAAATTACGCAAACAACAACAACAAAGAAACAGTTTTTTTTACAGACGATTCAGTATTTCTCATTCAATTAATTCCATTCTCACTTTGCGACAAGGCAAAAATACATTAAAACTCAAGATGTCTGTATTGAAATTTATGAAGTAAATCTTAAACACTTATTTCCTCGAATAAATTCTCGAATGGATTAAGCATGATTTGATTCACAATAATAAAAGAAGACGTTATCTTTGTTATTGCAAAGCTTACTTTCTCTAGATTGGCAACAAATCTACTATTCTGCTGTTTCAAATGTAAACAAGCAATGGTCGCCATGGAAAAAATTATTAGGCTTAGCGCCACTTAAACAACTTTTAAATTGTTGATAATTCTAAAAATATTGCATACAGATTTATTAAAGGCATAAAAACCTTAACTGGAAGATAAGAACAACATAATTCAATCATTTTTAAAGCAAAAAATGCACAATTCACAAACATATAAGAATAAAGAAACTGAGATCGCTTAGCCACGTAACAGAGTGGATATATATATATATATATGTATATATTTTGTTGTTGTTTACTTTTTTACGTATTTGTTAAGAATTTAAATTTGTTTAAATTTATATATATATACATATATTTATATACTTTTGGTGCGGCCGATTGCAACCAAAATATGAGATGCACATCTACATGTTATAGCAGTCCTATATACTATTCTGAGGCTACTCGTTTTTGAGTTATGCGAGATACACGCGTACGTACTTACGTACAGATGCCATGAAAAATTCTCTTTAGAATTCCTTTTAAATTAGTTTTACAATTTTTTGGGGGGAAAAGAGTCCTTTATCCTGTCCTTACGTACAGATGTCATGCAAAAACATTGTTAAATTGCATTTGATAGCGGTGAAAATGGATATTTACGTTGAAATATGATGCCTGAAACTTTTCGCGATTACAATACTTCCTTTTTACTTCGCACAAGGAAGTAAAAAGTGGTGCATCAGCTGGAAGGAATATTTTTAAGAAAGTAATGTTTCACAATAAATAGTGAGCTTTAGAGTGCTCAAGGATACTTGCACCAGTCTTTTGTTAAATCTATTTCTAATCTGTCAACTCCCTGCATGCGTATTTATTTCAAGAAAAACATGTCTTGTGTGCCATAACCAAACTCTGATGTACATTAGTTTTTCCTCTTCCTGCAAATTATGGTCTCATCGGATTTCATTCTTAAAGCTATTATCTATAACTTCATGAAATGAAAATTTTTGCATTCCTGATTGTTAGGCAAAATGACACATTTCTGAAGAAATGCAACACTTTCTTTTTCATCAGCTGGCAAATTCCACAATCTCCTTACGATTCCTTATGGAGGGGAATGCATTCAATGCAACAAAAACAAATACTAATAACAGTTAAATCTGAAGGTGGAAATCGGGGGTCATCTGCTGCCCACAGAAACATACCTGATTTGCCTCAGAAATACATTTTATTAATGTAAAAGGTTGCCTATTTTGGTGACATAACACATTACCTCATGTATACTTTTCAAGGGGTGTTGATAATCAGAAAGTACGATATTAAATCCTAAACCTTATGTTAAGAGCTTTTTTTAAAAGTCATCACATGGTATTAGAATCTTTTAGATCAGGTGAGGTGAAAGAAGAAAAAGATAAGTGGAGAACAGGCTTCAAGATAGTAGTTAAATTTACTCATTATTCTATACAATTGCTCTAATATTTTGCAATTTAAATTTTTTTAAAGACTGCTTCTTCACGAACAGTTACTTGCCTTCTCTCTCTTTTTTAAAAAATAAAACATTTAATTAGAATTTAATATTTCATTTTTATAAGTGATAGTCCTTTGTTAAAATTTTCATAGCTAATCACAGTTAACTGCCCCCCCCCAAAAATTATATACCTTCAGTTATTTTCATTATAGTTTTCATTTTATCAAAAAATGCTTAGTAGTGCATGATAAGTTTTTGTTATTGCAAAAAGGAAAATATTATTGCAAAAAGATCTTACTTTTAAGATGAATATGTTTCACCATTATACCTCTCAGAAATTAAACAAAGAAATAACATATCTTTCCCAAACTTCTGGGTCCTATTGCATATGCCAGCAGCATACCAGTATAATAAATTTATCATGACATGTATACTAATACATTTTATAGAAATGATACAATAATCTAGATATAAATACAAAAATTCTTACAATTGTAATCCTTTCATTGTGATTCCTTGCAAATGGATAGAAAGCCCCAAGAGCCTGCCATCTGGCACAGAGTTCAACAGTAACATTCCCATTGAATCCACATATATCTGAACCAACCACAGGAATTCCATACAAATTAAAATTCAGTAATGCTAAATAATTGCGAAAAAAAAATCAGCATGAGGTATGCAACTACTGTAAGCATCATAATGTCAACAAAACATTATATGATAATTCATTAAATATATAAATTTAAGTGTGCAGGGCATGCCTAAAGAATAAAATTAATACATATATATGTCACCTTTTCCCTTTTCACATGCATTAGATTTATTCTTAAGTAATGTTTAACAGTTCTTATATCTTATTACATATCACAGAGTGGTAGAGAAAATTAGAATAGCATTCAAGGAAAGATTTTTATATGTTTCAGAATAATGTTCACTAATTTTCAAGTTTTCTATGTTCATCACTTTCACTAAAATGCATTGTTTCAGTTTTCATATACAGCCCAGTATTAAGCAATATTCTTGGTTTAATTGTTATAAATTTAAGTATAATAGAATTTTTATTATGAGCACTGAGCAACCAAAGTTACACATTGTCTGATATAATATAAATGTAAAAAACATTATTTTTCTTAAAAAAGCTTCATAAAAATTCATAACAGAACTTTAATACAGATAATCTAAAGTACTAAGATAACTTTTTGCAAAATGAACAGCCACAAAATATTATACCTGCCAGAATATGTTACAGTGACTACAAAATAATGCGGCAAATAAATATAAAACAGCAATGAAAAAGTACGCTAAAGAACACTTTAAATAAAAATCAAAATGACCTTTTTTTTAACCTCTGGTAATTTTATTTTTAATTTCAAGGTGGATAAATTATTCACACTGAAATGCATTCTCATTTTCAATGCATTTTCATTTAATTAAATTGCATTTTCATTTTCAATGCTTTTTCTATATATTAGCTATGTAGAAACTGTATTGCGCCAGATGGCGCTATGTGCGCTTAAATTCTTCGGACTAGTTCAATACCTTGATGATTGCGAAAGATGTAACATCATCGCGAAACATTAACCAAAGTTTGTATGTGCTTCTCTTTGTTGTAAATGTATTTAATTGTGTCGTCAATAAAATATAGAGAAAATGATAAAAGTGGTGAATGCGTCTGACAGATAAGTGAGATTTCTTTATATATTGCAGTGCTCCGCAATCTTTTCTCACCTGCGACGCACAAATAATCTTTGGAATTTCGTGGCACACCAAAGAGTTCCGAGTTATCAAGGAAGTGCCTAAAAAATTCAAATGCTGACACACTTACAATCACACACACAACCACACAACAGTGAAATATATAAAAACATTTAAAATAGACATTATTAAGGAAAAAAAAATTGTCATTGTGTATTAAATACATGATAAAAAATTGCAAAATGTCAAATACATGTATTTGATTGCGGCACACCTATATACTACTCATGGCACACCAGTGTGCCGCGGCACACCGGTTGCGGAGCACTGATATATTGAATTGAATTGAGTTTTAGCGACAAAGAATGTATATGCGTACTTACAAATTTTTTTGGTGTCGATAATCCAGAAGAGACCTTTAGATAAAGTAAATTGCGAAGTGAATACTGAAAAACGTATTTAGCGAATTGAATAATTTAAATTGTTATGATGGATATTGAAGCTTTAAAAAAATGATAGAGCACCTGTCAGACGCGCGGCAACTGACACTATGAAACTGTTAGAAACTGAAATAAGCAAACAGGAAAGATCAGTTGATTTAATTGATGAACTTTTAGATAAAGAAGCTAATTTAAAGAATCTTAACAAAAAAATTCTAAAACTGTGCAAAACGGAAGAAATAGAAAAGGAAATTGAAAAACAGCAAGAATATAAAGATAATATTATTACTTGGAAAATTTGCACGAATAGAATCCTGAAAATGAAAGAAAGCGAAGTTCGTGAAACTGAAAGAACGAATGTTGTAGAAACCAGAAGTGAGCAGCAGAATACAGTAAAACTTCCTCGCTTGCAGATACCTCAATACGATGGCAATATATTAAGGTTTAACGAATTTTATTATCAGTTTGAAGTAGCTATCCATAAAAATGGTAATGTAGAGTAAGTTTAGTTATTTAAAATCGTACTTAACAGACAAAGCTGAGGTAGCTCTACGTGGTTTAGCATTAAGCTCTGAAAACTATGAAATTGCCTTGAACATATTAAAAGAACGCTTTGGTCGAAAACATATTATTATCGATGCGCATATGGCAAGACTTTTAAACTTAAGTCCAGTACGAAAATCATATGACATTGTAGCATTACGTAGACTTTACTCAGAATGCGAAACACATATTCGAGGATTTAGAAAATAACGGAATTAATCCTAATAGTTACAGTTGTCTATTGTATCCAGTGTTGTTAAAATCGATACCCAAAGATTTGTCCTTAGAATTTTCTCGTAAAACACATTCGAAGATGAAAACAAAATATCTGATTTATTGGAATTTTTAAAGATTGAAATTCAGTGTCGTGAACGGAAATGAGTACTTAAGTAGAGACTTTAATTTAAACACTTCAGATTCGCGATTGGAAACTAAATTTAATCCTTTACAAAAACCTAATCAAAAGTATGGGAGATTTAATAAAACCAAAATTGATTATAGCGGGAAAAATAAATTAAATTCGAACATTCCTACTACTTCTGCATTTATTGTTGATGTGAAAAAATGTATATTTTGTACAAAACCGAAAAATAGAGCACGATTCTACCTCTTGTCCCTTATCGGTAGAACAGAGAAAATTAATTCTTAGAAAATATGGTATATGTTATGCCTGTTTTTCGAAGGGGCACGTCCAATAACAGTGCAAAGCAAAAACTACTTGTGGAATTTGTAAACGTTTTATGCATCACGAATTGATTTGCGATCAACCCAATGTTTATTCTTCTTCCCCTGCTCTGGAGTCTCGTCAGACCGTCGACGCGAATAAATTAAATGTTGTGTCTTCCGTAGCATGTGTGAATGAATCAGATGATTGCGACATACTACTTGAAACTTGCTCGGCAGTATTAATAGGCAGTAATAAAAGCAAAGAGATTAATATTTTGTTAGATAATGCATCACAGAGATGTTTTTTGAGAAAAGAAGTAGCCGTAGAAATGAAACTACCCATAATTATTAGACAAGAAAGTCTAGCTGTTTACACTTTCGGTTCTAGAGTGCCAATACAAAAAACGTATGACGTAGTTCGGTTTTCACTTTGTAATTTATGTGATTCAGGACAAGAAAATAACGATTGAAGCACTTTTGACTGACTGTATTTCTGGATCGCAGTTTAAAGTATCACATAACAAAGTTAATGCAAATACTTTCGAGAAGAACATTCAGTTGTCAAACTTAAGTAAATCGTCAGGAAATGAATTGTCTCTGCTTATTGGAGCACAGTATTTTTGGGAATATTCATACGGGAGAAAAAACAGCGATTAAATAAATCTTTGTATTTGATTGATACTCTGTTTGGAAGGGTTGCTTCAAGGTCGAATCCTTCCATCAGATTTAAATGCGAATCGGGATATTTCTATTATGAAAATTGAATGTTGCGCCGCATTAAATGAAAAACTAAACGCAGTTTTGGCAGTTAGATTCAATGGGGATAAATGATACTCACAGTGGAGATTTTAAATTTAAAGAGGAATTTATTTCTCAATTCGAAAGTAATTTAAAATATGAAAATGGAATGTATACAACTAAATTATTCTGGGACGGTAAACCAGAAAACTTGTCTAACAATTTCGCGGTAGCAAAACGAAAGATTTCGTAACTTAAGTGTAAAAATTGAAAGAAAATGATTGGGTTTATAATGAATATAAGAATATAGTTACGGAGCAATTAAAACTGAATATCGTTGAAGAATGTCCTTTCGGCTTAGAAGAGAATTCTTATTATATGCCTCATTCAGCTGTAGTAAGATCAGATAGGGACACTACGAAAGTCAGATTGGTTTTTGATGCATCGTCAAAAGGTAATAGGTGCAAATCTCTTAATGAATGCTTGAATCCGGGGCCACCGTTGAATCCCAGAATTTTGGATGTAATCTTGAGATTCCGCGAATATGAATATGCATTCAGCTGTGATATTCAGGGAGCATTTTTGACCATAGGAATAGCGGAAAAGGATAGAGACTATTTACGTTTTTTCTGGTTTTCAGATGAAAGTGATTCAAAAGCTTACAAAATTTTACAAATGACTTTCGTTCCCTTTGGAGTGACATCAAGCCCATTTATCCTTGCTGCGACTATTAAATACCACATTAGAAAATATAAACTTGAACAAAGCGAAACTTGTGAAATGCTTGACTCGGCACTTTATGTAGATGATCTTTTTTACGGAGCAAATACAATAGAGAAAACTTTAGAACTTTCAGAATAGCGCTGTAAAAATTCTTAAAGATTTAGCGAACATGAATTTAAGAAAATTTAATACTAATTCGGATGAGTTGAGAAATTTATGGAGTGAACGAGGTTTGTCTGATTTGACAGAAACTAAAGAACGTCCTTTGAAGGTTTTAGGCATAATATGGAACACCGAAGAAGATACTTTTAAGTTAGATGTAAAAACCTCTACTGGACATGACCTGTGATAGGAAGAATTCAAAACGTAGTGTACTTCAGACAGCTTCGAAGTTATTTGATCCTATGGGAATTGCATCACCTTTTATTGTTCTCATAAAATTATTAATGCAAGAAATATGGGAACTTGGTTTAGGATGGGATGATGAGCTATCAACTGACTTGAAGAAAAATGGGATATAATTGGTGCTCTCAGATTTATCTGTTGAAAGATTTGACAATCGAAAGAAAATATTTCTCCATACCATGGAAGTTGGTGAAAGAATTAGAACTACACATATTTTCTGACGCTTCTCCTAAAGCTTTCGGAGCAGTTGCGTACTTCCGTTACGTGTCAAGTGATGATTGTATTTATACAAGTTTTATCACTGCGAAATCTAGAATCGCACCGCTTAAAAGGTTGACATTACCGAAGGCTTGAACTTATGGGAGCTGTTATTGCTTCTAGACTTTTCCAATATTTGAAAACAAATTTTAAATTTCCTGTGTCCTAGGGTATATATGTGGACAGATTCCTTAATCCGCTCTTCATTGGATTAAAGGGAAAGCTTCAAAATGGAAACCTTTTGTATCGAACCGTGTATACGAAATCCAGTCTAGAACTGATCCTGCTGATTGGAATCACTGTAGTGGGCAGGATAATCCTGCAGATTTCATATCTCGAGGAGCTATCATGGAAAAGTTTATGTCCAGTTTGATTTGGATGCAAGGTTCAGAATGGCTTCGGTTGAAGAAAAGGGATTGGCCAAAAGGCTCTAATTATGAAATTTGTCTAGAGATTTCTCCAGAAGTATATTGCGAAAAAAGAAGTAAACTGGAAGAAGTATCGTCTTTTGTGTGCGAAGTGCAATCGAATTTGACACATTTAATGGATTTGAATAGATATAGTAGTTTAAGAAAATTATACCGTGTTACAAGTTGGATACTACGATTTATATACAACCTTAAATTTAAAACTAAATGATGTGGTGAACTAAGCAGGCTGAAGAACTTAACGAGGAAATTATCAAAAACTGTTCAAAGTGAAGCTTTTGCGAAGAGCTGTCCTCTTTGAGACAGGGTAAAACAATTTCTAGGACATTCCTCTATTCTAGAACTAAATCCCTTTTTTAATAATGACGGGATAATGCAGGTTGGTGGAAGACTTCAGAAGTCAAGACTTTCTTACCTTTCAAAGACACCCAATTATTATGCCCTCAAAACATCACTTTGTGAATTTATTAGTGTGGGATGCACACAGCAAAGTGTTTCACGGTGGAATTTCTGAAACTTTGATAGAAATACGCGAAAGATACTGGATAATTAAAGGAAGACAAACTGTTAAAAATATCTTAAGAAAAATGTATTTCGTGTAAACGATTTAATTCTTCTCCTGGTGTGCAAGTTACTGCTCCTTTACCAGTAAATAGAACAGAAGAATTACCTCCTTTTTCTGTAGTAGGTATAGATTTCGGTGGACCACTTTATACCAAAGACAGTGATGAGAAAAACTACATCGTGTTGTTTACTTGTGGAGTAACGCGAGCTCTTCATTTAGAGTTTGTTGGTAGCATGACCACAGAAACATTTCTTCTTGCTTTTCGACGATTCACTGCTCGTCGAGGTCTATGTTTCTCAAGTTTTGACGGACAATGCCAAAACTTTCAAACGATCAGGAACTTGAACTTAAAAATTATGTGGACTGTCATTAGTCATCCAACAGTAAAAGACTTTTACGCCTCCCACAAAATCCAATGGTGCTACATCGCTGAGAAAGCTGCGTGGTGGGGTGGCTTCTATGAAAGACTAATTAAATCTGTAAAACTTGCTTTACGAAAAACTCTAAGAAAAAACCACTTTATCTCGAGAAGAGTTAGAAACTCTAATTATTCAAATTGAAGGTGTTCTTAACTCTCGTCCTTTAACTTATATTTATTCTGAATTACAGGAACCTATGCCTCTAACTCCAGCTCATATGCTATTGGGGCACAGGGTGAATAGTTTGCCTTCTGCCAGGCTTCATTTTGATTCTAATTTAGTTAATAGGAAAATTCTATCAAAAGATTTAATTATCGAGAAAGATTGGTAAATATGTTTTGGAATAAATGGGAAAATGAATACTTATTAATGCTGAGATCTGTTCATTGTGTTAAACGTTCAGGTAAAATTACTGAATTTAAAGTTAATGATATTGTATTTTAATTCATGATGCAAAGCTACCTAGACATTTTTGGAAATTAGGAAGAGTTGTAACAGTATTTCCTGGCAGAGATGGAAAAGTAAGGTCTTGTCAAATTAAAACAGGTACATCAGTTATTAAAAGACCTGTGCAGCTTTTATATAATCTTGAAATAAATGAATAAAGTTTAATTGTTTATTATATGTTTATTAATCTGTATTATTGTTACAGGACTACTCCATATATGTGATGAAAGTTTAATGTATGTACAGGTATTGAGTTGCCAGCTTATTATCTTTATCATACTTTATTGCAGGTAACTTACAAATTGTTTAAAGATGAATGATTTGTTTATATAGTAAATAAGTGTAGTTTCTTTAATATGTGAATTGATTGAACTTTACATTGTAAGAGTTTCTTTTGTTAAATTTGTATTAATGTAAGTGTTCGAATGAACCCCTGGTCATTCGGAGGGCAGTCTGTAGAAACTGTATTGCACCAGATGGCGCTGTGTGCGCTTAAATTCTTCGGACTAGTTCAAAACCTTGATGATTGCAAAAGATGTAACACCATCGCGAAACATTAAGTTTGTATGTGCTTCTCTTTGTTGTAAATGTATTTAATTGTGTCGTCAATAAAATATAGAGAAAATGATAAAAGTGGTGAATGCGTCTGACAGGTAAGTGAGATTTCTTTATATATTGAATTGAAATGAGTTTTAGCAACAAAGAATGTATATGCGTATTTACAAGCTATACAACAGATGACATATTAGAAAAACATATATGAAACATATTTTATCTAGTATTATATTTATCAAACTATGAAAAATGAAACAGCACTACAAAAATTTGCAAGTTTTTTTATATCCATAATGAAATAGCCTCAACTGTATGTTTTACTAATTAGGATTTTAAAACAATAGTTGAGGCACGAAATAAATGGTGACAGAAACATCTTTTATTAATTAACATAAGGGAACATGTTCATAAAAAATATGGTACTTACGTATTTTTGCAACCACGCTAGCAGAAGTCACAAAATTTCTGAATGTGCCAAACTCTGACAACCATGCCAATAACAGTTTTTCAGTCAAGCAGCGTCGCCATCATTTTTGTAATGTTCCAAATCCAAATGGTTTTTATAGGCGCATCATGATATTTTTTTGTCTTAAACTCACTTTTAAAGTCAATGCTTATGGAATTTGCCAGCAATGGAAAAAAACTGAGATAACATTTGTGCAGGAATATAGCATTTTGCTGCAAAATTCCTAAAGGAAATAATGATAAGATGCTCTTGGCAGATAGTTAGCGTGAAATGCAAAATATGTGTACAACTGTCTGACATTTTTTAAGCGAAAACTTATCAATATATACACGAAGAGAAAAACAGCCGGGGTTGGGAAGGTTTTTGTGAAACTGAATGAAACTACAATAAAATAATTGAAGGCTTTTCAAAAAAGATGTAAGTGTTTTGTTTTTTCATGTAAGATATTTTTAATAATTTAAATTATTAAGTATGTTTTCTTTTGATACATTGATAATGTTTCCTATTTATAATAAATAAGAATTCGGCAATCTTAAAAAAAATTGGGCAAAATCGTCAAATTATACCAAGGTAGTTGCAATAAACACCAAAATTATTAATAGTATATATTATAAATCACATCAAGTAAATTTACTACAAGTTGCATCAATTAGGTATGTTATTAAAAAATAAAGTAAATATATAATTTTTCAAGAAGTACATTTATTGTTTTTCAAATGTTGCATGTAGGCAATTACAAGTATAATTTGAAGATTTTATTTTTATAAATATTTTATTATTTATATTCAGTTTAAATTTATATTATTTTATACTCAATGACAACACTCTAAGAATCATCAGTGTCATCATACCAAACGGAAGTTAAAGATTTAACCCACCCATCTTTTAAGTATTTTTTAATATCCATTACACAGATATTAAAAACTTACTGTTTTAAAAATGAAGACAGAAACAGATGTACATATAAGAATAACAGTAAGTAAGATAGCCATCTAATAGATTAATAAACATAAATTAAATGCATAATTTACTACCATAATTATACCTGTAGCAGGAAGAAAAAGAAGATAACATTAACATGTTTCCATAGATTTCGAATAAATTCAGTGAACTCAAAAATAAGAGAAGGAAAGAAGATGTGGAATTTTCACACTGAAAAATACTAATGTTATAATTTTAGCTCTAAATAAGTTATTGATGATACTAAAATTTTATGCACTTAGCAATTTTAATCTTATTCTTCCATATTCTTATTTTCATGAATGTAGCATTCTTTACATTACCTAATGCTGGAATACCAAATTTAATAATGTAGCATTCTTTACATTACCTAATGCTGGAATACCAAATTTAATAAAGTGCTATGAATAATAGAGATGAAATGTAGATAAAATTATTTCTACTTTAAAAATGAAATAAAAAGTATTTTTTTACATGGAATAGTGTAGCGCATATCTTCCCAGGTAGAGGAAATATCTCCGCTCCAGTGTCCACTGTGAACACCTTGACCAGCAAATGTTGCTCGTGATATGATGAATGGTCTTTTACCTCTCACTTGCTTAAGAGCCCTACAACAAATACATAAAAAATTTACAAAAGAAATTGACAAGAATTAAACTAAGCAGAGTTGCCCTTAAACTGAAATATATATATATAATTAATTCATACTGAATCTAAAACAGATTTTAGAACTTATTATCATGAAGTTTTTGAATTTTAACCCAGAAAATAAAAATATTTAAATGAATGGTATGCTTTAAACAACTGCAAATTATATGATAATTTTCAAATTACCCTAGCATATTCCAAAATTTATGCATTATATTTCTATTACTTAAAATATACATATATATATATACATAAGATAACACTTTAACTAAATACATAGAATAAAATTTTAATTTGTAATAGGCCATAACTTCTTCCTGTTACTATGGTTACTTCCCTTTCCTGTCCCATAAATAAGCCACCCATTTAATAATTAATCTTTCTGAATTGCCTCATTCCTAAATTGGTGGTTGTCGTATGTTTCTTATATAAGGCTGCTGATACGCAAAATTACATACCAGTGGAAAGTGAATGTGAAGTCTTAGCTCCAATAATATTTAAACTAAAACTTTCAACAGTGCCAGTAATAGTAAAGTGATACTATGATCATGTGTGAAGAATGTATGTAATATGTGAAAATCAGAGAACTCCTCCTCTCTGCTTTTTCATATTACATATCTTATTCCTGCTGTTTCAACCTGCTCTGATTTTATTAAATGTGATCAATACCTGAAAATATATTAAAAACAAAAATATGTTTTAAGGGAAAATCTGTCTCTACTAGTAACTACATCACAGCATTTAATATTTAACAAGGGTAAAAGAAACTGTGCTCCTTAATAGATTTTAAAAAGTTGTTTGTTGTTGCCTTATCATCTTGTTTAGTTATTAGAGAAAACAAAGAAAAAATTAAGTAAAAAAAATTAGTAAAAAAGTCTTCGTTTTCCTGAACTTATGACATGCTAAATGTGAACCTTTTTTTATACCAAACTTGTTTGTAATCAGTTCAAGAAGTTAAGTGCAAGTTACCTTCTGCACCTGTGTCCTTCACTTCATAAAAGAAGTTCTAGATGTGCTTTTAAATTTACCATAAAATGCTCCACAAAATGTTAAAGATGCATTAAAAATGTGTACATTTTTAAATGATTCAGTGTCTTAAAATTGGTTCTTAAAATTGGTTTTACAAGAACAGTGTAGTACTGCTTTGTGATTTCTAGTCATATGTATGTTTATCTAAAAAATACTGAAAATCAAATATTTCCAATATCCAAAATTTTTCCTTATTTTTTATTAAATTATGTCACAGTTTATGGGTTTTGCCTAAACGTTTGGGATTTAAGAGCTTATTTAGTACACATCTTCGTACTGTTTCTAAGCAAAACAAACTTGTACCATTCAGCAGAATCTTATCCATAAGTGACTAACAGAAATAACATGAAATCCCATATTTTCTTTATTCACTTATGCTAGATTAACTGCAGGTTTTGGTGCAACCGGAGTATAATTTACTACTTTTGATTAATTTCTGAACCTTTTTATGCTTTAAATGCATAACTATGAGTGTGTTAGATAATAAAATATACATCTACTTAAATACTAATCCTGAAACCTAGTAAGAAAAACAGTATAAAATTCAAAAAAATAAGGGGAAAATTGTGAGTGGAAAAGGTTTAATTAAAACATAATATATAAAATAATAATATATTATATTTGTATCAAATTTTTATATAAAAATAATTATTATAATGTATTTAATAGTATATTATATTTGCATATTTGTAAATAATTATTTAAAATAATTATACACAAATATACATCTTATAAAAAGACTAAAGAAGATACACTGAAGTTAATTAAAAAAGAACTTAAAATAGCAATTAGAATAAGTATGATGTACTTAAAATTGCAAAATCTATTTCACACATATTATAGCTCTCTCTCCAGTAGTTGGTAAGAAAATGAGATTCAGAATCATATGACAAAGTCTACACACATGGCAGAACATTAACAAAGGAATCTTCATTACAATACTTCCTTGAATTTTTATCTTTTGTTGCCTTAATTAATTAATTTTAATTACTTTGTCTCATTTCCCACTTAGTAGACAAAAAAAAAAAAAAAAAAAAAAAAAAAAAATGTAATTCCCGATTTTCAGAACACATGCTATGACATTTATGCTCATTACATCAACTCTCACATTGCTTATTTCCTTCTTTTTATCAAGTAAATAATGCCATATTTGTTCTAAGTTGCAGATAAAATATTTTTCGCATTAGTTTTTGAAACACTGGACAATAATATCGAACAAGAAATTTCTTGATTCATATTTATTCAACTTTTTCTTAAATTTATCTTAAATGTAATAATTTTGTTCATTCTTTTAAGCTTTAACATTTTTGTTTTTAATACTTTCGTCTCATTATACCCTATTTTATACTGCAAGGGCCCACGAGCGGTTGAGCGGTAAAGTCGCTGAACACTGGTAGTTCGGTCTGAGGTTCGAATCCCGTGAATGGGCTGGCTGCATGGGCATTTTCGTGGTTTTCTCCATGTGTAACATGTTTACGAGCCAGTTTCCCTTAGAAAGTCCTCCACGAAGGCATCCCTCCCCTTAGGCAGATAGCCCTGGAGGCTTTGTCATAATTACACAAACCAAACTAAACCATTTTATACTGAACTCAAATTACATACTTTATTATACAATTTCTTTGAAAACAGCTAAACATTAAATTTGATTCTTAAATTAGATAAACACATCTTACAAATTTATTAAAATTATATTTGTAATAAAAAACAAAAATAATTATAATGAAACAAAGAAACTTAAATTTAAAAATAATTAAAAAAGTTTGGCATTTATTTAGCTTATCCATTAAATCAGAAGAAATTAAATAAAATTTATTGATAACAAAAGATGCAGATGACATATACTAGCTTTTCTTAACTATAACATTTAAGCTTATAGATCCAATAAACAAAGAATTTAAAGGAAATATAGTAGTTACAGTTGTTAGCTACTACCTTGATTTTCTTTGGAATACTTGTATCATGTTTTGCATAAAAATTAATAAATATATTAAATATTTTTAAAAGTTTCATTCATTAGTACAGTGAGTTCAAATGAAATAGATAATTAGTTTGAAACTATTTACAGATGATCTATTTTTAATAGTTTTCCTTCAATATATATTGCTTAAATTTAATTTATATTTCTTTTCTTTATTATATTAACTTTGTAACTTCAAAAACCATACATATTGTTTAAATGTGAAGCCAAAGAACCAAATTGAATCATTTACATAACACAAAATACTCTGACCTTCTAACAATTTAAACACAGCAAAACAAAGCAGATTACATACTGATTTGTAGCAACAGCCTCTCTGTAGCCTAATATGTTATGCTCATTATAATGCACAGTATAATAATGCTTTGCAGTCATACAGAGAGTCTTCACACGTAAAGGAAAATCACCAGTAGGAACATAAGGTGGATTCTCCAAAGATGACTCTGGACAACCATTAACTGATCCATTCAAAAAATTTGAAGGTTCATTCATATCCTATCCAAATAAGAAAAAAATAAGTAATAATTTTTTGTAGTTACTGCAATGCAGAAAATCACATTTGACATTATCCGTGCACGAGAGAAAATAAACCTCAAACTTAAACAAAAATCCTTTAATGAAGTATTTCATTTTAAACATGTATTAATCCAGAATTCTTAATGCACTGATTGTTAATCAAAATACACAATTTAAGCATAGGATTTTGTTTACAGTGAATATACATGTACTTTGTTTTTTCATAACATTTTATTTCATCAAGTAATTTTTGTATTACATACCGATAACTTTAACTTAAGCTGATGATTTTACATTACAGTGTATACAACTGTTTTAAAATAATTCTGTATTACTTTTTTGAAAAATGTCCTTATTTTCAATTGATAGATTGCAAAAGAATTTTGATTTAAAATCATATTTTAACAACACTATACAATATAAAAGTTTGGCATAAAATATAGATAAAACATTTGAATAGCTAGATTTTAAAGCACTTTTCATTTAAAATTTTTGGAGCTTGGGCTTTAAAATAACAAAATGCTAAAGCCATAGCTCTCTTTCACTCAAATGTAAAACATGAAATTATCTGATTTTTAAACTTTAGATTTAAAGAAAGCACAACCACTGCAATTAAACATAGTTTCATTCTCTAAAACTTAACAGAATCTTGAAGCAGCATAATATAATGCAAGAAACCAATATTTGCAGAGCTGGCCATCTCATAGACTACTCTTTCCTTAGACAGTCAGAACTGCTAGTTGGCCCTCTGGAATAGATACCACTCGACCACTCAGGACTGGTGCTCTGGTTTCTAGAGACAATATTCAGCTTCTCTATCATTGCTCATGGATTACTTGCTTACCATCTATTCCTGTTCTGTGGAAAGCAGCTGGAAATACAAGCTTTTATACCAGCTGCACTTTACCTAAAGAAAACTCGGAATATGCAGATCTTTTGCCAATGTTTCACAAAATCACATTTCAATAAGGTTTCATAATATAAAAGTATAAACATTTAATAAATAGCTTTAATTTCTATACAAGTTCTAATCTTCTAAAAATTATGATGACGAATTACGGAAAATGTATCTGATATTTTATTCTATCAGAATTTTTTAAACAAAATTTCTGAATGATATAGTTACTTTAATAATGTTCTTAGAGAGTGTAATGGGAATATCTATATATATATATATACTAACAATCCAAACTCCATCAAATGCAACTTCTTTATAGAAATTTTTGAATTGATTTGTCCAATAAGAAGATGCAGAAGGGTGACTAAAATCTGGAAATACTGTATATCCATCAGTCCAAACCTAAAGCATAAGTAACAAAAAGAAAAAATTAAAAATTCAATACATTTACATAAAATGCTACAATAAAAATTATTCAAACTTCTAATTGTGAGCTCTATTTTTTTAGTGTAAATACACATATAGCGTGATCATAAAAAATGCTAAACACATATAGCAAAAAAACGCTATACACATATTTTTTATAATCATGCTATACACATATAGCGTGATCATAAAAAAACTTCCCCATTATATTGTCAGGACTGCTGTTACCCCTAATTGCCTTTGGAAACATAATTGGAGTCCTGAGTAGGAACAGGGAGATTACTCAAAACTATGTTCGTGTGTGTGTGTAGAAGATACAACAAAGATAAGAAGAGTTAAATTTACCCTTTATTTCTCACAATGAACAGCCATTCCCATACTTCGAGATACAGAGACCAGCACTTATGGTCTAAAACGTAGAAAATAAGAAATAAACTAACTTAATAAGAACTAAACTTAGATGCTTCACAGAGAGTAGTATCGTGAAGATTGGCCTGTTGACATTACGTATGCAGTGAGCAAAATGCAAAAGACTACAATACGTCTTCAAATACTAGCGAGAACTACTTTCTGGCCCTAAAGACAGACATGAACTGACTGAAAAGCACACGCATGGCTAGGCAGCAAGAAGTCTCTCTCTCTTTTGGCTAAAAGCCACATCTTAAATACCTATACAGTTTGCAACCTCATTAGCATAAACAAATCTGTTTGCACTTATTCTGGCTAGAAATGGAAAATAAAAGATGACTGAAAAGTTTTAAAATAAAATGAACATTATTAAAAATTAAAAAATCCTTACAATATAAAGTCCTAGCGACTTATCTGCTCAACCAATCAAAATGAAATTTCAGACATTGTTATTTGAAGTCATGCGCTTGAGACTGTAATGATTAGCAAAGAGCTCTCTCAGTTATGGTTACAGTGAAAACGTTTCAAAATTTATGATGAAAATTGTCAATATGAAACATCTGCAAAGAAAAAGCATTGTAAAGAACCAATGACAACACAAAAGGGAAGAGGGGGAACTTTTTCAATGTGCCTACCTTCACAGACAATAAGACACTGCATACAAGAGATTATAGACAATAATGATGAACATTACATTGTATGAGGAATCTTGATAACTTCACATTTTATGGAATTTTTAAATTCTAACAAATCTTGTGGATGTGTACACCTTAGATCTTAGGATTACCTCAGAACCAGATATCCACTGGAGTGAGATCAGGAGATTGCGGTGGCCATGAAATTGCAAAGTTATGCATGATGTCTCATCTCCAAACTGCTATTGCAGCACTTATTAAATACATGTGGCAATGTGTGGAGGAGCATCATCTTGCACCCATATAGTGTCATTAAGCACATTTCACTGCTGAAATTCTAGAATTATGTTAATTCTGCAACATTGTTGTATTGAGCAATTGCGACAGAGCACATTTTCATATGTGGGAAAGTGACCTCTTTGACGAAGCATGGACAGAGAATGAATGTGCTTGTGATGTCACACCACACAGTCCTTTTAGCTTCTTGAAAAGGTGCTGATGCTGAGTCATAAGGATTTTCATTAGCCCGGTGAATATAGATCCTACAGTTTATGTTCCCAGTTAAGAAAAAACACACCTCATCCATCCATAATATCTCCAATGGCTACCTGCTATCTTCATCATGTCTGGTGAGAAAGAATTTGCAAAGTGAACATGCTTTTGCTTGCCTCCAGTTGCAACATCTGGACACACTGGAATTGATAAAGAAACACCTGCAGAACAGAGCACAGGTTTCAGCACATCCAAACTGCTGCAACACTTCTTGCAGAATGCAATGGACCTGCAGTAATTGTATTATGCACTTCTGCAACAACTTCAACAGAAACACATGCCATTATACAAAATGCATCTTTGCACCTCCCCTCTGCATTGGCCGTTGGCCTTTAACAGTGCTCTTCTTTGCAAATGTTTTACACTGGCAATTTTCATCTTATATGTAACATTCCTTTGCATTAATGTTTTTTCAATATGCTGATCAATTTACACATGAAAAAAAAAAAAAAAAAAAAAAAAAAAAAAAAGTGTTGCCATTTGAAAAATTCAAAATTTTTTCACCTTTTCAGACAGTTTTTCATGACTACCTTGAATACATAAAGTGGCAACATCGCACCCTCTTTTTGGCACTTTATCTAAACCTCCACACAGTGGAGGCAGGCAGCGGGTGAACTTCATGTGAGGAAGATGTTTCCTTTAAGTCAAGTTACAGACATGAAATGATTAAGCATGACAGAATATGGGCTTAATAAGAAGTTATTGAAAGTAAATGTGAACTGAGTTTCAACTGCTTTAATAACTGAAAGTGACCATTTATTTTAAACTGTGTATATGTATTTGCCATCGTCTCATCCACCAAATTCACTAGATAAAAAAGTGTTATCAGTCAAAGAAGTAAATCACGAACCTATATAAATATGACTAATTGTTTATAAAATATAATGAAAAGTGACATATTTTTAATTACAATCAAAGAATTTATTTTGTAATTTTAAAAACGAACAATTTTCTTCCTCTTGCAGCAATAACACAAAATTCTAGCTTTTATTTTTGGCCAAAAAAATCTGTTCCTCCTTAAATTTTCACAACCCTTACAATACAACAGAGAAAGTAAATATTATGGTATGCAAGTCCATAACTTTGAAGTTACAATGTCTTAAAAACGTTCTGTTTGCTAAAAAATAAGGACATGCAGTACATTTTTTTACAAAAATTTATTCTGTAAAATTTTATGAAAGTTCAACTTAAATCAAAATTTTTCTGAATATTTACTAAATATTATTTATAATACATGAACAAGCAAACAAGTTCAAAACAACCAGTCGCTGCTTTTATAATATAAAATTCTGTGTCAAAAGTTGATTCATTTTCATTCTCAACAGCACCTTTCCCATTCACAGCTGATTTTTCAAGATTTTTCATTTAGATATATATAAATTCAACATTATATAAATTGTGAATCAATTCAAGAGTATGATTAACACATGCAAGTATTCATTGGAATACACTTACACACACATTAACTAAAAATATGAAAGCCATTTAAACACATTTCTCTACTTGGATGCTTTTATTCTTTAAATATCCAAATCTGCTGCTGGGGAAATCTAATTTTTAAATAATTAAATTATAAAGTTGCTATGCTATTTAAAAAAATTGCAGCCTTCAACAAACAGCTAGAAATTATTTTATTTTAATGCCATCTAAATTTAATTTGTAAACTACACAGTAAATTTTATAACCTACTCAAGAAAAGTTTTAGCTCAATAAATAAATAACAGTTGCATATAATAATTTAAAATTAGCAATCAGCGAAAAGCTTAAAATTTAATTAATTTTTAATGTTACTTGAATTTAGTTTACAAAACATTAAGTTAAAATGATATATTTAAGCAAATTTTGAGTAAATATACTGCTGTATATATGATTCAGTAACTAAATTTTTCATGAATATCTTAAACTTTTTCCCTATAGAAATAAATAGAAACAGATCAAAATTTTACAGATTGTATTAAACCTGTATGCTTTTATGAATGTTTTATTGTCTTTAACCACAATGGTATTCAATACATGGTCTGCAGATCAGAGATGAACTTTTTGTGCTCTTTGCTGGGATCTGCATCTTTTTGAAAAAATAGGTTCTTAGCACGAAAATTAAATTCAATAACTTACTTTAATACATATTTCTCCTTCTGCTCCTAATCTTTGTAATAAAACCTTCTTGCATTTCAAATCACTTTACAGTGGATTCACTTTGTCCATACAAAGCTGTGCTTGAAGGTGATCAAAATCTGATGCATGATTTATCTAACATTATCATTTTATATTACGTTCTTTAGCTACTGGCACAGACAAATGGCAAATTAATCCCACTGAGTACCGATTCATATAAAAAAATATCAAAGTGGCACATTTTTTATTAAAAATCTGGCATTAAGCACTTGATTTATGTTTTTTTTCATAAGAAAAAAAAAAGGAAACAAAACTTCAATCATTTACCGTTAAATATGTCCCATACTTTAAAAACAAAACACTCAGGAAATATAATTAACAAACAGTGTATGGTTGGCACTATGAAGAAAGTTGCACCTACAGGCAGAGGGTTTAACAATGACTAGATAAAATCCTCTCATATTCTTACAAAAATAACTAACTACCGAGAAACTTCAAAAAGCATCTGTAGGGTGCTAGATAATGAACCTAAATGAATTATTTCCAATGTGATCTACCTAATTATGACATTAAGGGTATTACTAATTTAGTACCAGATGAAGCTATAACCTGTTACTTTAGAATAGGCAACTCAAGGTCCTTTTCTCCTCCCAAACGCATAATCATGGTAACAGTTGCTGCAGAAAAAAAGTCCAATCCCCTAATTTGCTAAAATCTCCTAATTCCCTCTGTGCAGCAATAATGACACATATTGCAATTATAAATGAGGGGAGGGTTGTTATGACCTTGAAGTGCCTATTTTAAAGTGACAGACTACAGTAGATAGCAGTGTCTCATTTCAAACACTGCAAAACAGCTAAGTGGTCCACAAGTATTTTTGGAAACATTAATGTGGCCCTAGGGCCTGTTCAACCTATGTGACTGTACTGGTCAGCAGAATTTAGAAGCCATAAAAATTACACTAGGTGGCAAACAGCCTTGTGCTGGTCCTCTGCGTCTCACACTGTCTGACAGATTAAAGATACCTAATCTTTGGACTAATCTTTTTTTAATCTAAACATATATAAATTGAATTTCCATTACCCAGATAAAACTATTCCAGTCACATTATCAGAGGGTTTCGTTTTCATGAAATTCCACATCTATAGAATATTAAAGTAGAAAACAGACACAGTTCAAATTTGAAAGTATAATGCTTTTCATTTATTTAATATGAAATGATAAGTAATTTTACGTTGTCAAGAATGATTTTAACTCCTTAAAGCATGAGTTTTTTTTTTGAAAACTGCTAAAAAATTATCAAGTTTTTTTTGGCAGAAAATGAATATATTGGTATAGTGTAAGTTATTTTTTATTTGTACTAGTTATTATTTGATTTGTATTAATTTGATACCAATTACTTGCTACAGCCAAAAACTTGTCATCATTACATTCAGATTCACTTCCATCCTTCAAGAGATCATAACTTTCATCGCTGAAACTTTCTGATAAAGTGGTATATTCAAAATCGTCAAAGTCACGCATTATCAGATAAAGTTTTCTAAATAAGTTACAAAAACACTTAGTAAAATTTAGTTTATGGTTAACTGTTTACTTTTAAGACAACACAATAAAAATGGATATATTACTTTTTCCACACCAAACAACTGCTTTATAACAAAGAATTCCTAATAAACTTATAGCTAGTCATAAAAAAAATGCTGCATTGTGGTAAATAAGTTTAATTATAATATAGCCTATCTATTTTTACTAGAACAGATCTCAGATGGGCATTAGAAATAAAATAACGTGAGATACAAGATTGTCCGTGTGAGACACGGGCATGTGCAAATTTCCCGGTAACTTTTGACTGTGTCAGACACGGGGAAATGCATTAAGGGATTAAATTTAATTACTGGAATAAACAGTTACTTGCACATCCGAAGACACTGCATGAAAGAAAAAATAATTTTCACTGAAAGATATAACTTCATATGATAATTTTGAATATTCTCATATATTAATAAACTTTATAAAGCATATTTAAAAGTGTTTTCAAGCTCAAAAATACTAACTTGAATACTCTTCATTCTTCAGGCTGGACACAAAATTAAATTAAATTTTAAACAACAAGCAAACTAAACAAAAACTCATTCTTACCTTTCCAACAAAAATAGTACCATCAGCATTTTTAATAAAGATATTATTTTTCACTCCTTCGTCATATGGTGGATACGTACCCGGTTTCTCAGAATTGCTTATGCCGGGATCCTGGATGGAAAAGTATTTCATGATAATTTTCAGTAGAAATATCGCCCTCCCCCCAAAAATGAGTAAAATGATGCACTATAAGTCATTGAATTTATTTTCAAGTTAATAAAACAAAAATAATTTTTTGTGATATTCATAAAAATCATTAATGAAATTAATGTTAAAAAAAAGAAGCTATTCCTAATGCATAGCTATTGTGATATTCAAAAACATCTGAAAAGATTTATTAGAACATTTCCAAAACTTAAGTAATTCTTTATTTAAGAGAGAAAGAGAGTAAAGTTTATCCTAAGCTCTTAACAGTTATTTTTTAGTTAAAGCTACTTTTACGTCTGTCCTAATTTCAGCTTACAATTTCCTACCAAAATGTGTTTTTAGAATCACGTTTCATGCAAATGAGTAAGAAGAGTATTTAAGTTGAAGTTTCACTGACATCGAGAGAGAAACAGCCTTAGAGACTCTGACTAGCATGCATTTGCCATCTGGCTAAGTCTCTCTAAGCTGTTACTATGCTCAGCCGCATTACAGGCCCTTGATAGCTTATTCGATATTTAGGGGCCAACTATTTAGAATTTTGATTGCTTCAGCTATATCTCTTTAATTAAGCTTAAGTTAGTTAAATCTTATTTCTTATTATTTTGAGTTCAACCCCCAATTGAGGTTTTGCTGTACGTGTTGAGAAAGGAGCCATCTGTTACTCTTATTTTGAGTTCCCTTCTCGAGTTTACATCTCAGTTCCTGAACTAAAGCAATTATTAGCTTAGCTGTTCACTAGGTTCCTCCACACTTAGTTGTGAGATAAAAGGGTGGAACCATAAATTTGGCTGAAGAATTCCTGACGAATGCCTGAAGAATCCGTTAGAAAATGAAACATTTATTTTCACCAGTTTCTCAGCCTCCAGAAAATCCAATGGAGGGAATCAGATTCATCGTGGAAACAATGAGAGCAGCATGAAGCCAGCTGCAACATTCGACAGCAAAGGTTCCGTGATGACTTTCCTGGAGCAGCTGGAATTGCATTTCACGTAATATCCAGTGAACCAGCTGCAAAAAAAATACTATCGCTACAACAAACCTAAAAGGCCAAGCCCTCAGTTGGTTCAAAGGAATTGGCAAATTCCTGTCGGGAGATCCAGGTTCTGAAGTATATACTTGGGAAAACTTTAAAACAGCACTATTGAAAGTATTTCCAGCTGTTAAAGACTGAGCAAAGCTTGAGGCAGAATTGTTTAGCAAGTATCAAACCAATTTTCAAGAGTTAATGGAGTCCATTGTTAGAAAGATCCAGATATTTAATTTACTGTATGGAAAGAGGCCAGATAATGGACTTATTGAAGTGATTCTGCCGTGTCTACTTTCGTCAATTCAGGACTTTCTTGAAGTCAGAAACCCACAAACATTAGACAACTTACTCAAATTAATAGTAAAATTTCAGAGCAGATGAACCGCTCAAAACGTGCGTGTAGGCAAATTTCACCAGTATTCACGGTTTCCTCTGCAGAAGAAACCTCAAGGTTAGCAGAGTTCGTATCGCCAAGCAGAGAAAGCTGAAAAATCAGATAAAAAGACGGGTCATTCTAAGGCATTTGGAAATAAGCAGAAGCAAGGGGCCGGGAAGAATTTAAACTGATCAGGGTGGCCGAGAAGAGGAGCCAGAAGAAAAATCCCTCAGAAATTCAGTTGAATACAGTAGTCGTACAAAATTTGGCTTTGCTGAATTTTATTGAACGATATTCCTACTACCGCCCTACTCAATACCAGAGCTCAGTGCAGCTTCCTTTCACAAGAATTCTTTAAAAAAAATTTCTGCCCTCTCATTAAAAATATACCCAACCAATATGCCTTGATCCAGTGTAAATTTATATCATATATTTCAGCCAGAAATTTGAAATAATTTTTAACTTGGATTATTAATAAATTATCAGGATGTATATTAGAAATTGTGTATAAAGCAAATAAAGCATCAGAATAAATATCTATTTTATGTCTGTACATCAAGTTTCCTTTAACTCATTTTAATCCATAAGAAATTGCTCTAATCTCAGCTTGAAAAACTGAATTGAATGGATTTAATGCACTACAATGGCATTATAAATTTCTCTTTACTCATTTTTTTCAGAGGAAAAATTTTTTTTCTAAAATTCTAAAATATTCCAGTTACTTGAGCTTTCTGATTAGCTGAATGCCAGATGCTAAGAATTTTACTGTATTTAAATTATTTTCATTATTAATATATGCTTTAATTTTTATCTAGCTTTCCTTAAAAATATTTCTGTGCATTATTAAGTAAAATCCAAAGTGTTCCGGCTTAATTTGCTGTTAATCTCATTAATCTCAATTTTTAATTGCTCTAATTTTTTAATTTCAACTTTTTGAAATTCAACTGCATTAATTCAAAAATAAAAATATATAGCGCAAGTACAGTTTTTTCCTTGTCTCTCTTGTTTTCCAACACAAATAAAATTGAAAATAGATTTTTTTTAAAGCTTAAATTTCATAATTCACTTTTTGTTTGGGTATTAATTTCATACTTTTTTCCAATAAAAACATTATATGTAAAATAATCATACAATAATAGGAAAAAAGTTTATAATTTTAAAATGGTCTAAGTTTTCTCTTTTTCTTTTTTTTTAAGAATATCTTAATATTAGAAATTGCAACAAGTTTAACTTCAATTTAAATATTCTGCTATACAACAAATCTTTGATCTAAAACTGTAGTTTTGTTGGTTCAGAACCTCAATCGGTCAACTTAATTTCAAGGAACACTTATAACCAAGAATGTTACATGTATATATATAACTAGCTGTTAAATCATAATAAAATCAATAAAATTAACGAATAGCTGTACATTCTTTGACTTCTATATCAAAAAATTTTTTTCCCTTAGCTTTTCTGTTATTTGAAAAGTTCTTTTTTTTTGTCTTGGATATCCAAGGCTGGAAAGATATTTCTTATTTCTGATTTACATAAACTTAAAAAGCTACCAAAAATGTCTTTGAAAATGATAATTCAGCCACATCGGTTTATGTTCATTCCTTTTAATTACTTTTGTGATTTTAATTTTCCTTTAAATTTTCTTTAAAATATCAATCTTAGCATATTGACTATTATTCTACTACATCTTTTACATTTGCCATTTATTTATTTTAATTTTTCTACTTTGTCTGATAATTCAAACATAAAAAAAAAAAAAAAAAAAAAAAATGTTGGTCTTCTAAATTCATAAAATTGCTGATTTGGTTATAATTTAACTTAATTTTATATGTCAATCTTAGCAGCAAACGTGCAGGATTTTAGTTTTGAAAACACTACTTACATTTTTTAATATTATATTACACACACACACACAAAGCATCTCCAAATATATTCCAAAATTAATTAAAACATTGCTACCAAAGATAATTTCTCTTACTTCAAACAGCTGAATTATAAATTGTCAAGCATAACAATTTATATTTGAGCTCTGCAAAGATTTATTTATTTAAAAAAAATATTTTTCAAGGATGAAAACAATATGAGATAACATGAAGTAACAACAACTAAATAACATTAGTAATATCAGAGACTAAATTTCTAAATAGAAATAAAAAGTAAAAGGAGAATTGTTGTCTTACTGTCATTATCACATAATGCATTCCTTTGTCATGCAGATCATTGACAAACTCAGGTAAACCTTTGAAAGCTTCTTTATCATATGTGAAATCTTTGTATCTGTCCATATAATCTATGTCATTCCACTGAACATCCTACAAAGAAATTAATAATATTTAAAAACAGATCTAAAATTATAATGCAACTTCTTATATAATATTTACTCTTTCAGCAGTATATCCAAAGCAATAGGTAAAATACAGATTATACCCATATGCGAAATATAACCAAAATTACTTGATAACTGCCTTGCCCCAAATCCGTTAGAAAATATATTGGTACCAAGTTGACACGTCATTTGTAACTATCCCAGCCATCCTTTTTCCAGAAAACTAAATGAGACAAAATTCATTCGGATTTTCTCACCCCCCCCCCACTGTGGCTACATTAGTGATGTTAAGACAAAAAATCATTTTTATTCTAGCATTTTTCACTTGCATTTTTACTCTATATCTAATATGTTAAGTACTCACATAACAGGATTTTGTATAACCAATTAAATTCTTCCATATTCATTTCATTAGACAATTCTTTTAAAAACTTATATTTTGGAGGGGATAGCATTCTAATGAAAAAGAAAAAAGGCTTGTTTAATTTTTGCCATAAAACAGGAAGATAAGAAAAAGCCAAAAAATAACTGTATATCAAAATGCTATGAATTATGCATCACCTTTAAGAAGGAAGTAATGCCAAAATATTAAAAAGAAGTCATAATGTACTAATACAAAAATTTCACAAATTTCTTTCAATGACTTTTAAAGTTTCAAGTATAAACTATTTTTTAATTACATACATGAAATTTCAAATACTATGAAAATAAATAAACTAAAAATATTTCATGTTATTCTAATATATTAATATTCATTGCTAAATCTATGATAGTAAAATAGTAACAGAAAATACATTTCAAGTTAAAGAATGAAATATTTCAATTAAACCGATAAAACATTTAAAAGACTATAAGTATTTTAATCTAAACTGTTCAACAAAATAATTTTATTTGTTCAACAGAATAATTTTATTTGTAGAATAGTAAAATGTAATTCAATAAAATTACTTTACTGGATTCTAAATTAAAATATAACAAATCAAATTCTGAAAAGAAATTTTAGTAAGATATGCTTAAAAATATTATACAGCATTATTTATGTTACTTACTAAAGGAATACCAGCATCAATTGTTCTTTGCATAGTTTCTCTAGTTTTATTGAGAGTATGATATCCAAAACGGCACAGATGAAATCCCAAGCTCCAATATGGAGGCATAAAGGTTTTCCCAATTATGCCAGTATATGTTTGAATAACTTCTTCTGGAGAAGAGCCTAACATGATAAAAAAATCCAGAATGCCTCCAATTGGTCGGAAGGTGATTGCAGGAGTAGGCTGAAGGATAATATCTATAGGACAAAAAGAAAACCTTACATATATATGTATAAAACTATTTCAAAGAAATCTAACTATTTTGATGTAACATTTCTGCAATTTGGTAAAGTGATATTTAAATTGCACACAATAATGTTAGTATAGTCATCATGGATCATTATTTTTCACATTTAAATCCTTCCAGAATTAGGAATTAGATCCTTTGATTTAAAAAAAAAGACAGAGGCAATATTATAATAGCAAGTGGTAAGAGCACAAAAACAGTTAAAGTTCAGTTTTATTTATACAAACTATTTTTGCCATAAATAAAACTAAACCTTTAATAAATGGCATAAATAAATAAAATTTGGTATTCCCTGATCATCTACCCAACCCTAAGAAGAATCACTGGGCAAAGCACTATGTTACCAAAGTAGAACTTTATGAAAACGTATTTACCTGGCAACCTTCTAATGGTTGCATAAGTATTATGCAAACTCAAGCCTTGCAACTATTTAGAAGGTATTGGTAATGTTGTGGTTTGAAATTCAAAGGTCATATTTGTGGTTTCTGCATGTTGTGATTACTGCATGAATTTTTTTTTTCTTGTAATGAATCATAATGTCACTGTGGAGTTTGTCTGCTAATGAAAAAGAAAAGTGCTGCATTTTTTCCAGAAATATGCCTGTAGACTGTATAGGTATACACATTCCATGAAGTTATTTATTTATTTATTTTAAAAGTTAAAACAGTTTACATGGAGAGTAGCACCAAGTTGCCCTACTATGCCAAGAACTCTGCATTTCGCCGATGTTTTTTTAAGTTAAAACAAATTGCTGTACACAAGGGCAGAAGACCAAGAAAAGAGAAAGTTAAGTCTTTTAATTATGGATGATTATGATGTTTTTAATTTATTTAATTTGTTGCTGTTTTATGTACTTTTAAGTGATTCATTATGGATATTTTTTAATGTAATTTTCAGTGTTTCATTACCTATATTACTTGCATTTTAAATTTTGTTAATTCATTGTTGTTTTATGTACAAGTAATTATGAGTGCACTACCTTTTTTTTTTTTTTTTTTTTTTTAATAGCTACTTATTTTCACCAGCTAGATTGGTAAAAAATTAGTTGCCAACAATTGGCATCTTTACGGTAAGGGTGGGTGGATAATCAGTAAGCATCTAAAATTTATTAATGCAATAATAAAATTTGATATATATAAAATTAATAAAATGTCTTTTATGTGGTATATTAAAATAAAATACTTTTGACATAAGAACAGTCACATTTCAATACTTAAAAAAATAATCTAAAGAATTCATTATTACCCATAGCATTACTATTCAGAAGAAAGATGCCATTAGCTTTTCCAGCAGCTTCCAAAGACAAATAAAAAGGTTGCGATCCATACAAATTGTGATTTGGCTGCCAAAAATACAGATTTGTTAAACACTTTTAATCTTCAAAGATATGAATAAATATACAATATTCATTACCATAATGAATGAAATTTCTAAATGAAAGTGATTAAACAAGCACATTCTATAGCTGCAATGAAAATTGGTAGATTCTCTATAATACTAGTAAACCCTAATTCTTTAATAAATCAAATAAGTAAGCATGTGAAACTAGCTATGGCATGAATTCCACGGGAATGATAATGGGAGAATTAAAAAACAAATTCAACTTTAAAGTTGTATATACATTTTGTGACTTGGTTGATAAGATTAAACAATATGAAATAATGATTAAATGAATGTGGATTAATTATTTTATTCTACAAAATTAAAGTATTATTAGGTAAAAAACAGTGTTAAACATTAATGATAATGCTGAAAAAGTAATAATACATTACATTACATTTAATGTTACAGAATGCACTTCCATTTGATGTGATAAGACCAGTGAATGACAATAGATGAAAATCTGGCTGCTATTTCATGCTGTAGTAGGACGAGGGGACTTTGACCTTATAATATCGGTTGAGTGCATCCACAGAACACACACTTTTTATTCTTTGAATTTCATACTATAGGATAATGCTACAGATGTTGGCACTTGTGTCTCTGCAATGGAGCATGTAACCTGCTCCATTGCAGAGGGGGAAAAAAGTGAAATATGAGAAAAGAAATGTGTTATGAACAGAGGGTGTTTACATATTTTTAGAATGATTTTAATATAGAATTTTTTTAAAAAAAGCAAATATCTTAAAACAAAAATTTTTGGCAGTTGCTACTTTTAAATTTATTCTTTTAAAATATCATATACAGCACAAAGTCCATAATCCGGACTCGTCGGGACTTCGGCAATTTCGGATTAGGGGTTTTTCCAGATCATCAATTTAAATCTGGTAAGATGGCATGCAGAAATTATACGATTAAAAATCTAAAACCATAATTTATGAAATAAAGAGCAATTATGATCAAATTTACAAATTAATTTGATTACATTACATCGTAAATCAATTTGTACCCAACAGAATAAAATTGTATTGGATATCAAAATTTACAAAAAAAAAAAAAAAAGCTTAATATTTATTTGTTTACTTTATTAAACATTTCTTTCAATGTAAGTTGTTTAAGTTGCTTCTTTGTTTGTGCTAAAACTTTCTCTTTAATTCTATAAAGAGACATAATTTCTTATTCAATTACAAAGCTCCACTGTTCAATCTTGTAATTGCTGTGTCGAGAATACCGACTAACTTGTCAATCGAAATTTTTTCATTTTCAATAACCTCTCTGTCACTTTCTTTACTATCGGAAGCAGTATTTTCTGGATCTAGAACCGTACTACAGATTTCGCTGTCCTTTCATTGAATGATGATTGGGGCATTGACGTAGCAATGAAAAACTTCTGTTATATCATCTTCATTTATTCCTGCTTCTCCACATTTCTTTACAAAATCCAATAACTGCAAAATTTCACCTTTAGTTTGAGATGTCCGAAAACATTTAAATTTGCGGTTATCATCTTCATCGTCCCCACCATGAAATATGGTAGCTGGCCATAAATTATGCCAAGCATTTTTTAACATATCTGGAGAAGACACATCCTCCCATGATCTTGCGATGCTCCACACAGCAGATTTTATGCTAAAAAATTTCAAAAAGTCTTGAATAGTCTTGCCATTGTTCAGAAACAGATTTTACACAGATTTTAAAAATGCTATTTTATATTTGCATTTCAGTGCGTGCACTATTCCCATATCCATAGGCTGAATGATAGACATACAATTTATAGGAAAGAATAATAAGGATACATTCTCTTTCACTAAAACTTTAAGTGATGTATGTGCCGAACAGTTGTCAAGAATCAGGACTATATTTGAGTCATGAGTTAAACCAACCAAATTCAAATGTCGCTGAGCCTCAGGTATAAAATGATTTTCAAAGTAGTCATTCATCAATGCTCTTTTATTTGTGTGATATATAATGAGAAAATCATTACTCCTTTAAATGCTCGAGGTCATGCATGTTTTTCGATTACGAAAAGTTTGCACTTGTGCGTTCCTGCAGCATTTGCACACGCTAAAATTGTCAGTCTCTCTTTGGAATCTCTGACACCAGTTGGAGCCTTTTCTGTAGAGGTTGCCAAAGTATTTCGCGGTACATATTGCCAGAAAAGACCAGTTTCATCAGCATTGTAAATTTGTTCTGGAGAAAATTTTCCACTAGTAATGAGTTCAATAAATTCATCTGCAAATTGTTCAGCAGCTTCAGGATCAGCTGAAGCTTTTTCACCTGAAATTTTTAATTGCCTTATACCATGGAGATTTTTAAATTTGGTTAACCAACCTGTCGAATATGTGCACTCAGTGTTTAAGTTCATTTCTTCATGAAATATTTTGGCTTGAGCCATTAGCATTGGACCTGTCAATGGCCCGCCTTCGCTGCAACGCTGTCTGACCCATTCAATCATCACTTTGTCAAGATCGTCACTTTTAGCATAATGAACACTTTTTCTGTTATTCATTGAAAGTGAGGTGTTGAAATACACAAAAAATTCAAAAAGTTCCTTTTTCTTTTTGCTTATGTTGTTGACTTTCCAATGTCACACTCCTCGCATAATTTTGAGATGGATATGCCTTTATCCATTTTTTCCAGAAATTCCACTTTCTGTTTGATGGACATCGAAACATGCTTTCACTTTGTAGATCCTTTGGCAGCTCCAGAATTGGAAACTCTTTTTGACATAATCGAAAGTTCAAGCTTAATTTTTATAAAATCGTTCTAACAGTCTGCAAAAAATAATAAGCCGGATCCAATTAGAAGATTAAGGAACAACGCAATCTGCAACATTAACTGAAATGCCTTAGAATCAGTAAAGATAATTTTAGCCTAGCTTATACCATCTGTTATACATTAAACACATATGTGTTAACGCATTACGTGCATGTGTAAAGCATACAAAAAAAATTTTGAATGTACAAATCTGGTCAATATAAAAGTAATTTCAATAAGGGTTTATGTTTGTCACAGAATTTTCTTACAATGGGAAATTAAAAGTAAGAAGTAGGAAACTAAAATGAGAGCGAAGTTGAAATTCATAATTCTTCAGATTCTTTGGTGGAAAGTGTAAGAACCTTAACTGTTAAAGTACCTACTAGACGAGAAGGCTGGTCATTTTTCTTTTCTGTGTTAAAAAAAAGAACCTGTCTTAATGTCCTTGATAATATAAATAGAGTTTAATAATTATGAAAACTATTATTAACAGAATTTTAACCCACCTCAAGTATATTAGAATAATTTAGAAAGGCCATACATTAGCAAAACGAAACTTCTACACAATTTGCTTCATGTTTATTTACAAGTTGAAATTACTATTTATATCTATGAAAAGTGTATTTTGAAACATTAAATGATCTTTTTATACTGAATAAAATATTTTTTATGCTTGAGAAAGAAGAGGCATCTCACATTTGTGTTCGACAAGCTGAGAAAAGGCTTCGTCCATCTAAGTAAGCTAAAGAAATAGATCTTAAATGTAGGAAAAGTTCTTAAAAGTTAGAAGTTCATATCATAAAAGCTGTCAAGAAAAATTAGTACCAAAAGTAATTTTAACAACGTATGTTAAAAGTTCAAATTGTGTTATTTGTAATGAAAATCATGCTTTTGTATCAATGTACTAATTATATGAAGTTAACTGTACATAATAGAGTAGAAATAGTAAGAAACATAATTTTTTCTTTAACTGTTTAGCATCAAATAATTTGCTCATACTTTAAAAATTACAATTTAAAAATTGCAAATCAAAATTTTCATATTCTATGCACGGTAAAAGATCCCATGCGACACTTCATTTTCAATCAAATTAAGGTAGACAAAAAAAAAAAAAAAGTAAGAGACAGTTGCAAGTGGCTCCTGAATTCTTTCCCCCTTGATGTCAAACTTCATGCATGGCAACAGTAATGATTTATTCGCAACTACAAATGAACACAAAACAAATTGTCTTTTTCACAGTATATAAATCTGTTTCATTACTAATAGCAGATCCAGATAGTAAGTAAATAGTCGATCATTAAAATTCTGTCTTCCTGTTTCCTAAAGGAAGAATGCACAAACAGGCTTTGACTAATGACAGATAAAGTGAACGTAACAATTTCTAAATTAAAATGATTCTTTATTTACACTTGGAATGCGAGCTCAGCATGTATTTGTAATCAAATAAAAATTATATGAGAAACGTATGACTCTTTAATAGTGCCAAAAATCATACAAGATTTGATTTCTTCAAGGAAAATCGAGGTTAAAATGCAGGATTTTTTCAATATAAAATTAGCTGATTTAATGTACCAAAACATACAGAAATGTTTCTAGGGGCAAAGGTTTTCCTTGAGATATTAAAACTGGAACAGATTCAATGCAAAAACTCAAGCCTTATCTTGCAAAATAGGGTATTTGGGTTTATTGTACTAAAAAGCACTACATTAAAAGATGAAAACTGTGTCACTGTGGATTGAAGACAAACACAGATGATTAACAGCAAACAATGAACAGGTTTTGGGAGCTAAAGACTGCTGAAAAACAGACAATAAAAAATATAGAAACCATAACATGTAAAAGTATTTTCATTAAACTTATAAGAGACATGAGTCAGGTAGAAATGTTGCAACTATGCTTTAAATGAATTCCTTCACATTTAGGAGAATCGAGGGGTACTGCTTAGAGAAAAACTAACTGCCTTGCAGAAGAGGCTGAGTTTATATCCTGATTACTTAAAAGAATACATAGAGTTTTTTGCAGAGTATGAGCAAAGATGACATATGAATGAAGCATTAGAAAAAGAAAATGAGACTGGATTATACTTTATACCCCACTTAGTTGTGTATAAATTTGAAAGAAGTTCCACTAAGCTTAGAGTAGTATTCAACACAGCTGTGTTATACAGCTAAAGGAAAGTCGTTAAATTTACTATAGTACAATGAAAGAGTAATTCGGAATATTTTTGCTTTAATGGTTAGGTGTAGAAAACATTTTGCCTTTATGGCAGATGTACAGAAAATTTTCTGTATAATCTGGATTATTCTAGAACAGAGAACTTCAAAAGAATACATTGTAAAAAAGAAATTGACAATCTTTGAATTAATGACTGTTACATATGAAGACATAAGTGCTCCATATTAAGCAAAGGTACATATTATGTTAGTTCGGGCTAGATGAGTTCAAGCATTTTTCATTAGCAGCTCCAACAGTAATGTTGTAATGTTTGATATCTACATGGATGGTATTTTGTCAGGATCTGAGACATTAAAGGAGGCTAAAGAGATAGAACATCAATTAATTAAAGTTTTTTTTTTTTTTAAAGAGGTATGAGCCTTCACAAGTTTTGCAGTAATAATAATGATTTTAATAATACCAGAGAGTTAAATTATGCATTTATAAAAACCAAAGAAATTAAAACATTAAAGGTTATGCTGGAATCCTAAAGATGATTATTTTTCATTCAAGGTTAAATATGAGAATGTAACTGAGTACTGTCAATAATAGCATATACATTTGACCCATTAGGGTTGTTGGGTCCTATTATATCAAAAGCAAAGATATTTATAGAAAAATTATGGCTACTGAAGATAGGTTGTAATGATGTTTTATCAGCAGAGACTCAAAGAGAGTAGCAAAGATTTATGAAGTCTCTACATATCATAAATGAATGGAAACTAAGAAATGCATTATAAAAAAATGCAATAGTAACGGATTGCACGGCTTCACAGACAGCTCTAAGTTAACCTATGGGGCAATAATATATGCTAAATCAGTCAATGTAAGTGCAGAAAATGATTTTGAGAAAGTCCAAGGTACCACCCATAAAGAAAATCGCTGTGCTGCATCTTGAGCTTTGTGCTGTGTTCTCCTAGTTAAACTGATGAAAAGAGTCAAAGCAGTTCTAAAATTTAACATAAATTCTCTCTATTTTCAGAAAGATTTCATGATTGTTTACAGTGGTTAAAAAAGGATGCTCACCAGTTAAAAACCTTTGTGACCAACAGAATAATAGCCATTCAAGAGTTGTCAGATATATAACAGTGGAAACATGTGCCACTGGAAAGTAAACCTGCATACTCAATTTCATATGGAGCAGAAGCTGATAAACTTGTTCATTGTAACAGAGTGAACCCTAGTTTCTTACAAAAGAAGAATACCCTAATGTAGACATTCTGAATGCTGTAACTCAAAAAGACTTCTCGAGTGACCTTAAAGGCTTGTCTCCACAAGGATACATATCTTTAGCATGTCAGATACATGTCTGCAGTGCTTGAATAATGAGGCATGAACACTGATCATGACAGGTTACATTGTTTCCAGAGATATATTTGGCAACAATCAATAAAACTGCAAATGGAAAACCTGAGTTAAAAAAAAAAGGCTTCTTCGGAATCAGAATTTAGCTTACTTAATAACATATGGTTACAAATTATTTGGAGTTTTCATTATTACTCTAACAAATTTAATTTATGATGGAACGTTTATTTCAGATCATAATTTCTGATCGATTTCTTGATAAACAGAATATTTTTTCGCCTTGATACAAGCCATTTTTTTATTGTAAGCTATACAGCAATGTATTTTTTGTACCTCATTTGTTATCATCCACTAAATCTACTAAAATATTATTTCTATTTAAAGGGATTTCTATATTCTTATATTCTGAGGATTCTGATAAACAAGAAAAGCTTAACTTGTCATCTGTTTGCATCCAATTATACTTCCTATTTTTAATGATTTTTAAACTCTGAGTCTAGTTAATTCAAGTGCTTGGCACATTTACCAAGGTATTAAACATCGTGTGAATCAGCAGATTGCGAGTTTGAATCCAACTCAATTATATTCTGATTTTTCCACAGAAAAAAAAAAAAAAAAAAAATTTTTATTGTTCTGAAATTAACAGAATTCTGTTAATATAAAAATATTTTTACATATATAATTTTATATTAATTATTTACACAATAATTTTATATTAATTATATAAATATCATTATTAGATTTTCACATTATTTATAAAGTGATAAAATTAAGTTTTTCCTCTTTCCTCTTTCATGCACTTAAAATTAAGCTTTATTATGAATGTAATTATCAGCATTGTATGTTATATTTTATGCTATTCATTAAGTAATTGATTTATTTTCTCTTTTTATGTAAATAAATGATACATAAATGTAAGATATAAAATATAAACTAAAACTATGAACTTTAATTTGACAATGGTCTTTTTTATTCCCCATTTATACTGATTATCTCCCTTTCCTGGCTTAAGCAGAATTTATAATAACTTTGTATAATAATTATTACATATAATTATAATAACTTTATATAATAATAATATATAAAGTTATAATAACTTTCTGGACTACATATATGTTTTATAATAACTTTCTGGGCTGTATCTTTTCAAAATTAATCCATTTCATGCTTATATAAATATTGCTGCAATGTGGTAAGCTCTTATCTAATCAGATTTCAAAAATTTTACTCTATATGGCTCACACTTTGTTGATGCACACCCCTTTTTCCCACTTTGCTTTCTGTTGGCAATATGTGTTTTTCATTGCTCTGCTTTGTCCATTGTTTAAATATGTAAATAGCTATAATAAAATTGTGGGCTGCATAGCACACCCATAATGATGATGTGTGAACCTGTTTATGCCTATCAAGCTTAATAGTAAAAACTATTATTTCAGTAATGCTTACACAAATGATGTTAAACTGTAAATTATAATAATAAAGATTAGGGTACTTACATATTAATGCCACCACAGCTGCAGATTTGGCGTTTTTTAAGTGCTGCCAATCTACACCTAAAATTTTTGCGACAAATCATAAATTAAAACTATTTAAAATCAAAGTAGTCAATCGGATTTCGGTGGAAAATGGGCTGATATAGAATTTAAAATAGATTCAAAACAGTCTCTATTTTCCTTGACCTGATGCTGTCGCCATATGAACTCTGCTAAATAAGATTCTAAATGATGTCTCGCTGTCCCCCTATGTTTCTTGTTCCTCCATTTAGAACTGCCCCACATTCTCTCAACTGTTTGTGTATGAACTCCTGTATCAGGATAAATCAAATTGTATTTATGATTAACTTTAGCATGTAGGAATCCTTTTTCTATTCTATTTGTTTGGTAACCTTTCCAACTGTCAGAATAAATCTGCAATGTTTTGAATAATTTTATTAAGAAGGGTAGAGCCAGTTCTATTAGGAACAGTGACAGCAAACAAATCTTTTGTTTCTGTACATATGCTACCTAACACCCACTGTTTGGGTAATACTCAACCACAATTATTTTTATGCTTAGTAAAGAAACTTTTGTCAATTTCTATAAAGCAATCTGGTTCACCTACCTTCTTGTTTGGTTTATTCTCCATATCCAAGACACATAATTCATGCATGTAATTGTTCCAATCTATAACAGTTTTATCCAATAAATCAAGTTGCTTTTCAAAAAATTTAATCGACGTCAACTCCTCACACCAGCAGTATATGAATCTCAAAGCTAAACAAAATGGAATTCTGCTTCCTTCAAACCAGTTACTTTTTCTACGTCCCATTTGCTGATCACACTGTCTTAAACTACAATTCGAAAATGTACATTTACTAAAATAAAGTTTCATATCATGTGAACTGGTACATTTTCGTTTTTTTGGTAAAATATTTCGCTCCTGAAAAAATAATATTGCATCTTCTCCTGTGCTTGGCAAATCCCAAAGACGCATTTTCGTAGGACTAAAAAATGGCATAAAAAATTAGCAAACAACAAGGTAAAAAGGAATCCAAAAGATAACTGCATGCGAACAACAGGATTAATTTTTATTGGCACATCAGCGCAACTTCTGCTGCGGTGGCATTAATACATAAGTACCAAACTTTGATATATATATATATATATATAATGTTAAAAGTCAGTTGTATAAGAAGTTCAGTTAATTATAAAATAAGTAAAGTATAGCTCATATCTTACTATAGGAGGTTGATCGGAGTTAAATAATGTCAGCCTTGTCCATTTTACACTTTTTAGGAATGAACCATAATGTTCACCAATACCATAAATATATGGAGATGGAAGGTATGAAGATAACTGCAGAAACTGATCTGAGTATACAAGGTGAGAAAGATCAGTTTTGAACCTACAAAGGGAAAAAAAAAAAAAAAAAAAAAATTGCATTCATAAATGTGCTACAGAAGATAGAATAATGTTTCTGAGTGTTTTAAAATGTTTTTAAAAAATTGGATCAAAATATTCATTTCTCATAAATATCAGGAATATGTGAAGCACAGCATAATGCTTTCAACTACAAATTATTAATTTTTTGTCTATGCAGTTCAATTTATTGCCTATTGGCTAATACATCCCAGTAGAACACATTTATAATAATTCTAAACCTAAAAAATAGCAACAAAATTTGAAGCATTTCAGTGATACTCTGTACCTTCAGATAATATTTTAAATTCATCATATGAAAAGTTTGAGATTTGAAAACATCGAAGAGGTTTGAGATTAATCGTTGTAACTGTACAATTATGACTTACTTTCTTTTCCTCAAATGGTTCAGAAAAATAAAACATGCATTCAGAACTCTTTAATCAACTTGTTTTCAGGCTTCAAAACAATTTTCCCTTGATAAGTTCTATTTGAAGCGTTAAACAGAGGAGATTAATTTGAGCAATTTTATTGCAATTTGTATTTTTTTAGTCTCATATTCAGTTGTTTTTAATTTGTACCCTTAATTCGCATTTACACAGTTTCTGTAACCATTTTCCAGAGATAAAAATATAGAAATAGGTAGATCTTTATATTTTTTGGAACTAAGTTTATATGTATCTATTAAATTTGACATTAAGCTGTATGCCTTTAGTGGAAATTCAGAATATGCCCCTGATGTGCATACTTAAAGGTTAAAATCATCATCATTTTATAAATATTTAAACCAAAAACATAAATAAACTGATGCTATAAGCATCATATATTACATATCTGAGCAACAAAATTGGTTATTACACGAAAAAGTTTCCAGAATATTAATTTATGCTTTATAATTTTAATTAAAAATATTTAAGGCCACTTTAAAATTTCAAAATAAAATAACTCACACAGCTACTCCAGACGATTTTCTTCTGATAGTCAAAATTCCTGTTTTAGAATTTAAATCTACCTCATAACGAGGTTTAGATAATTTTTTGACTTTATGATAAAGTGGTATAGGTACTTCAAATCGAGCATTGTTAGGATCAGTAATCTGAAACGAGATACAAAAAAATTTCCAAAGTTTAATGAATATGGATATTTAAGAAACACAAATGGTAAAAAATAAACAAATAATTATAAATAAAAAGAACAAATGTTTCAAACATTTTATAAAGAAATACAAATTTAAACAAATGTGCATTTTATATTACTATCAATTCATAAAACAAAAAATAAATAGCTACCTATGTATTGGTATATTTTATGATGACTTGTTTCCGAAAATGTCACCAATAACGGATATGTGTGAAATCACAGCACACTCATGAGAACTTTGCTTTGGTTGTATGTAAGCCTGATCTTCAGTAAGTTAAGTTACATTTAGTAAGAAAATTAACTGCGACAGGGCTTGCACACTTTTTTAAATAAAAATTAAAGACTTTTAAGGACATTTAAAGATTATTAATGAAAAACCTTTAAGGAACTATCAGCAAGCAAAACTGAATAAATTAAAGCAATTATCCATGCAACTACTTTTTCTCTTGCAATACGATTTTAAGAATAAATCAAAAATATGTCTGTGCATCGTATTGTTAAACATAATCTAATGTATAACATAAAACAAGTCTGATTATCAAACCAATGCTGTAAAAATTTTCAAACAGTTAACATTACATCACAAACATAATTTTTTGACAGACTTATATTTTATATTTATAATACACAAGTGGATAAAATTAGAGGTACAACTATAAAAAAAGTGCTGGTAGGTAAATACAACAAACGTAGGTACAAACACAAAAGACGTAGCATTTCCATGTTGCATTAAAGCTCCATCATAAAATCATAAGTTTACTGTTTTGCCTTTCATTAAATTTTCTTCATTAATTTTTTATGTTTTACCCTGTGCTAAAAGTGAAATACTCTTATTTTCTGAGAATATGATTAAAGAGCAATCAATCTAGTCCACCTACCTTCTTGTTTGGTTTATTCTCCATACAAAGACAGAAAATCAAGACACAAAAATCAAAACTTTTTCCTCTCAAAATCAAAGTCTCAAAATCTTTAAATATGTGGCTGTAAGATATTTTTTTCCTGCCTTATCATGTGCCTTCATGGAGTAGCTAGAAGCAATTTGGCTAGTAATCAAGCGGTCCAGAGTTTGAATCCCAGAAAGTACACTGCTGATTTTTTATGTTATCTGCTCCAAATTTAATATTATGAACCCTACAAGTAGTGCCCAAACTAAAATATGGTCAACGATAATTCTTCAACACTTGGATGTGGTAACTGGACTCTCTCCTGCCTAGTTGCCCTTTAAGTGGTTGAGAATATAAGGAATTTTCTCCTGCCTTATCACATACCTACATAGTGCAATTTGAAGCACATTCAGTTAGCAAATGGGAAATAAAATCCATTGGTCAAATCCTTGTGAGAGCATTGCTATTTTTATATGTTAGCTACTTCAAATAAACCTATTAACTCTACAGTTCTCAATATAAGTTTTTCATATTCATGGTTTATGCACAAATTGCTGTCAGTACTTTTTTCACATAATTATGTAATATACAAAAAAAGAATTTTTCATTTTACCAGAAATTATAAAGCTTTTAGTTTGTGACAAATTATATACTTTTTTAATTGAATATATGTTTTAAAAGAAAAAATGAAATAAACCTTCACATACAAACATTTAATACTTAATATTTAAAAGTATTTATTTATTAAAAAAAAAAAGTAGTTCAAAATCTGTCAAACTGTTTTGAACACAGGACCATTACACAGCAGTCTCTTTTCAGAACCAACGCTACAACATAACTTCAAATTCATTACACTTAAAATAAAACAGATTTTTAACTAGATTTTCTAAACATTACCTTTACTCTCAAAGTAGAATCATCAATGAATGTTATTACAAGCAGCAGATTCTTAATATCATTCGGAAATCCAGATGAAGAAGTTCTTTGCAATCTGACTTGGATTCTCTGCCCATCTTGTGATACATTAGTAATAATATAACCATTATAATTAACTGGATAAAAGCAGTACGGTGTACCTAAGGGTGGAAAATGACTGACAGATTTATTTAACTGAGACAGAGGTTGATAGCAACAACCACGTTGTATACACTCAGTTTCCGTGACAGGTGCATCAGGATAACAATCAAATTTATCCACATCAGATATACTTGCACAGATCGGTGCAGTTACGTGATTCTTTTCATTCTCCTTATAAATATGAATGACGAAACGCTCATTAGATGTTCTCCAATACCAGCAAGAGAGTAATCCGAAACACCCAGCAAAAGTCAAAACAATTAAAAATGTTAAAAAAATATTTGATTTTGCGAAGTTTTGCCTTTTAGGCTCAGGAATCAAATACAAAATATCACTTTCCACAGATATTTTCTTCATATTTGTGAGACCCACCATTAGATGTTTGCCCCTAACCTTGTTAAAATCAGAAGTGAATTACTCATGGATACACGAACATTTAAAAAGCATAACATATCAGTAGGTTGATCCCACATTAAAAAAAATAAAATACAAATTTCTGTGATGACAGTGATCACATGCTTTTTGATTATTATGATGCAAGACTGTTTAGACGTAATAACAAATCAGGGAGAAAGAGTTTCTATTTAGCCAATCAAATTTATTTTCAGCTTTCGAATTGCCGGTTCTCGACTTTATATAACGGTACAGATACATAAGCAAATGCTTTATTTTTACGTCCGCTAAATCTTTCTGCCCGCTATGCGAAAAATCAAGGATATGTGAAATATTGAAGCTCATACCAAAACTTTTACAGACCAAGAAACGCGTCCGAATTTGACGGCTTTTTAATGGAATTAAGTTTCATGTACTGTAAATTTATCTAAAAAAATATGAGTGCTTTGTATTCATTCTAGCGAACTCACTAAGTTCGCTCCCCTTTCTTGAGAAATATTCATTAGTGGAAATGGGGCTTAGATATGGGAAGGAGCAAGGCCAGCTAGATCTAAGAGAAATCTACTCGGCCTTGGAACGAGTTACTATTGAAAATTGGAAAACCTCATTACTTTAGAAAATCCAGACGGGATATGTAAATAAATGTGTACATTAGACCTACAGATAATGATTTTGGTAGTGCTCGGAAAACAGTCTTGCTGTCGACGTTCGTCTCCTTTAACAGTATCTTTGAATGGTCTCTTTCGCCGTCCGATAGCATGTTTCTGGCTCTCGCCATATCAATACCCTTTGGGATCGTTTTGGATGTTAAATAGAGACTTATCCGTGTGTACGTGGGCCCACTGCAATGGCGTCTAACTACGATGTTCATGGGCTCAATTCAGCCGCACTCTGACATACGATGGGGACAAAGGAACACAAACGGCAGTTTGCAGTGGACGCAGCAGTGTTTGGCGAGATATGGTCATGCCGCAGCAGCAAAGATATGCGACGCCAGCTGTCGTGCTGTTAGCGATTTACGGTGTCTTGCACATAGGAAAAGAAAGCGATCGTCTGCCATTGTAGCAATCTTCCGGCGTCCAGACCCACGTCTGCAAAGTCACCTGTAAAAGACGTGGATCTTTGGTAACGATTTCACAGCTTATTGATGATACTACGATGCACATTCAGCTCTCTCGCAGCAGCGAATTGTCTTACACCAGCTTGTAATATCTTGACAGCCCTCCAACACATTTCATCGTGCAAACACTGTTCTTCGGCTCATACTTTCCGCTTTGGTATATCGGGTTATATAGAACTATCGCTGTTTGCGAATAGACGTATAGGTCTGTCATGCTCCTTTTCAAAGCATGCTCCTTTATTGTGCGAGTGCGGAATTTAGTTTTATGCTAATTTTGGGCCTACTGCATTAGGCGAGGCAGACTCACCTCATATGTAAGTTACATGCTTTAGTCCCACTTTTTACGTTCGTACCTTATGGTGAAAGCCTAAAAATAGCTAATGTCTACCATTGAAAAAAGTACCTTTCAGCGTTTGTTGCTTATTTTTTTAATATGAGTCTAATTCAGGTTTAACTTCGTCAGTGTGCGATAGCAGCAAGACAGAATTTAGCGTAATAGACATAGCATATCTATTACGCTAAATTCTGTCTTGCTAATAATGACTAATAAGACATAGCATGTCCTTATTAGTCATTCTCATGATACATCGCCGATAGTGTGAAGCTTAACTTTATAATGATAGCCGCAAATTTGAATATTTTTAGATATTACGCACAAACTTTGATTCTCTTAAGGCCACAAATGCTTCATTATTTCATATTTTTAATTTTATGATTCCTACATGTCATCTTACTAGATATAAATTGATGATTCAATATCCGAAAAAGTCCCAAATCCGGAATCGCCGAAGTCCGGACTCAGGATCTCAGACTTTGTATTGCATAACAAATATTTAATATCAGCTTCTGTTTACATCTTGTCTGATTTTGTAGGCATAAAGTTTCACTCCAGAAAAAGCAGCAAATTAGCTGATACAAAGAAGAGGTTGAAGTGTAGATCAAATTCAGCCAGATCATAATTCCTGTTGGAGTCCCAAGTGAGCTCCACTATTTTTCCTTACTTACCATTAAGTTATGAATTTTTTTTATATCTCTTCTTTTTATTTAAATTTAATTATTCCTTATTTATTAACTTTCCAGATGGCCTTTCAGAGAGCTCTGGGACTTCTAATTTAAAAATTATGTCTTGGACGGCAGCTTCTATAAACACAGGGTGGCCCAAGATAAACTGAAATCAAAGCAAGTGAAGAACACAACTGTAAGGTGATATTATACAAGTTGACGAAAGACAAAAGCCTACTTATGTAGGTTCCTCCATTTCTAATGGTACTGCTAGAAATGTTGATTGCCATAGTCAGACATAGTTTAGCCCAATGAATTTCATTCAGTGCGACTTGTCGAACTAGTCTCTTTGGATGTTAATGATGGCATACATTCTGTTCTACTGCGTCAAGAATTCGTTCACAGTTCAGGTAAATACTGACCCACAAATCAAAACAAGGTAGATCAAGTACTGTGGACGCTATAGATCTTTTGAGACAGTTCTGTTAGGTGTGAAAACAGAGTGTACTGCTTCCAAGGAAATATGTGCTGCGCTTACTGTCAAATACGTTAATGAGTTTTCACTGTCGAATACGTTTTCCGATTTCTCTACTGCCATGTTCGGTTCGGCCGTCTTGTGGATATCTCTTGTAATTGGTAGGCTGAGGCTATATACAGAAGTAGAGAACAAGAAGACTACGAACAGAATTTTTTCTTTCTGAGACCAAGAAAAGCTCAACAATCAGCTGATAAATTACTTCTGTCTGTAGAATGAAATTGTAACAATTTTTAAACAGTCAATGTTTTGCAATTTCGATGGTATTTTAAACTCCAACGTTTTGGATTTTTGACTGTAGTAATTCTGTACTTTTAGAACTGAATTTATGACATTCATTCCCGTGTTCAGAAGAATTACACCAATATATTTCTCTTCAGCTACCCTTTAGCTGATCTTCTTCATTTATAAAAACTGTTACGATTTGGAGCTGCAATAAAGATTTTGGTTTTTCTATTCTTGTGGCTTCTTAAATTAAGCGATCCAATCACATGCATAATATATATATATATAGACAGATCTATATATGTAGTATCACAAAATTTTTTACTTTTTGTCTATATATCAATATATATATATAGACATGCATATATGTATGCAATAGATTTGAGAGCTTTACTGCACAGATAGAATGATGACACTTGCAGACAGATATAGTTATAGATTCAACATAATTTTATTATTGAATAACATAATTCTTAGATGCATAATCTGATTTGCATCCCACAATTTTTGGAAGCTTACATCTTAAGACATACAATGGATGGTAGACAGAAGCGAGTGGCAACGTGTTACTTTGATGCAGACAAGTGGAAAAATATACAATACATTCAGAAGAAACGTTGGAGAGATAAAAAAGTTTTGGGTACAATAGAAATCAGTACTCTTCTGTTATCGGAACCGGATTCTGAAATGCGTGTATGTGTTCATGTACGAGTGTATATATGTACATATGTATGTATGCGTATATACACACATATGTACATATACACAAGTGCATACATACATACATATCTGAATCTTGTCCCAATAACAGATGAGTACCTAGAAATCTTATTTTTGTCATCACATCCTTAGAGTGCTGGAAACTTCTCCAGTCAACAGAGTACCCTGGGAGAAGGATGTTAATACTTCAGGTAAGCGTACGGTGCTAGTGGTTACGAGCAGGTAACTTCAATAATGTTTAATTTTCCTCTGCAATTTTATGACACGAGTTGATGCTGAACTTCTTGCTAATGCATCAGTGTATGTAACCCTTCACGTAAGATGACCCACAAAGATACACATCACATGTATGAACATACACAGAGGCCAGATACAGCTGTCAGATTTTATCACCTTCTGGAGATGTGTAATATTTAAGTATCATAATTCAACTACCATGTTTACTCCCATAACAGTTGCACTTTTTTGTCAATTCTTCATTCTGAAAGTCGAGTTGCGACTATTATGTAGGAAAATCTCCTGCACAAATATTATACACTTTTGACGATTTTTTTTTTTCTGCTTCAAAACAAAGATGCGACTATTATGAAAGTAAAGACCGTACATGATTTTATATTTTTTTATGTTCTCCATGAATTAAAAAAAATTATTTATTTTGAAATTTTCTCTCAAATGTTCCTCGGAGTGTTTTCACCTTCAGGATATTCAAGAGTATGACCATCTGGTCCAGTTTTTAGTGTATGCAAAGAAGTTCCTGTGGAAATTATTCTAGTAATTCCAGAATGTTGTAAATTATACCCCATTAGTGATGCAATTTATATGATAATATTTTTATTTTAGAATATGTTTGTCACCTGAAGAAAACAATATATCGAAGACAACCTTTCAAGTACTAATAGCTGAAAGCAAAACTTTACAGTAAATATTTTCATGTTTGTAAGCATGCATTTGAAAAGAATGGAAATAATACACAAAACATTTTAGGTAATAAATTTCAGTTCCATGACTGATTACACTTCTATCTGTCTATTCTTTCCACTCCTAATACTGAAAGAATATATACAAAATCCTCTAAAAGCAACTAGAGTCTAAAAAATGCATACAGAATTAAACAACTGTAAAAAAAAAAAAATGCAGTTTGTATTGAAGTTATTGCTTGTAATTTGTATTTATTTTATTATTATTATTATTATATATATATATTTTTTTTTGAAGAAAGCAAAAGGGAGATAGAGGGAAAAAACTAATAGATGCCACTGCTTTATTACCTTTCTCTTTAGGCATTAGTTCAAAAAGTTACTTTTTGGACCCTTGATTTTAACTCCTTTCTATTTTTTTTTTGGAGCACTAAATCATGAAGGGACTCCCCCAGTTTTGTTTGAGGGGTCCCAAGAGCTTTAATAATGCTGCTGCCTTTGTATAGAAAGACAAATGGAGAGGACTCTCTTCCGACAAATTCTAAGTTCTACTATCAAAGCAACATGTCCATTTAACCTTAAAAAACATTTTCATTCTGCTGATGTGTTAGAACTACAGTATATCTGGAACAGATCTAAAAATTATAAAACAGATATAAGCATTCTTTGGAATCTGTCCTTTTATGTTTTATAATTCTATATTGTTACATAAAACTATGACATATAATATCAAAATAATATTCTCATAATCTGCATATAATATAAAAATATTTTCAAAATTAATAGAAAAAATATGAATACTTCTTCTCCTTAATCCATTCTTAACACCATATTTCAACAAAATAAATGCTCTCTCCCCCTCCCCCCACATATTGTTTTGTATCACAGAAGAGAAATAATTCATCATTATATGCAAATCAAAAAATTTTATTCTGAAAATCCAGACAATACTGTTTGAAAAAAAGATCATGTATATACATACAATAATTGCTAAAAAGTTTGTATCTTAAAATTTAAATCAGAACACAATTTTTGTCTCAAGTATTAAAACAAACACTGAGAAATGAACAATTCATATACTATGTTTATAATTAAATACAACATAAATACCAAATATAAAACAAGATAAATTATTATCATAATAAAATATGAAATATTAACGTAAAGATATAGTAAAGTCAAATATATTCAACTTTATAGTAATAGATATCTAAAATTAATTCAACTTTGATAAACAAAACAATTACTAAAGGAAGAACAAAAAAGACATAAAAAATAATTTTAATATATTTTGAGTATTACAGGAATTATGTTCATTACAAACTTCAATATGTAATGTGGTAATTTCTTCTAATCAAATATTTAACAAATGAATGACTAGTTTCCATAGAGGTACAAACAAAAGTACATAAATTATGTGTACAAAGTTATAAAATGAAAGTAGTTGTATAACAAGAAACAGTTTTAAAAATGTTTAAGCCATAGAAAAGTATTTATCTCACTCAAATATTAATAAATATATTCACACAAAAAGAGTACATTTACAGTCACAGAATTGATTGCAAAATGGAACATATTGTTTTTTCTTCCACTAAGCAAAGCCATCGGTGAGTTTTCAACTACTAACTCCATGCAACCACAAAGGAATTGAGGAAATTGTAATTTGTGAAGAGGACAAACAAGAAACCCTGGAAATAAGTAAAAATTACAATAAATTTAAAAACAGTTTACAAAAAAATCATCAGTAATCAAAGTAAAGTAAAAAAATCAAAGTAAAAAATTAGTTGACATATATTATAAGTTAGATAGGCTCACTGCTGCAGTAGAAAACAAATATACATGTCATCTAAAACTACTGTTCAGAACTGATTAATATATTGTTTAGAATAACAGCATTTGACTTTCACAGTTTGATCCTATATTTTTACTTGGATTGATTATAATACATCATTAAATAATACAGGAAATTACACACATATCTGTCATGCTAAATAAGCTAACTGAAAATAATAATTAGGAATAAAAATAACTAAAAGCTAAAGCTCATTGAAAGGAGAAACTTTACAAGAAATTAAATTTATATTGATGTAAAGAAAACTAATCAGTAATACATATCATGAAAACTGATGAAAAATTGGAAGATAAAAAGAAAGGAGGGGGAGAAACAGTGTAAGAAATTAATCTTCAATCTGTGTATGTAAATGTAAGAGGCAAAGAAAAAACAGTTAAGACATTTAAATGAGAAAATATTTAAAATGAAAATCTACGAAATAAAATTACACATAGGAAATACACATGAAGAAATTTTAACACTTTTGTTCAAAAATCTTAAAAGTAAAATAAGGGGAGAAAAACAGATTCAGATTATAAAACTATTCAATATATAAGACACAGCAAAATTATCATGTTTCCAAAGTTTTCTGAAACAGTTGCTTAACTTCTTAGACTTGTGCTGTTCAATATATTGATTGCTAATCACAAATGGTAAATTAACTCTAAAAATGTGACTACCGAGATGAAGAATATTGCAATTTTAAATTTGTAATTATACAAAAAAAAATCCATATATATATTTTATTATGCCTATTTGAAATTTTGTAAGAAAATTATATTTCTTTCTCACTCAATTAGTTCATTCTACCACTTGCATAGAGTAAACTGCAATCAATTACTCATGCAAACATGCATCATTTTGAAAATAATACACTGCAAGATTAATTTAAATAAAAATTAATTTTGCAGTGTATTAATTTAAAAAAAGTAAAATTAATTTTATAAAAAAAAGAATGAGAAATTTGTGTTATAATTGAATGCAACTGTTAAAAGAAAACTATTTTAGAGTATTATACTCAGCATTTTTATGCTTGGAATGACTAGGATTAGTGAATTAAGCTTTTTCAGCAAGTTTATAAAAACAAAAAGATAAACTTAATATCTACATTCTAATAGCAATAACACGATTGGAAGAATTATTATGAAAAAGCTGCAAAATATTCCAATATTAACACTGCCATATAATAATAATTTTTTTCTTGGTGATAATTGTAATTTTTGTTAAAATGCTACTTTCTATAATAAGTATGATTCTTGTTGTAATCAAGAATCTCTCAATATTTGTGATAAATAATAAATATGCAATTAAAATAGTTTCTTTCTCTTTTTTATTACTAGTTTTTATATGGAAAACATAATATTGCTATTTTAAACCATATAGTATGGCAGCTACATATATATCACGTCAGATGAAAACATTTTAAAATTCATTTAATTAGAACTGTAATCAGATCAAAACCATACGATGTTAAATTCCACTTAAGACACAAATGATAATATTTTCATTTAATTTTTAAGTATGTGAAGTTTTATTAATTTAGATATGAATGCATTTAATTTTTATTTAAATTGAAAAATGAGATAAGTACATTACAATTTATGTTGTGAAACACTTTTGTAAATTTAAACACTGAAGATTCTGCATTAAATTCTCATTAAATGTTTCTTTCCAAACTTAATTTTATTTATTTATTAATCAAACTAGATTTTGAAAGAACAGACAACAGTGATTTCATTTGAGCACATGAAAATACAAAAGATTAGCATTGGCTTTAAAATCTGAAACAGTAAGACATCAACCAATAAGCATACATCAGCAAAACAAAGGTTTTGATAATAAAAATGAGATAAACATTTCAGACTATGAGATATCTAGAATAATCACCAAAATTACTGTATCCAATACAGAGTTTCCAAAATATTACTGATACTGATGTAGATTGCCTCATTATGAAAGATAAAAGCAATTCCAAAATTAAGTTTATGCTAAATACAATCTAGGTACATTTTCTAATTCTGATTTTCAATGAAAATGCACAACATATTAAATTATGTCACATATTGAAATCTCTTTTCCCCAAATGGCTGGACACTTGCTAACTAAGCATTCATTGACATCAGTCACTTGACCGTCTCATCATCAAACACACTGCCCAGGGCTCACCACTGGGCCAACCAAATTACACCAGCAAAAAAAGGAAAGCACCCCCTCAAACATTTCCCTAACCAATAAACCCTCAAGAGGACTTTTGACTTGATAATACTTTCAATGACAAATTTTCCATACTGGCTAAAACAGTTATGATTATCTTTTTTTTAGCATCAGGTGTTATAAATCTTGATCCTCATGTCCCTCTCACTCTTCCCCCCCCAAAAAAAAAAGAATACCGCTAGAAAATTTTATTGCCATGTATTTTTACTTTTATATGAAGTAAAGAAAGTATTGTAATCATGAAAAATTTCAGGCATCACATCTCAACGAAAATATCCATTTTAACTTGCTCTTAAATCCGTCTGAGTGATATTTTTGCATGAGATCACTGTGGAAAAAAAGAGTCCTTTATTCTGTACACTGGACAGAATAAAGGACTCTTTTTTTTTCCCACAAGTTCCTTCCCAAAGTTATTTTTATACTTTATGTTCTGAAGTATAATCATTGTAATGTTTATTAATTTTTTCCCCACTCTTCCATGTTTCTGCAATTTTCTCAAAAAGGTCATAATTATAACAATTAGCATCACAATTTCCATCAATTTTTGTAACTGTAAAGAAACTTATCAAAACATTTTCATTTCAAATTAAAAATATATATTTATATATTCATTTTAAATTAAGGATAAAAACAGATAACAGTCTATGTTTTTTTAAATGTCAGAATACTTACATTACGTTATAAGAAAATCAAATTACACTTTTACAAAATTATATTACAAACCAGTGAAAAAAACCAAGACTAGGAAATGTTCACAATCCCAGTAACTTAGTCAAAATCATTAAAAGTTAATTTTATCTTATTATTTAGTTTGAAGATTATTTAGTTATTATGTTAATTAAGTTACTTGCTTTTATGTTAATGTTACTTGTTACTTATTATTATGTTACTTGTTATTTAGTTAGAAGTAAAGATGATTGAAAAATTTGTTAAGCCTACAAAACCAAAAGATATGCTTCTAATATTAAAAAGCAGCATGAAAACTGAAGTGACAATGTTAACTTACACTGTTTTTCAATAACTTTAAGAAGAATAATTACTAGGTTCAGGTTTAAGGCAAAAACTGTAATGCCATAGAAGACTGATCCAAAAATGCTTGAAATCTGTAGACTCTTAGATGGGAAATGCAGATGGCCTTTTCAATTTTTGACGACATTTTATACATTACTGGGAATAGGTTTCCATATTAAATATTTTAAGCAAGCTACCATACTCTACTGATTATTGTTATTACAACTGCTGCCAAATAAACATCGGGTTTTAATGAAAGTTTACTGCCACTGCAAATATCGTCTGTGCAAATAGTTTGTGTTGGCATGTAAAATCATATTTCGCCAAACGATTTTTGGCATTTGAAAGAGACTTACTTTAGAACACTGTATAGTGGAACTTGTAAAAAAATATCATTATTATTAAGTACAAGATGTCAGAAATGGAACTATCACACTACCAGATTAGAATCATCATTTACTTCGAGTTCTGTTTCAAAACATCAGCTATAGAATGTCACCAAATATGTGTACAGTTTTAGGTACTAATTAATGCTGTATGATATGACACCGTGAAGGTTTGTTACCGAAAGTTCAAAAACAAGGATTAAGACATTCAAGAAGCAGAGCACTCGGGCTGGCTTACTGATGTTGATGAGGCCTGCCTGTGAGAACTTGTGGAAGGAGATAACTATGCAACTACTTGAGAGCTTGTTAAGGAGTTAGACAGTACTCCCACACCCATTAGTCGCACTTATGTATCGCATAAACTGGACGTAACAGGAAGATTCAATTGCTGAATACCACATGAGCTGACTCAAGGACAGATATGTTTGGGCCTGCACTAATCTGCTCGAATAACAACGCAAGGATAAAATTCTGGACTGGATCTTCACTTGTGATAAAAAGTAGAGATTTACTTCAACAACACACGATGCAAAGGGGGCTGATCTGAGCCCGGCGAGCCCATTAGCAGCATCGCGAAGCACAATGTGTCTAACAAAAAGATCATGCTTTGCGTTTGGTGGGATTGCCATGGTATGATCCACATAGAGTATCTGGAAAAAGGTAAAACTCTCAACAGTAAGGTGTACAGGAAGATGCTTGTCCATGTTGAAGCTGCTATCAAAGAAAAATGCCAAACAGAGTTCTGGTGCAAAAAGGTAATGTTCTATCAAAATAATGCAAGATCATATGTGTCTGTATTCACCAGAAAGACTTTGTATGGACTCAAATAGGATCTTCTGCCACGCCTACCATATAGCCCCAACACCGCTCCTTCAGACTTCTACTTTTTTTCACATTTGCAGCTACATCTTGCTGGTGCTATCTTCTATTCTGCACAGGATGTCTAAAATGAGATTGACCTATTTTTGGACTTGCGGTCACCAAGTTTTTGGGCTGAAGGCTTTGAAAAACTACGAAAACATTGGCAGAAAATCAAAGTTTTGGGTGGTGATTACTACCTACACTAAAAGTACTGCTTTCATGTTTTTTTTTCTAACTGTATTAAGAATTTTTTTTTTGAGAAAAACTTTTGTTGCAACCAGTAATTAGTACATATAAATGTAGATTAACCCTTGTTGTTTTAATCAAGCAAGATCACTGCAGATGGAATTTTGATACTCTTTCATTAACAGGATAGCAGCCAAAATATGTAAAAATCAAATCAAATTTGATTTTAAAGAAATTAAATTCTTTTAGGAAAAGGAATTATCCACTGTAAAAGACTTTGTTTAAATAACAACAAGAATGATGACTACTTTCTCATTAAAGGAAGAAACACTTTTTTGTTGAATCAGAATATCAAATTCTAAATAAATGTGCAAATTTTCAATAAGAAATGATAGAAAATAAATTTATAAGTACAGTATTATCAGACAATACTAACTCTGTATAATTTAGGTGGGGAGGAGAGGGGGAAACGTAAACTGAAATACACAATTAAGTTGAAAAATAAGCACTAAAAAGATTTGAAAAATGGGAGGAGAAAAAATTAAAATGCTTCTTATCTTTATTTCTTTTTAAGCAAGTTATAATAAATTTAATAGTAACAGAGAAAGTAAAAATTCAATAATTTTGAAAAATAAAGACAGCAGCATGATGCAATTTCCCCAGATTTTTTTTTTTTTTTAAATAATGAAAAGTTTTATTGCCAGAATAGTTACATTTTGCACAGACAGGTTGTACTATAGCAGGGCTTGAGAACCAGCATTTCATGTAATACTGTGTGACGATCATTCAGGGTCATCCTCAAAATGTATCTTTACAAAATCCAATACATACAGGAGTTAAAAATAACCTCAGTTTTGTAAGACTAATTAATTTGAAACTGGGCTTTCTTACAGAGGGAAAATAACATGTCAGCAGTCCTATACACTGATGAGGTGCACTTAATTGAAGGATAAATGCATGTAAGTGCTGGATTTGGATGAAAGAGAACCTGCACATGAATGCAGAAAACCATTTTCATAAACCATGCATGACAGCCTGATGCAGGTTCACTGCACTATTCATTAGAGTTCTCTTTTTTCTTGAGAAAAATAATAGTAGTATGTGGTATATTTTGAAATGTTTCTATAACAAATATACATTATGTAGCACTTTTAAGAGATACCATCATGCCCTCCTTACAAGACAGGCAAGCAGAATAGGATTTCTTGTGCAGGATAGTGTGCCTCCAAACAGGTTATACACCAAACCAAGTGGAACTGACATTTTCCCAGCTGCTCTTTCCCACACGAATGGTCAACAATGTCTCCAGACTTAACACCTTGTGACTTTTGGTTATAAGGTTACTTGAAATCGCAGATGTTAAGAAATCGGCCAACATTATTGTCCATATTGAAAGAAGTGATTCACTGTCATGTGATAGTGATTACAAGAGAATGGCTAACTATCCCCTGAACCTTTATAATCCTAGCTTCTTTATGAACTGCAGTGTGCTATGCCAACTTCTTCTTCTCCTGTCCAGTACAAACTTAAGACACAACTAAAGCATTATCTATTAGTGAAAAATGCACTATTCTAGAAATAAAAATTGTCATTATTATTAAAAGATCTCCTCCATTCTCTGCATTTCAGTGAAAACTGCATCCTGTTACTGTCTATAATTTTTGAATTACTCAGTTTTTTACTTTTCTATTACTTTTAGAACATCCAATATATTTCTGCATAAACCAATTGCAAAACGATAAATCAGGTTTAAGCATTTTTTGAATTTATTTTCCTTTTCTTTTTTAGTCTAAATCTAAATATTTTTGATTTATGACCTGAAATTTGCAAATCTCTAAAATCCATACAATCTCAGATCCTAAGCTGTGTGGATTTTTAGTCTTCTACAAATTCAATGAGCAAAGAAATAAATCACAATTGTTTATACAAATGTTTAACCCGAAATTTAGTATAGAACATAAAAAGAACTGTCTTTTTTTATTAATTTTTTTTAATCATAATGACTGAGAATTTCTGACATATGGCAAATAAAAAAGCTAATACTGCATCAGATTTAAAAAAAAAATACATTTATTAAACTAGAAGAAAACATTTAGTTTTTTTTCCATTAACATATTCATAAAAACACTTGGGGGGGGGAAAGAGAAAAGACTAAGAATTTAAACTGCAGAGCATAATATATGCACATATGGAGTAAGCCAGTTACTGAATGTAAAATACTGCGAAATTAGGCCAAAAACAAAACTTTAGTTTGATGTTAATTTAAAAGAAAAAAAAAAAAAAAAAAAAAAAAAAGGACAGCAACTAACATGGATGTCTATTCTTTAGACGCAAAAACATTTTTTCCTCCCGAACAAGATAGACTATGTTAAACATGCATAAAACTGAAAGAGTTTTAAATTAAGCCTATGCCAATTGAAGGCTGCTACTTTTTTTTAAAAATCTAATTTTAAATTTTATATTAGCATGTGTATCTCCCCCCCCCAAAAAAAAAGACCCACTTTTAGAGAAATAAAGAATGAATAAAATGGATACACAAGGCAAAAGCTACTCACCCATTTTTTATAAAACACAAAATCACATTTCCACTCAGTCCCATCAACAACAGATTCCTTATTTTCAAACTGTTTAGGTGTGCTTTCAAAAAATCTTAGATATTCTTTATTTTTCTGAAATGCATAAAGTGAAGATTAAAAAATTTTCAACTCAAATCACAAAAAGGATTATAAATAAAATCATAAGTATCTCACTGACATATTTACAGGCCAAACTGGTTAAAATAATTAAAATGAATAAGTCTTGATCTAAACTCATACTCGAGCTTAAATTAAAAAGTCACATTTTAAAGAAACATTTGCCCACTTGCAAATACACTGTTATTGCCAGTTCAAAAGCTCATAGCTTAAACAGAAAATTAACATGTGCTTTAATTAATTTAGATTTTGACCAATAAGAATACAGATTTTGAAAATTTTGTATAACCTAATAAGAGAAGAAATATTACTTTACATACTAAAGAATAATTTAAAATGTACTCCTTAACACCCATTGATCAATTGTTATTCCTATGTTAAGATATAAACTATTGAAGTTAAGACATTTAATTTGAAATACTTAGTTCTTTGGAATTTTCCAGCTCGAATTTCCAGCTTTCCAAGAAAAGAAGCTTGAATTTTTAGATATCATTGCTCTCAACATACATCTACACCAAAATCAGACAAAATAAAAGCAAACTATATTTTCAGTGCTTTTTTTTTTTTTTAATTAGGAAGATCACTCATCAGCTCTTTAACTCTTAAGTTTATTATGACTTATCTCACTCGTCTGACAGTAACATCAGATCGAATTGTTAAAATTAATTGATGGATCTACATATTTTTTGTAAGACTGACATAAATCAAAATAGATATTGTAAAAAAAAATTCAGAGAAAGCAAAAATACACACAGGCACAGCTGTCACTAAGATTATATGCAAACAATACTAACAGTTAATTAACTTCACTGAAGTCAATTCTGATAAGGGAACACAGCATAGCAAAATGTTATTTCTTTACTAGCAAGCACAGAAGAAGGGTAAAATAAAATCTTTATTATTTCTCAAACTCTTAACACAAATGCATGTAATTCATGCTTACAGCAACACTAATGACTTGCAGTGGAACTTAAGAATAATTTCACAATAAATTAAAAGATGAAGAGTAATGCTGGACTGACAATTTAATTTAAGGTTAACTAGGCTGACTCAACCATCTACCCGGCAATACACTTATTAAAGGACCAAAAAGACATATCAGCAACTCAGCGTAACAGCAAGGACAAAATAGTAATGTGAACTGGCTAGCAAAATCACGCTTCGAATAAACTACTAATTTCATCTGATTTCATACTCACTTCACTTTAAATTTGCATCCTGATGAGGAAATGCAAAGGGAAAATGAGAGGCTCAGGAAAGGTATCAAACTTAAAATAATTCGTTATGGAACTAAGAAAAACTCCACAGTTTAACACATTTTAAATTAAGACACAGTAACACGCCGAATAAATACTAATTCAGAAGTCAAACAACAAAAATCAGAGTTATATTTACAAAACTTTCACAGGACTAGTTTCGATGGTTTTACTGGTCAGCTTCAAAACCGCAAATGAACAAGATAGGAAATAATGATTAGATAAGAGAAGAAAGCCTGGACAAGAATAAGCAAGTGGCACCATCTGTTGGTGAAACCAGAACTAAAACATAATTTCTTTAAAGGCTGAAGGCAAATTTGGATTGGAATTAGGATCGTTAACTAGAACAGAAAGATTTTTATGAATGTGAAATGCCTCTAGAAAATCCGAAAACATCCTCCAACAATCAATCTTGTTTGTTTTGTATCAACATCTTCAATCTTGAAAACATTTTTAAAAATATCTTCCATTGGAGAACTAGATTTTAAAACCATCAAAACTAGTCCTGTGAAAGTTTTGTAAATATAACGCTGATTTTTGTTGTTTGACTTCTGAATTAACATTTAAAATTATTTTGGCCTAAAGTTTTGTTTAAAAATACATATTATCATATTTAGTGTTTGATAAACAACAGAAGTGGACCTTAATTTCATCTCCAGCTGGCATAACTGCAGACAGTTATCTCAATCATTAACCTAGGTAATAAACAACATTCATTCACTGATTGAAAGGAAAGAAAATTAATTGCATGATGATTTTATTGAATTGAATACCTTTCTTTGGTTTTCTCTCTCATAACACATAGAAGAATATCAGTGAAGCATGTGACATTATGCTAGTCAGAACTGTTGACTAGCCTTTTTCATTGATAAAAGGAAGAATTGCTGCATATTATATTAGGAATTAAATAAAAACATAGGGAATCTTAGATGAGAAGCCTTAGTCCAAAGGCAAAAACAGAAGAGATTAAAATGCACATACACCAGCATCTCCACTTAAGAAAGACTTCAATGACTCAGGGGACACATGTCATCACCAAATGATAAAGCACTAGACCTGATTCTTAGCTAAAGCAAACAGGTCATTTTTTAACAAATTTTAATTTCTATTTTCATTATAACAGAATACAGATTAAGTTTGAATAATGCATATTAATTTTAATTATGAAATAAGATAAAAAAAGTGCATTATTTTGAGTAACATTTAATTACATCATTCCTCCGACATAGATTTCACACATTTCTAAGAAAAAGTATGTACTTACTGGAGGGGAATCATTTTTACATTCCACACCATTCACAGTAACTTTTTGAAGGTCACTTTTTATTCCGGTAAGTTGAATTGCATCAAATATCATCTGAGTTTCATATCCCTTCTTTGAAACAGTACTATTCAATCCATTCTAAGCAAAATATTTTTAAAAGTAATTAATACAAATTATATATATATATATATGTAAGATAAAAACATAAAAGCAAACTTAATTTTAATTGGTTAAAACCTCTTTTATTTTCTACTTAATGTGGGGACTTCCTCTCTCTGTCTTAGAAACAATGCCATAAGTCTAAACTGCATCATTAAAATTAATCATGCTATCTTACATAATGCTTAATGCAGATATCTCTTGCCTAATCAAAGCAATTGTAAACCAAAACTTTTTGACTCTCTCCTTTCTTCCTATGCATTACTACTGCGACACCTTTTCTCTTTAGCTTGTGCTCTCCTCCCAGTAAGACGTTGCTGCAATCATCTATGTTCGCTTCTATCGCAATAGTATCAAAATTGTTCTGGAAATAGGCACGATTGGAGTGCCAAGTGAATTGCAGCCACAAATACGAATTCAAAATCTAATTGGCATACAACTTCTGTTATAGCACAAAAAATTGCTGCTGTGCACTGTATAATGAAATATTTCTTAAAAGTTTATCAATTGTGCAACAATAAGACTTGCACGGTAAATATAAATTATGTGACTATAATTTTAGTGAAACTTAAAGGTTAGTTGCCTTTCCTAATGACATTTAGAAAAATGAGATGTTTATAATTAATATAATATCAGACTCTGTAATTAAGTTTTATATTTGATGCAAAGAGTTACAAGCAAAAGAATTCGAGAGAAATTTTGTACAAGAGGACATGATATTACAGTTATACCTTTGAAACTGCAAAACAATTTAAATATCTGGACGCATTGATCACAAGTTGCAATGATATAAAAATTGAAATAAAGAATACAATATTTATGGCTAATAGATGTTACTATGGCCTTAAAAAACAACTTCAATCTAAACTAATCAACATAAAAACTAAATTAAATTTATATAAAACTTTAATAAGGCCTGTTGCCATTTACGGAAGTGAATTTTGGATACTTAAGAGAGCAGAGAAAGACCTAATATAAAGTTTTGAAAGAAAAATCCTAAGAAAGATCTTTGGACCAGTACAACAAAATGACATGTGTAGGATTCTCTATAATCATGAACTATATGGAGAATATTGGAAATATGGTGAAACTGATATTGTGAGAATCTTAAAGGCGTCTCATATCAGATGGCTGAGACATGTGTTTAGAAATGATGAAGCATTTCCAACCAAAAAGATAACCTTTTCGAGAATTGAGGTACTAAGATGAAAAGGAAGACCACCCATTAGCTGGACAGATGATCTCGAGCAGGATTTAAGGTTAATGGAGGAGTTAATCGATGGAAGGCCTTTGCGCTGAATGGGGTCAGGTGAAGGAAACTTGGAGAAACAGCCTTGGCCTGTAACAGGCTGTGGAACTTATGAAGAAGGACATGATATTAAGGCATTACAAATGTCTTTTATTAATTACGATAATAGTATAAACATTTAAAAGAACTTGTTGAAAATATTACTTTTTTATATGATTTATTCTGTTTTTTTTAGATGGCTAAGTATTGTAATAGTTTAAAAACCGCTTTACTTTTAGCTTCAAACTTGACTAGCAAGCTTGGAGAAGGACTGAATGAAATAAAAGGAATAAGACTAATTTCAAATTTTTTCAAGCATTGTTTTCTTTAAAACCTTACAATTATACAAGCAGTAACAGATATCTAAATTATTTTCTTCCAAAGTAACTTCGTCAAAATGATGTAAAATTCAGACATTATCATAAAATTATCAGTAAATTAAATAAGTACTTAATACTTTTTTAAATTTCATGTCTATATAAAAATAATTTTGAAAGAGTAAAAATAATTATAATAAAATACAAAAATTATTAACTGAATTATATTTGGGAAAAATTTATAAATATACTTAAAAATCTAATATTAATATTATTTTCCTTTTCTTCATACAGCTTGTAATTTGTGTGCGTATGTATTTCATTTTTAATGCTCTTCAAACTAGAACTGATAAATTAACTTGGTACTTCGATAAAATATTTTAGCATTAAATTTTATATTTTTTTTATTGGAAATGAGTTTTCTTACCTTACTGGCTTTAAATTGAAAAAGATTGTATTTCCCATTTTCATATGAATCTAAATAAGAAGAAAAGAATTATACGATATAATTATATAAACTCTACTTTCTGCATTTCTACTGACTGAAGATATCTTCCTACTACTTGGTTTAACATTTCCATAAAAATATTGAGTTAAAATTAAAAATTTTGCTCTTGAACTCAAGTATTGCAAAAACATGGGCTACTACACATTTAATCTTAAAATATAATATTCCTGATATAACTACAAAACTACATTTAGTATCATTATAAATATAAAAGGGATCCAAGATATTTAAACACCACTTTTTTGTTTTATTAAAAAATCATAGTGCTATTATTATTTATTTACTTATTTTTTGCATAGTTCTTCCTACCTATGTTTTGTTATCCTTGCTTTTATCAGACATGACTTTTTGATCTCTTAATTTTTGCTGTTTAGAAGAACAGACATAGCTGTGATTCTTGAAGGTTTAATTTCAACTCTGTAAATATGTAACTGTAATTGTTCTCCTCACCCGCAATGTACCCTCCTTCCATCACTGCACTATCGTCTAGCCAAGCATTTGTTTGTACCACCCCAAGCACTCGTCTTGAGCACAATATGTACCCAAGTGTATTATGTGGACCAAATTAATGCTGTCAGCGGGACTATCTGGCCGATATGCTAACTGTCCCAGTGGATTGGCTGCCTCGCTATTGATGGAATGAAAGAAAGCACTGAGATAAATTTTAAGGAAACTAGAATCTTCAAGGACATAGATGGGTCTTATTATGATTTAATCAGGCAAGATGGTAAAACTGAAAATCCTTATGAATCCCTGTCAGGGATAGTGATGTATTATATAAAAAAAAATCAGGAATTCATTAATATCTTGATTTAATATTTTGAACAAAAGTTAATTATAACATAAAATGGTTTCTGATTCTTTTAGGAACCAAACAGTCAACCATTAATTTATTTTGCTTTTATTTTTAAAGTACTTACACTTAGGATAGACTAAATAATACTATATAGGTTGTTGAAAAGAAAGTTGTTACAAAAATATATGTTACGTTTTAAAATATTAAATGTGGCTTATGAAGCATGACTCATATTAATCAAGGTAACTCTTAATAGTTATTACTGTTATTGGGTTACCTTAACAAAATTCATACCCCCCAGTTTCGATAATGAAAAAATTAGCAAAAAATATGCAAAACAATTACAAAGAAATATGGTACATAAAACACTTCTTAAAATAATATTTTTAATAAATAAATCTTTTCACTATTTATTTAAAGTTTTCACGAGAAGTAAAGGACATAAATGTACCATTTCCCCAAATTATTAGGAAATTATAAAGTACATATGACTTTTAATCAATCATGTTAGTTTAAAATCTTTCACTTTAATTACTTAAATGATAAATTTAAGACATTTATTAATCAGAGATACTTTTTACATCTGTGGAATCATCAGCTTGCCTCCAGAAAATATCTTGATTTATATTTAATACTTTGACCTGAAGTAGAGGAACAAGTCAATTTAATTTAATGCTGCAGTATAGTTTTTTAAGATATCAACAATCATTTGTTTACTTAGAATAATAATCTGTACTGTAATAGTATTATACTGTAAGTATCACATTACTACAGTACAGATTTAAAATATATAAATTTATTGCTGTATTTTGGAATATTGTTTTTTGTAACAAAATAAAAATTAATTTCAAAATATTCTTCTACTGTTTCTCAAAAGGGTTTAAAATAATAATAATGAAAAAATAATGAAATACGCATCTAAACGTCCCCCCCCTTTTTTTTTCAAAACTTTTGCTCATATTCTTAGTCTAACTGTTATCTTTATTTATGTGCAATTATTTGTTTCATGATTATGTTTCATAAACAAAAGTGTAACAGGGTCGATGAAGAAAACCATTCTTTTAATAAGGGGTCACTGATACAGAAAGGCTGGGAATCGTTGCTTTAACAAAAAACATTTTAAATACACAAACAGTTATATAAAAAAGGAATACAGAATTATATGAAATGGTATGACTAGTACATTGGGGGGGGGTGGAATGAGTTACTAAAAAGTTATTACAATAAGAAATGCGATTTTTCCTTCAATAAATACTTTCCATATATTTCTGAAGATAAGATGAGGTATAAATTTTGTCAAAGTTTTATAGTTTTAGCATCCATTTATACTAAAAGATGACCTCCAAACTAACAATGGCCTATGAATTTAATTTGGATCAGCGATCATCATCTGAGAAAAATATTATTTTCTTGAATATGGCAGTAATGCCTATAGAAGCACATGTCATATCCTGAGCTTACATGTACCTCAAACAAATTTATTTTCTTACATCTGGCAGCACTGTCTATTGAGGCATGTGCTGAATAACGAATTGCCATGTACTTCTAAAACGTTTTGTTGCATATTGTTGTGTGTATTCAAACAATTTGTACTACAGATGTAAGCAGCAAAAAATTTGCAAAGTGTTGGCCTAATCATGGAACCACTGAAAAGAAGAAAATGTGAAGGAAGCTTCAAGTTAAAAGTTATAAAACAGGTTAAAGAATCAAACAAATGTGCTGCAGCAAGGGGGTTGATATAACAGAGAAGGTGATAAGAGACTGAAGAAAGAATGAAGATGCTATTAAAAAATGTTCTATGAAGAGAGGAACAGTTTGCTGGACAGTTATAGAAAATAATATTGCACAATGAGTACAAGAATAGAGTCAGAATTGTTATGCCATTACAAAAAATATAATCAGGACTTATGCATTGAAATGGGCAAGGGCCAATGCAGAACAAGGCAAAGAGTTTAAATCAACAACAGGTTGGTACAATCACTTCATGAACAGAAAAAAAAATCTGGTAATATGACAGAAAACAAAAATTGTGCAGAAATTATTACAAGATTGTGACCATCAAGTCACAAATTCTCATAAGTTCATTACTGGTATGAGGCAAAAATACAACTTTCCATAATCTAATTGGAAATACGGATGAAACGCTAATGAGATTTCATTTAATAAACAAAAGAACTGGGGGGGGGAACTATTCCAGTCAGAAGTACAGGCCATGAAAAGACCAGGTATTAATACACAGAGAGTAATATTTCTAGTGATTCAGATACCAACATATTATTGTTAGGTATTAACACAGTGGCAGATGGAGCAAAGCTAAAACCCATGATCCTTTTCAAGAAGAAAACTACTAAAATAAAATTCCTGTTAGGCGTTTATGTACATTTTCATGAAAACAGGTGGATGGATGAGAATTGTATAAAACTATGGATGAAAAATGAGTGGCAGAGATGAGCAGGTACTCTATGAAATCAACGCAGTTTGTTGGTGTGAGATATACTATTTTACAGTCATGTTACTGAGAACACTAAAAATTGCTAGCATGGAACAATACTAAGATTGCTGTTACACTGAGTGGTTTAACTTTGATGCTACAACTTTTAGAGGTTTTTCTGAATAAACCATTCAAACATCATATGTATGACTAAAGGAATAACTGGATGATGAGTGGTGAAAAATCTTACATGAAAGGTGGAGTTATGTGGGCTGATTTGGTGTGAAATTTCATGATCAAATCATGGGGAAAATTGAAACAGTGACCAAATCTTTAAAAAAATGTGGGATTTCTAATGTTGTGGATGGAACTAAGCATGATTTGCTATGGAATACTAATGGCAAGGTGGAAATTGACTCGCTGGGTAGAGAATGGAACCCATATGATGAGTTGCTTCTCAACAACAAAAGTGAAGATATACTTGAAAAACTATTTGTCTTAGATGATGAATGTGAGGATTTTAAATACATTGGTGAGTGATTCATTTTATTTTATAATGGTTATAATTAATATAAATTTCATTTTTTATATATTTACAAAAAACCTTGGATTTTGGGGGCCTTTTTTATGATTCAACCTTGTCTTATCTGTCGAAATATACAGCATTAATTAAGACACAATAACACGCCGAACAAATACTAATTCAGAAGTCAAACAACAAAAATCAGGGTTATATTTTCAAAATTTTCACTAGACTAGTTTCGATGGTTTTACTGAACCACCATCCTCAACTGCAAAACCGCACATGAACGAGATAGGATATAATGATTAGAAAAGATAAGAATGCCTGAACAAGAATAAGCAAGTGGCGCCATCTGTTGAGGAAACCAGAACTAAAACACAATTTCTTTAAAGGCCGAAGGCAAAGCTGGATTGGAATTAGGATTGTTAACTAGAACAGAAAGATTTTTTTGAATGTGAAATGCCTCTAGAAAATCCAGTTCTCCAATGGAAGATGTTTTTTGAATAATTTTGGCAGCAGAAAAATTGAAAGTGTGATTTTCGGACCAACAATGTTGAGCAACAGAAGACTTCTGTGTTTCCTTTTTTCTAACGTTCATCCCCTTCTTTCCATCAATTAGCTGACAGCCTTGAAATTTCACTTCAAGGAACATGAGGCATATGTTAGAAAGAAGGAAACACAGAAGTCTTCTGTTGTTCAACATTGTTGGTCCGAAAATCTTTCAATTTTTCTGCTGCCAAAATTATTCAAAAAACATCTTCCATTGGAGAACTGGATTTTCTAGAGGCATTTCACATTCAAAAAAATCTTTCTGTTCTAGTTAATGATCCTAATTCCAATGCAGCTTTGCCTTCGGCCTTTAAAGAAATTATGTTTTAGTTCTGGTTTCCTCAACAGATGGCACCACTTGCTTATTCTTGTCCAGGCTTTCTTATCTTTTCTAATCATTATATCCTATCTCGTTCATTTGCGGTTTTGCTGCTGAGGATGGTGGTTCGGTAAAACCATCGAAACTAGTCCTGTGAAAATTTTGAAATTATAACGCTGATTTTTGTTGTTTGACTTCTGAATTAAATATACAGCATATAAGAATTGCTGTGCTGTTTTTAAGAAAATTTTAATACTTTAAGTTTTTCAATTTTATATTGTAACACTACTTAAAATTACATAATGAAATGAAAATGCAGAATAAAACTCAATAAAAATAAACTTATACTATAAAAAATATTCTCACCTAAAGAATCACCATCATCCCAATATAATTCCCCACTTGCTTCTTCATTTTCATCCAAATACACCAACAGCATAAAATTTTGCTGACGACTGAAATTTTTAATACATTATTAATACACAGAAAGTAAACAATACATTAGGCGTGCAAGCAAATTTGTGACATTATAACTCAATTTTAAATCTAAATAATTCTCTGATATTTTGAAATTTACAAATGCAGGTCTCTGTATTTGCTATGAAAAGATTGGATTAATTTAATTTGAAAAAAAGTAATGGAAATAACTTGCTCTGTATCAGTTAAGAACTACGCAACTTATAAAATACATGGGAAAAGATTAGGATAGGAATTTTTAATTTTGGCAGTATACCAGAGTGACCAAAAAACTTTAGGAAGCCATGATTTTTGGTCGTCTCTTTAGAAACAGTATAGACTACATATTTTTTTCCTTCCAGTTTATTACGCAGTAAGACTAAGAAAAAGAGAAAAAATGACGAGTAAATATGGTACTGATAAAGAGAAGAAAAGCAGTTTTTTTAATAAGTAAACAGATAATTCATAATCCTTGGATGCGCTCTAATGGTAATAAAAAAAAAAATGACATAAAAATACACAATCTAAATCCTAGCAACTGACGATGCAAAATGAAGAATGTTTTCTTCATTTCTCTTACCTAACAGTTGTAGTTTGAGCTTGAAATTGTGTTGGTATGATATAACCTCCTCTGAACATCGCAACAATGTCATCAATAGCTGAAGGCTGTGCAAGTTTTCCTCCAAAGCTGATGAAAGCACTTCCATTTCCATAGTACCATACTCCTTGAGGCAGGTAAGAAGATACATTTTTAGCACCCTGGAAAACAATATTATTTTCCAAAAACTTTCATTAAATTACATGCAATTTGCATTAGTTTATATAGCATACTGTAGTCTTTCCCACTTCACTAGAAGAAAAACATGAAAATGTAAATTTAAAAATTGCCAAACAAGGAAGTATAGTTTGGCATAGTTTTGAACAGAACTCTATCAATTTTAAGTGCAATCAAACACACAGCCCTCTTCTTTAAGAGTAAAAAATTTTTTGGAAGAGGGACTGTGTCTGATTGTCAGTGAAATCTATAGTTTTATTCAAAAATATACGCCAAACTAAAGTTATTTGTCTGCCTAAACCTACACCTGCTTTTTTGTTTTTTAAAGGTATGAAACAATGAACAACATATACCCATGGGTAAAATATTGCAAAAATATTCAGTAATGTTCATAACTATTTGCATAAAATGTATGGTTGCTGTCATGCTCTGTAAGTTCAGAATTTAACGAGAGAGACAAATTCAAGTGGAATAAAGCTTCATCCTCCCTACCATGGAAAAGGATGAAATTACAGAGGATTTTCAACAAATATTAGACACAAGTATGATGAAATACTTGGGAGGATGATGAAACAGCATTTATTACACTAACTTGCATTATAAGCATTTATTACATAACTTGGTGATAAGCATTTATTACACTAACTTGCTAAGTGAACTCTGATGAACCATAAAGATGAAATGCCATGGAAAATTTAACAGAAAAGTGTTACTCCTGCATGACAACACTCCCACATACATAACTCACATTTCAAAAACTGCTATATAACAGTGTAGATTTCAGCTTCTTCACTATCCATAGCATTCATCAGATTAATGTGATTTCTTTTTGTTTTAATTTTGTTAAGCAGAATTAACATGGTTCACATTACAGTGGAGATGATGCTTTGAAGGATATCATTCAGAAACAGTTTGAAGAGCCTGATGAAGCATTTTTTTCCTGTTGGAATCATGCTTAATGGGTCTCTGGGCTAACTGCACCAAAATCAAAGGAAATTGCATCAAAAACTGAGAGTAATATTAAGGCCTTAGGAGTGACCAATGCTGAATAGGCAAGTGCCTGCCTCCACTTCTGTGGCTGAATGATGCACACATGCAAACTGTATAAGTTCTTCCTTCTTTAATCTTATTAAATCATGTACAATCTACTTGTCTATCCTGCACTTCAATGACAGTGATTTTATGCTTGTCCCATTCTCCAGTTTAAAGATGATTTCAAATTTTTTATGAATGAAAAGATCAATACACTTCTTTTTTCAAACATTTTTCACACAATATTAAAGCAGAATCTCTCAAAATGGTAACACTGATCACTATAAAAAAGTATTTGACCATAAAACAATCAAAGTCAAAAATCAATGTGCACAAATGGTGCAGTTTTTATAAAAATTTGAAAGAACAGAGGAAAATATGGCAGAAATAGCAGGCTAAGGCTAGGGTGAGAGAGGTAAAGTCAGTAAGAGTTAATCGGGAATCTACTGCACATTAAAAAATATCTGCATATTAATGGCCGTACTCATGAAAATGAAATGATTAAAAAATGAGAACATTACTGGATAAACAGCAGGAATTAGAAGCACAGCTGGACCCCAAAGAAATTGTTCATCAATATTGTAAGTGTTGACATCATGTGGATATCTGCAAAAAAAAAAAAAAAAAAAAAAAAAAAAAAAAATCAATGCTAGAATTAAACAAAATAAATGTATGTAACATAAAACCTCAGATCCATTTCAGATGAATCTGTTGCAAAAATGTGATACTTTATATATTAATAATAATGAAGTCTTAATAATACTATAGCTTAAGTCCTACAAGGAACACAACGAAACAAACAAAATGTCTGGTCATACGAAACATTATGCCCATGCAACTTATGTTTGCAAAATTCACTCATAAAGAAAATGATGAAAATAAAAATATTACCGTACCAAGGATGCATACTTTATGCTATTGCTAATATATCAAAATAATATACAGCATTATATGCAGCTTGGTTTTTTCCCCTTAGCTTTAAATTAAAAAGAAAATATCTAAGATGCTCAAGTTACATGGAAGTAAAGGATTTAAATGCAAAAATTCTTTCAAACTATTTATTTGACAATTTCAGAGTTCATATTATCTTGTGCAAAAATAACTATAAATATGTAAAAATCTAAGTATAATTTTATTTAACATGAAGAAAAATCTGATGTAGAACCTTAAGGAACAAGTCTATGTAGCGGCTTTAGAGCTCAAAGTGCACTTTTAGATCTATAGTAAAATACTAGCTTTCCAAGAAGTATACTGAGATGAAAATTCATTCATTGCCTCCAGAAATACCAAAGATACCAGTTTTACCAAAGATAATGCCAAATAGATCAAATGAGCAAGGTCTGTCTCAGTAACATGTACAAACAATAGTCAGAAGATCAACTAATAGGTAAAATTCAGGATCTTTAGGTGTGCTCATATATGTGAAAAGTCTCTACTCCTTAATTCTAGATGGAAATAAAGCCATATGTGGCTAGCTACAATTCACAAACGAAATGCATTGCAGTACAGTTCATCTGAACATATAGTTTCTCCAGATGTATAAATGAGATATCTCACTCTAATAGTTCACGAGAAGCATCGCTAGCACAGTAGGCAGTGCATCAATCTCGTAATCTAACAGTTCAGGAACTTCATGAGTTCTCCTGATCAACATTTGTTGGAGACACAGCTTTTGATTACCAAGACATTCTGTACTTTCATTCTTAGAGGAGACATAGACTCAGCAGACTTAAAGAAAACAAAATTCATTATGAGAGCATGGAGTTTCAAAGTGGCCAGACATGAAAAAAGTGACTTCAACACCTAGCATTCGCAAGCCCATTGGCTGAGGCAAAATGACCTTCTTTCCTCTTTTTCACACCTAAAGCTGAAACAAATCTAATTCTCACCATCTTAACAAATTCCAAAGATAACCAATAACCCCTGAATCTATGTATTAGTCCAGGGGGTGTTGAGAATCTTCAGTGACAACACACCTTGAATTTCATGATTGGTTCTATTAAAAATTAAAATTTATCTTCAACCAATCACTTAGTTTTAGCCTCACCTTTAACCTACAATAACAGAGCAATAAATTGCCAGACATTCTGGCATAATGGAATTCTAACTCCATGGGAAAAAATTCAAACATCTTGTTAGCTTCCCAAACTAAGAATTTGTATACTAAAGTGAAATTCAAAGCTTGATCTTTAACTGACTGAAAACAATACAAAAGAAAATAAAGAACTCTTTCTCATGGATACAGTTAAGAAACTCCCTACCTTAAGATTTCCATTCTGGTCATCCTTAGAATAATCTGACAAAAAGAATTTATCTGCCTTTTGTTTTCCCTAACACAGCTGTGTGACCATCCTAGTTTTCCATTCTGTAATTTCTGATTTCTAAGAACATTAAAAACCAGGACTAAAGAATCAAAGATTACAACAAATTCATACCTAATTCAAATTCCTAAATATTAATATTAAATTTTATATACAAGAATACTTTCTTCTGAAGTTACTATAGTAGGTTCAAAGAGAGCTACAGAATGGATTAACAATATAGAGTTTGAAAAATATTTTTAACTGCTGTATGAATATAGGTTGACATACTTGACAGAATACAAATGTTATTCAGAACATACTGCTTAAAACAATTTCATATCACCAGATTTTGGTTATACAGCCCAGTTTACCAAGCTTTAAGAAGTTACCATACAGAAATTTATAAAAATTTACTATTAACCCTTTGTTGCTCAATGTTCCACTACATGGAACACACAAATACAATTGCTTCTGAAACCGTTAAATTCAACCGTAAATGGCTAAAAATGTCTTTATAATATACTTCAAACTTCTCTTTTTAAACAGTAGATGGCAGCATATCACAAGGAGACATAGAATTTTCATTTATGATGTATAATTAAAATCCACTTATTTTCTAGTAATTTTCTATATTTTTTTGTGACGCAAAAAGAAATTTGTTTGAAAAAAAAATTCTGTATAATTTTGAAAGCTGTACTCTATGTTATATATTTTTTTATATTTTTCGTACAAAAAGCATGTACAGAATCATTAAATAAAACATGGTGTTCCATTAGCGGGAACACTGCACCTTTAGCGATCTCATGATATTATGCATCAGAACATCTGTCTTAGGAGAAAACATCTGTTGTATATGTTTTCTATTTACCTTGTTTTGAGGGAATGAATTCAAACAAAGCAGTCTTGAGGGGTGAGGTGTGGTTTGTGCTATGAAAGCTCTAATATTGTCATCTTGAAATTTTTGTGAGTAGTTTTCAGGAGGGAATTTTATCAGTAGCTTGAGTCACTTTACTTAGGGGAGCTCCGCGAATTATTTTGCTATCGCTTTTTAGTCTCATTCCTGTTTATTTACAATAATTGTGTAGATATTTTTTTGTGTATATAGCTTATTTTTCTTTATTGTTAATATTAATTGCAGTTAATTTTTTATTATTAATTATTCATAAATGGCACAAAAACATCTTTTTCTCTTTCTTTTTACTTGGAATTCTAAACATATTGTTGCAAGTTTTTTGTTCAAAACCTGCAAAGTTGGTTTGTGCTTCTACCAGAAAGATGTGACATGCTTTTAAAATTTCACGAAGCTATGAAATCGAAAAATTTGTAAATATTTTTGTATATAGGACTTGTGTATACACATATATTTATCTCATTTATCCATATATATTCAAGAAAGTTGTGTATATCCAGAAAACCATGTATACAGCTATAATACAGTGTTTTTTCATAAGCTTCTACTCATTTCCGTGCTTCACTGCAATGCATGCTCAGTCGCACTTTTAAGAGCTCTGGTGGCGCAGTGTTCCACCTCATGGAACACCCACAGAATTGAAATGGTAAGTGCAATTTTTAAAAAATTTTATCTGTACACTTCTTTAGGTCTAGGTAGACTGCATACAACATTTCTTGTTGAAATACCGACTTTAAAGTGTAGTGCACCACAAAGGGTTAAACAATAATATGATAAAAAGAAATAAGGATTATTTCCTGCCTGCATTAAATGATTATGATACAACAGTACATAAGACTTACTTTATACTAGAACATACTTTTTGCTGACTATTAAAGCTTTACTACTAAAGCAAAGAAAAAAAATTATGAAACTGACATGCAAGTTTTTTTAATATATTACATGCTTAACATTATAAATTCTTTTTGTAACTTATTGTATAATTTTAATAACATTAGAAAAAATAATTTTAAAAGAACAGAATATAAGGCATTAAACAATTTAAATTTGTAACTCAGTCAAATACTGGTTTGCTTTAGTTACATATTTCCCCTTTATTTGTACTTAATTTTGCATAATTAGTCACTTGGTCAGGCAAACATCTCCAGGCTAACTGGAGCCATTAGTGAATGAGTAGTAACAATGTTGAACATTGTTAGTTTGATCCAAGTTCAAATTCTGGAGAACAGGTAAGCTGCATGAGTGTTTTTCCATGTGTAATATGAGCATGAGCTAGTTTCCCCCCAAGAAAGCCCTCCATGAAAACATACCTCCCTTTAAGTAGATAGCCTTCATGTGCTTCACTATAATGCGACCAAACGAAACATAATTAATCAAAACCTAAAGAAAATATCCAAAACCAATAAATAGTTTCTTATCCACATTTTTATTACCACTACAAAAATATACAATTAATATTTAACATTGGATTTAAAGTTTATTCATTTTATTTACCATACACTTTTATTATGATGAAAAATTGATAACTGGCACATATAAGTTTCAGTACAATGGTGAGGAAAAAGATATTATTTGTTAAACTGAGTAATAAAATTCAGAGAAAATTAAGTATTACTATAATTAATTATTTGTGGATATTATTAAATATTTATTTGTTAAAAATAAGCATGAATATCTGTTAAGTACAAATAATACATACTCAAAAAATAGAGGCCTTACTACTGTGTTCCCAAATACATGACTTCGATAGAACAAAGTGTATAAATAAGGTAATAAGAGGTAACGTTTTAGCAAGGTACGTTTAGCAGCTGCAAGAACAAACACTCCTAGAGCTGCTGGATCTTGTTCCTTCAAAGAAAAATTACAGCTTTTAATTAAATATTTTATATTTAATTTATTATTAATTAATATTTAATTAAATAATAATTAATTATTTTTATTTATAATTAACACAATAATTTATTTACTTCTAATTTTTAAAAGTTATTTTAAAATGAAACATGCACAATTCCTAATTTTAAAAAATCTGATGTGTACACCAAGACTTCCTTGTCTGGAATATTAAATTATACACATTTTTTCTTGCATTCTGTTTAAACTTATTGGATTCAATTATATGTACTTCGCCGACAGCGCATAAACCACAATAGAATAAGTGCATTCTTTAAAATTCACTCTATTTGTTTACCATAGCGACACTCTGGCGCTAGGTTCACTTAACAGTATTATATTTCGTTCATATTATAACTCAGAATGCACAAAATTTGTATCATTTAAAGAATTATCTAATCATTGCCACATGTTCTATTCAAACACTATAATAAAGCTAGAACGATGTATAAAAGAAATTAAGCAAACAAAACAAAAAAGAAACAGTTTTTCACAGACGATTGAGTATTTCTCATTCAATTAACTCAGTTCTCACTTCGTGACAAGGCAAAAATACATAAAAACTCAAAATATCTCTACTAAAAATTAATAATTATTAAAAATTAAGTAAATCTTAAACACTTATTTCCTCGAAAAAATTTCAGAAAGGATTAAGCATGATTTAAATCGCAATAATAAATGAGGCCTTTTATCTTTGTTGTTGCGAAGCTACGTTTCTTTAGATTGGCAACAAATTGACTACTCAGCTGTTTCAAATGTAAACAAGCAATGGCCGCCATCGAAATAGGCTTAGCGGCACTTAAACAACTTTTAATTGTTGATAATTCTAAAAATATTGCGTACAGATTTACTAAAGGAATAAAACCCTTAACCGGAAGATAAAAACAACATAATTCAATCATTTTTAAAGAAAAAAATGTACAATTTACAAACATATAAGAGTAAAGAAACTGAGATCACTGAGCCGGGTAACAGAGTGGATATATTTATAAATATATTTATATACGTTTGGCGCGGCTGATTGAAACCAAAATACGAGGTGCACATCTACATGTTATAATAGTCCTATGTACAAAATTTCAACGTTCTGTGGCTACTCGTTTTTGAGTTATGCGAGATACGTACGTACATACGTTCGTACAGACGCCACAAAAAATTCTCTTCAGACTTCATTTTAAAGCAGTTTTTTAGTTTTTTTGGAGGAAAAGAGTCTTTTATTCTGCCCTTACGTATAGATATCACGCAAAAACATTATTAAATTGCATTCGAAAGCGGTCAAAGTGGATATTTTCGTTGAAATATGCTGCCTGAAGCTTTTTGCGATTACAATACTTCCTTTTTACTTCGTACAAAGAAGTAAAAAGATTAACATAAATTTATCACACTACTAAAACACATGAGAATGACATAGTTATTCGAATGCTAATAATTTGATAACTTTAATTAAAAAAATTCTTACAGTAGTTCCCACTGTGTTATGATTTCTTGAAAAAGGATAGAAAGCTCCAAGAGCATGCCATCTGGCACAGAGTTCAAGTGAAGCATTGCCATTGAAACCACATATATCTGAACCAATCATAGGCATTCCATAAAGGTTAAAATTTAGTAAAGCTAAAAAAAAGAGAAAAAAGTACCTGTCTACTACCAATCTATCTATATACACATCGAGAAAGAGAGAGAGAGATGTATTTATTTTTACTTTATCTCTATGTATGTATATAGATATACATACATAAAGTAAAAATAAATATAAGACATTTAAATCCATTCCACATTCAACTTGGAACAAACCATTCAAAATAAAATCAAGAAGCACAGTGACTCTGCAAAGGTGCAAAAAATGCATAAATCAAAAAAGAAAATAGTAAAAAAAGTTATTCATATCCTTCGTCACATCATCATCACAGGGTTGGAGCAACAAAAAGTAAATGAATTGGCCTGTTTCTAGACTGATAATGACCAAATTATAAATTAGAATTTAACACTTTGAGAAACATAGAAAATTATATCTTCATTGGTCATTTGTGCGATTGTCAGTTCAGGAACAGGTTGATTCATTTACTTCTTCTGTTATACTATCCCCTTGATGAAAGTAAATATGAGAAGGATATAAATGATCTATTTTTTACCTTTGGTTTACACATTTTTTGCATCTTTTCATGCAATTTAGTCACTGTGTTTTTCGATTTTATTTTGGATTTTTTTTTTTTTTTCTTCCCTTTCTGAACTGAATATGGAAAGGATTTACATGCCTTATTTTATTTTTATTTTAAATATAAAAATAGTAAAAAAGTACTTTAAAAAAGTAAAAATAGTAAAAACATTTTATTTTTACTTTAAATACCAGTTGTTGCAGCTATCAGCACATAAATAGAAAAGGTTTTAAATTATTGCATCTATATCTCTACATATATAAAGAAAATAAGAGGCAAAAATTTTAAATAAATTTTTTATACCCGTCCTGCACTATAGCCTTGCCTTGCTTTGACTCTAATTTACTTTTAACTTTAAATGCTTTAAGTTTATCCATCTACATATACATAAAAGTGTACACATATATTGGATATGTAAAATGAAAATTTTCTTTTCAGTTCTTGGGTTCCAGAAACCCACTTGAAAAAATTTATCCAATCACTAGGGTACAGCTAGCAAATATTGATGATTCACAAAAACGCATCAAGCTTGAACTCTTAGTTACTGATAACACGCAAATATGGATGTCTCTATTCTGGTTCCAAAAATTAATGCTTGAAACAGATGCCTTTCCCTAGTTTGGGATCAAGGGTTGACATTCTAATAGCAGCAGATGCCTTTTGGATTACGAACACAGGAAATATAAAACAAATTTTAAAGGTTCTGTACTATTATTGAACTATACTCTATTTGGGGATACTCTCAGCAGAAATGCAAATAATGAATCCCAATTTAATTCCATTGACATTCAAAATTTGTGTGTCAGTGAAAGTATATTATTTGCTTTTGAATCAGTGCCTGTAAATGAAAATTTAAATGATTTATTGTGTTATTAAGTTCTGGGAGGTTGGACGTTAAATAAAAAAAATTACCTCACACTGGAAGAAAAAATGTGTAAGATGCACTTCTATGACATTTATACGAAGCTTTCAAACAATAGATTTTACGCTGGATTACCAATAAAAAATGACAATAAAAGTGTGAGCGTTTTAAAAAAATGCTGGCTTGAAAAAGATTTCTCAGCATTGAATCAAGATTAGAAAGAAATCCAAAATATCAAGAAATGTATAATAAGTTCATGGACGCATATTTAAAATTAAATCATATGAAAATTATACTACTTTATGAGAAAAAATATTAAATATATTAAATAAAACAAATTATCAACCTGATCACTTTGTAATAAAAGAAAATAGTGCAACAACTGCCTTTGAGAGTTTTTTTGATAGTTTCGTGCTAACATCATTCATCAGGTATATCACTCAATGATAAATTAATGGTTGGCCCTAAATTGCAAGATGATAATTTTTTATATTTTGATTTGATTCCTTTATTAAAAATATGTCATTCATTCAGATATTGCGAAAATGTAGCAACTAGTACCAGTACTTGACTCCAATGCTGATTTACAAAGAACAGTATGGAGAAGGTCTCCTACAGATAAATTGGAAGAATATCATTTAAAAATTGTTAGTAATGGTACCTCCTCCACTTTATTTAGCCATTAGAGCTCTTTAACAACTTCCTCACGAAGACACAAAATTTCCGTTAGTTAAAGATATCCCACTGTGTGACTTTTTATGCTGAAGATTTAACTCAGTGAGACTAATTCCATCGCTTCTGGATTAAGTTACAGAGAGAATTAATTTTACTTTTTGATTACGGTGAATTCAAACTCAAGAGATAGTTATCAAATGAACCAAATTTATTGAATATTTTGCTGGAGATTACATCGAAATCAAAATTTCACTTGCTATTGATATTGATAATTCAGTAAAGGCTTTAGGAATGCACTGGTATGAAGCATCTGATTATTTCTTTTTTAAGGTTCACCTTACCATAGAAACTGGAAATATAACTAAACGAAAATAATTTTAGAAGTGTCAAAATTGCATGATCCTCTTGGTCTCATGGGACCAGTTTTAGCCAAATTAATTATCCAGAAACTTTGGATAGCTTAATTGGAATGAAGAATCACCATATGAACTAAAATCGAATATCTGAACTTTAGAAATTCCTTTCTGTGATCTTGAAAAGCTGAAAATATTATAATATGTAATGACTGATAATTTTGCTACCTTTCAGCTCCATTGATTTTCAGATGCATTTGAAAGGGCTAAAGGAGCTGTTCCATATTAAGACGCAAGTATTCAGCTTTTGACATTAAAAATCCCCGTCTCGGCATTAAGTGACATTACCTTGCTTAGAATTGTGTGGAGCTGTTCTATTGGCCAATTACTAACAAAGTTTAAAAAAAAAAAAAAAAAAAACTTAAATGTGAATATCAGTTTAATGCACACATAGACAGTTTATAATTCTATCATGGATTGAAGCCTGCCAAGAAAGTGGAGGACTTTTTGTGGTCAAATGAGTTTTATTAATACAAGATCTTACTCCTACTCATTGCTGGAATCACATTCCTTCAGTTCAAAATTTAGCTGATTTGATTTCTAGAGCTTTTCTAGATTCTTTAGAATTATTTATTGTAAGCAACCTTTTAGTTCAATGGTCCAAGATGGTTGAAAATGTGCAATATGAACACTGGCCAAAAATTAAAGATCAAGACAACTCTAATGAGGATATAAATGAAGAAAGAAGATCAAAATGTGAGATGTCAATTTATTACACCAGTACGGATCATGTCAAAACTCATCTTTTGGATTTAACTAAATATAGCTGTGTAAATTAAATTTATCATATGAAAAAGAAATTTAGTAACAGCATACAATAATAATTAATTGCAATTAATTTTAATATCATTTTTTAAAATAACACTTATTCAGTACAGCTTTTTGTGCATGGTCCAACAGGATCATTCAACATTCTATAAATTTTAAAACCATACCATAAGTTGTTACTATGACATACAACTTGATACTATGTTTCTGGTATTTGTTTGGTATGTCCTGTCTAAAAATAAGTCTGCCATATCACAACATCATCAATTCATCTAAAGTAATTTCTCATCGTAAGTGATACATTTTAGATAATCATGTGTCAAACAAATTCACCATAGCTCTGACTTTATTCTGTTGATCCTTTGAGGGTTCTGCATTCCGCTCTGGGATTTTTATGAAGTGCAGTGCCCTTAGTAATAATAAAAACCGATCCCTGTTCACATTATCTGAGAATATACATAAGCCAAACAGAGTATCTGTTTTCCAGTAATCCTGTATGCATCTCATGCATATTGTTTCTACATGCAGAATTATTCCCACAAATACCAATAATTCATCTTCTGTGGTATCCATCCAATTTGTTGAAAATTGAATTTGAGAATCTTTTTCTCATGGGGATAAAATATTTTACAAGCATAGTCACTAGTTTCAGAAACTATGTCGTCCAATATATTATCAGTAAAATAGTGGCAAAAGTAATTCATAAGATTGTCATCTGAAACAAGCTGCAGCAGACAAATTTTATGATAGAGAATTGTTTCATGGATGATGAATCATTTTCCCAAATTATGTTTTCTACCACAGCAGAATCATACTGTAGAAATGCCTCCCTTTGCATGATATGCTTGTCATCTTCATCTTCTAGATCCGAAATATAATGGGCATTTCTGGGAGAAAGGAATTCCTCATTACTGCCATTGTCATAAATAAAATCACTTAGGTAAGCATTTGATAGCTCAGCAAATAAATTTGCAATTTCATCAGACTTAAGAGGCCTTTTATTCTGCACTCTTTTCTTTTAACACAAAGCCCCGCAGAACTATAATCTGTACAACTCATGTTACAAGATAAATTTTAAATAATTAATAAAGCAATTAATTCAAACAACATACATTTGCAATTAGTTTCTAAACTTCACTCAATGCAAATATTGGCATACATACTGTGAATGTAATGCTGATTGAGTTGGAAAATAAACATAAGACATACTTTTTCGTATGCCTGCGCATGACTTACCTCACACAATGTAATAGTATGTAATTGGGGCTTCAGCAACTATGCCATATTATGTGCCAGCATGTTACTGATAGCAGACATTTTAAACAGTTTGATAAGAATTTGTTAGTCTGTGTATTAAAAAACATACTCTAATATGATAAATGATGAATATTAAAAAAAATTAACATGATGAGTAAGATATGCTTAAAACATATTTTGGAATACGGAATTCTTAATTGAGGCCTAAAATTAGAGGTCTCAATGTGTTATATTCAATACACACTGGTTATCATAAATTAAGGAAAAATTACAAAAACAGCGATAACTCCCTAAAAAATAAGCCAAACTGTGTAAAATTTGAATATGTTGCCAAATAAGAGTAGCTGAGTAAAACTCCAATATGCAAATTAGTGGCGCTGCACTCGGAATACGTCATCTGAGAGGAGCATAAAAGTTCATGTTTGAGAGCAAGCCCACATATTTCACTGTGATAGTGACATCAGAAATCTGAGATAGCCAATTCGTAGCAATGATCTCCAGGCAGCATTTGCCTGCAGAACTACGACAGAAAGCCATTGGGAGACTAGAGGCAGGACAAAGTCAAACAGAAGTGGCCAGATGGCTAAATGTGAGTCTTTCTGCGATTCATAGACTTTTCAGGCAATTTCAAATTACAGATTTGGCACCTAGGAGGTTCGGCCAAGGACGGCCAACTGCTACGACGAATGCCGATGACCGATATTTGACATTATGTGCACTCAGGAATAGAACCGCTACTCCATTGCTCAGGCGTCCGACTCTTCTTAGATCCTCCCTTGCTGCAGCCACCGGAAGGTTGGTGTCAACGTCACTGTGGGTAGAAGGCTTCACGAAGGTGGTCTGTATGCGAGGCGAACAACCATTTGCGTGCTGCTCAAGTCACGCCATAGGAGGAACCATTTGCAGTGGGCACGACAACATGTCCACTGGACGCCTGAGCAATGGAGGGCTATTCTTTTACGGATGAGTCCAGGTTTAGTCTAGAACGCGATAGTAGGCATTATTTGATATGGAGAGAACCTGAAACCCGTTGTCATCCGTCAAACATCCGTGAAAGAGATGCATACGAAAGGGGCAGTGTCTGTGTTTGGGGTGGCATCTCTTTGGGTGGACGCACAGACCTACATGTTTTTCCAAGGGAAACCGTGAATGCTCATGTTTATAGAGATGACATCCTTGATGCTTATGTGTGCCCATATGCAGGGGCAATAGGTGATTCTTTCCTGTTACAGGACAATGCAAGACCACATAGAGCTCGCATCGTATATGATTATCTTCAACAGGAAACAATTTAGCACATGGAGTGGCCAGCTCGATCCCCGAACTTGAATCCTATCGAGCACATTTGGGATGCTTTAGGAAGATGTTTAGCTGCTTTCAATCTGCCCCCTTAGACCTTTTCCACGCTTGCAACTGCTTTGCAAGAGCAATGGCTCTCGCTTCCTATGGAACTGATAGACCGCATAATTGAAAGCATTACACATCGCTGAATGTGCTGCATTGCTTCTAGAGGCGATTATATTCCATATTGAAGGTACTTTTAATATAGCAAACTGACATCTTCGATTTGTTCATTTTATACACGTGCTAATTTCTTTTTATGTTATTTGATACCTTTCTATGTGTTGTATATTGTGGGTAAGTTTCATAAAATTCTATGAGTAAATTTTTCAGCAATCGTGATTTTTGTGATTTTTCCTTAATTTAGGATAACCAGTGTATATATGTGTTGTTCATTATTATGGCTTAGATATGCATAAAAATATTAAGCCATAAAAATTGATATTTTTTCTAAAACATAACTTCTTCCTAACTTAGCAAATGCATTAAAATGGCGAGACAAAAAAGTGAAAGGATTAAGATTTTTAAAAACTAGAAATAAGAGAAAATTATCCTAAAATATTTGGAATCAAAAGAACAGTTGTCTGATAATAGAAATCAGCTTGGAGAAAAATTACTTTTATATGTTTAACTACAAACAAAATGTACACAATCCATCTTAAAACTGGCTATCATTAACACATTTAAAATTATATCACATGTAAAGGTTAACAAACAAACTATAAGAATATATAGAAAAAAATATCATGCTAAGTAAAAATTCCCTAATTATTTAAATAACATGATTATTACATTTTAATCACTTTCATCATTTAAGCAACTTTCTTATATTTGTTTTCCAAATGAAATTGATATGAATTATTTTCCTCCTATATTTTGATCTAATATCTGCATTTGCATACTTAAGATGAAAAATAGTTGTTCAATTATTTAAATGAACATTTTTATACCATTTTTGAATGATAATAAACATCATGAGTATTGCATATAACACATTTAGACCTCTAATTTTCAGCCTAAATTAAAAATTTTACATTCTAAAAATATGTTTTAAGCATACCTTACACATATTACATGTTAATTTTTTTTTTTTTTTGCATCATGTATCATGTTACAGTATATGTTATAACAAACAATAATCTCAAAATAAATTTCAAGGAACAAAAAAGGGGAAAAAATGTTAGATATTTAAGCATACATTTCTAAATATCAACAAATTCTCATTTAAAAAAATTACAGAAATTTCTTACATGGAATGGTATAGCGCATATCTTCCCACGTAGAAAAAATATCTCCACTCCAGTGTCCGCTATAAACTCCCTGTCCAGCAAAGCTTGCTCGAGATATGATAAATGGTCTTTTACCTCTCACTTCTCTCAGAGCCCTGCAAAAAATACACACACAGAATTGCTAAAATGTGCTTAATAACACAAACACAAAATTGCTAAAGAGATGATGAAAGTGAGCTATGTTATCTTTAAATTACATGTATGTAGAGGCAAGAAAATATTTTGATTTTGTAATTAAGTTACAGTATGTGTTATTACTATTTGCATATCTCTTTCAGATAAATTTAGTGTCAGAGCAATAACTTCAATTTCGTATATAATTGGAATGCATTCATTTCTACCATTATTTCATTTTCACTTTTGTTCTCATAAGTGAATGAAAATTTAACAACTTATTAAAGTGATACGTATTTTGCTGCTTGTAAGCATTTACAACAACTGGAACAAAGAAAAAAAAAAAGCTATAGGAACAATTACACCAACTATTCCGCCTTTCAAAAGAAACATCATGTCAAATTTTTGTGCTCCTTGAAGATGTGTCCATTTCCGTTTAAATGCACAAAGAATTCCATAAGATTAATGTTGAAAAGTAATTTTATATATGTGCAGAGGTGCTGCAAATGCCCCCTTCCCCAAAGATCCGGCTATTTACCATTTTCTCCATGAGAGTGATTTGGAGTGATCAGTAAAGTGCTGGGCTTGAGATCAAATGTTTCTCGGTTCTATACTCATGAGTTGCAGAAAATACATGCGCTTCACAGGGGTCCTCTATCAGTAAACATCACTATTAAAATAACCAGCTAAAACTAAATCGGGAGCAACTGGTTCACTATAACTAGTGGCAGATAGGGCCTGTGGATGGCTGAGCAGATGCGTGGTAGGCCGGAGTGATTTCGGACCGATGAAGAAACTTGAACGATTGAATCAACACAAATCATTTGGCGAGACAGTTCTATGCGTGAGGGAGATGAATTCAACTGAAAATCATTACAAATTTGAATCTGATACCAAGTCAGAAGGAGAGAATGCTCTATCTAGTAATGAGCATTTAATCCAACTCTAAATGCAATTTTTGCAAAAATTGTGTCTTATGTGTATATAAATTACTCTTGAAATATAATTTATACAGTAGTGCATATGGCAATGTCTTTTTGCTCACAAGTTTGTACTCACCGTATTTATATGCAAGTTGAATGCAAAAGAGTTTTTCAAAATTAAGAATTGTAAAAAGTACATTAAAAGCTCGAGCAGTCATTGCCATTGATGAACACAGAGAAGGATATTTTGGCTAAAGCAAAAATTGAAGTATAATGGAGGAAATATTTGCCCAGGCATCTGGAATTAAAAATACTTAAAAGACTAATTATGAATCAACCGCTGTTTTGTTTACATAATTATTGAGTCACTGTTATTTATTGTTTGTAGTTTATTTGCATATATATTTATATATGAATAAAGTGTTACTTTTCTGCATGAGGCCCAGTGGCGCAGTGGCTAGCACATCGTGCAGCAGCACCACAGGTCCGGAATTTGAACCCTGGGCTGGGCAAGGTTGACTCAGCCTTTCATCCCTTGATTTCCATCCTTTGGTTCGATAAAATGAGTACCAAGTTCGCTTGGGGACTAAACACTGGGGATCCTGTGACAAGCTGGCCACTTGTTCAGGGCATACGCTTACGCACCTCGATGTCCACTGTCAAGAAAGCAGATTTTGGGGCACTGCAGGCATTGGCTCGTTAGGGCTGTTATGCCACTGAGTTTAGTTTTTTAGTTACTTTTCTGCAAAGGTATATTTTTATTTTCTAAAATTATTTTTTTATGATGATGATGATGATGACAATGATAACTTATATGCATTCATACATTTTAGATAGGGTGGGCATATTTTTTCCCGCCGCCAGGGCCGATTTCTATGGCCAATCCGCCACTGACTATAACAGTTATAAAGGGCGGCATGAGACCAGTTAGATCTAACAAGAGGCGACAGTAAAGTAGCAGCCTTAGCTGCATATGTTTATTCTACGCATGTATATATATATAAAAAAAAAAAATGCATAACATAATGCTATCAAGTTATGTACAACACATTCATAATTATAAAATGCAAAATAAATTTGAAAATTAACCCCCAAATTTAAGGGTAATAGAATTCTCATCACGCATTATAGTCTTTTACATATTTCCTGTTTTTTCCATTTTTTATTTATATTTATTTATTGATTTCACACAGTGACACCAAGAAAACATTTTACATAGCTAAGATCAATCACAGTTACAACACAGAAAATTTTAAAATGACAATAATAGGTAATACTAATAAGAAGGGAGAATTAGCATAGCAAAAGATAATATTAATCAACATTCAAAATTATAATCAACTTGCACATGAAATTACTTAATCAAAATTACAAAATCAGAATTAAATTTAAAAAAAAACTGAGACAAAAAGATATTTCACCTCTTTAATGAACAGTGCAGCCTATCAATATTCTAAATTTACCATTAAATCTCAGCATTCAAATCCTATGCTAAAAAGTAAACTAGAAAAGACTTCCCACCCTTTTTTTAAAAAGAAGAAAATTTTTTATCTATAATTAAAAGTGAAGAAGTTTTCTGAAGAATTATACATTTTTCAGCGACCTAGGTGAGCTAATTGCTAACCATTTGTTTACTTATTTGAATTAACAAGTAAATACATAACCAGAAAATGAGTCAAATGAATTTTTAAATAATAAATAATGAAAAATTACTACTCAGCAGATAAAATAGAATTTCAATCATTACTAAATATTATTAAAAATTCAAATGCTTTTAATAATCTTCATTAATATCTTTTGTTAAAACAAAAATTTCAATAATTTAATACTTATATAATTAAAATGATGAGATGATATCAGATTCAGTAAAGATATTTTTCTTCAACTTTTATTTCAAGTTACAATGCTGTTATTTATTACCAGCACAACATATGATATTATATCCGAGATTGATACTATAAGTTTTCATCTAATATTTCTTAATTTTGTAAGAAAAAAATGACATATTTATTCCTAAAATAAAAGTATCAAAATATAAAATACTAAGAAATCAAAACTAAATATGTGTGGCAGCAAGATTACAATCTAAAGTTAATAACACAGTAATGTCTGCACAGATCTGTCATGTGAAGAGGATGGATTTTTTTTTTCTTTTAATTTTCACATCAGTTTGCAGTGACTCAATATTGATACTATACCATTTCTTCTACTGAATAATTATTTCTTAAATTCAGAAGAATAAATAATATGCTAATTCCTAAAATAAAAGTATCAATCTATATAACAATTTGCAGCCAAAAAATTAATATGTATGGTAGCAAAACTGCAACCTGAAGCTAGTTAAATAGTGCCTGCACATATAAGTGGGATTAATTGCAGCAGTTTAATACAAGAATATCAGAGTGCATAAAACCAGTTCAAAGCCATAGCAAGATGAAACCGGGATTTAAGAGACTACATCATACATTGTCACACCACTAATCAACATATATTCATTCTTGACACTTCTTTCTGCTTCATCATTGCCTGCAATTTTTCTTCAATGATACATAATTATGTTTCCTGATTCTTCACTACCAAATAAGGTCATTATTGAATGTATCACGAAAGAGCCATTATAAATACACTAAAGCAATAAATTTGTCAAAACTCTACAAAACAAGTAAAAGGTTTAAAGAGCAAAAGGAAGGATGCACTCAACCTTTACAACAAACCTTCATGAACAAAAACTTATATAATTTGTATTTTTTACTGTTACACCTTTTAAATTGTGTTTTGAAGCAGCAATTTATATACTGTTAATTAATAAAAAATGAACAGCAAATTAAAAAAAAAAGAATAGAACAAATTACATACTGATTAGTAGCAACAGCCTCTCTATAGCCATATAAATTGTGCTCATTGTAATGGACAGTATTATAATGTTTGGCAGTCATACAGACAGTTTTATAACGCAAGGGAACATTAGTAGGAAGATAAGGGGGATCTTCCAGAGATGATGCAGGACAATCATTAAGTGACCCATTCACAAAGTTTGAAGGTTCATTCATATCCTAATTAAAAAGAGAAAGTAAATAATATTTACAGTTACTAGACAAAAGAAAAATACATATAATTTACTTAATTTATGGTTGAATGTAAATAATCAGGTTCAGAAAACTAACACAGAATTTTAAATTGAGTATGCAAGGAAATTAACACTGCAATTGAGACAGGCTGATTCAGTGGAGTCAGATTTCATAGTAAATAATGAGAGGAACTGGAGATCAAAGATTACCAAAAGTCATCATGTAAAAATCTTCAGAGGAAAGCACTAGGCCCTTGGCCCACAATGGCCTATCTGGCCACCTATTATGATGAAGATAATTAAATGGAAAAATCTTGGCTAAAATCATTCATCAGTTTTATTACTTGAGAAAGAATCTACAGCCATTACCAAACTGAATTTCGGAAGGTAATTATTAGCTTGAAATATCCACTTCATTCTCTTACGGGTCCACATGAAAGCTCATGATTATTTTAAAATTTGAATCGATTTCATTAAAAAACATGATGCAAATTTGTTATTAGGCAAATAAATGTGGGTCAACTAATCTCACACACAGAAAAATAGTAGACAAAAATGGACAATTAAAAACAAAAATTCCTTTAAATAAGACTGCATTTGTTGATGCTATAGGATGGCCTAAATGTGTACTTCAATAAAGAATCACATTTTTTAGCAATTTTCAGAAAAGATTTTACTATTTAAGACATTCAGTTTACTGAAAGGAATATATCAACACACAAATATGTTACCAAAATTAAATAATGTTGGTTTTTTTAATAAAGCATTATACACATTACTATCCTACATATTTATATAGTTTTTTAAGCTGGCATTAATGCAAATTGAATAAAAATAGCTGATAAGCATAATTAAAAATAAATGAATTCGCCAATTTTAAAAGTAAATTCTATTTTTTGAAAGAATAGATTCTGCCCAATTTTTGAGATTTGCTTACTTGCTGTAATAAATTCGAAAAATCATAAAAATGTTCAGTCAATATGCAGAAAGAAAACAGAATCTTATCATATTCAGTTATTTTAACATAACAGGGAATTTTTTAAATGATAATAATAATAAAATAAATAAATTATTTTCTTTCTTATTGACAGATATTTTTCAGCTTTAAAGTTTAAATAAAATTGCACACTGAAGATACAAAAAATACTATTTAAATAAATAGCAAAATTCAACTTTTCTTTCTTTTTTGAGGGGTAGGCATCATTTTTAATAAAAAGGAGATTAAGCTTGTTTCTTGCGACTACCCTCTTTTGAAAGAGGCTTGTATGGTAGTATGGTCTCTTCTCTTCTTTCGCTACTTTTTTCTTCCGCATGATGATGAAATATTCTGTTACAGTAGACAGCAATACTTCAGTTGAACTATAGGATGCTGTTGAATGATTGCTTTTTCACAGCAGATTATTAACTGATTATTTATTATTTTAGATTATGAAGTGAATTATGTCATCTGTACTTTAATGTACACAATTGCCAGTAGAGTATTAGTGAAACCTTTGCACTGTAAAAAATTTTAAAACCAAAAGTGATTGATACATTGAACATAATTAAAAATTATTAAATTTTGATTATTAACATTTAGTTAAATCTGAAATTACTAAATATTTTTTGCTCGCTAGAAAGAAAAAGTTGTTCTTTAAAACATGATCGACCTCTTTTTATTAAAACTGTTATCCCACGAAAAATGAAATTTGCAGCTATTAAAGTTGCTCTTCATTATTTGAATTTGCTTACACAAATTGGAAAAAAACACTCACATTTAAAAAACTATCATTTTATATATGCATTTAAGTTTTACATAAAATTAGGAGCATATTTCAAAGAAAATAAAGCTTAGTGATTTATTTTATAAGCTAAATATTTTTAAAACCACAAATATTATATTGTTGAAAATTAGTATAAAAATATGTTTGCTTTTATTTGACTATAAATTTGTGAATTTTTTATGGGAAAAGGGTTGTCTGGAATTTTCAGTTTAGAAGCTCTAGGATTCACAAAAATAGAGTCAGAAGAAAATTTTGGAGATCCTCTTTTTTACTGCAAGAAAGTTATAAAAGAACACTGGCAATAGTCTGGAAATTAACAAGAATAATCAGTTAGAAAAATAAAATATGCAGGAACTGTAGTTGCATAGCTCAATGAAAGAGTTTTCCCATTTTAGCGAGATGCTTAAAATCCAGCATTGAATCTTTTCACAATGAGTGTATGAGTGCTCCCTGCCATTTATAATTCCGTATTTTGGAAATAAACTTATAAACATTTTTGTTTTCACATGATTTTGATAATACCTTCTACAATAATACATTTTTTTTTTCACCACGTGTGTTGAGTATAATTGCTTTGGAGCTGTAATAAAGTTCTATATCAACTTTATGCTCATCTGAGAGGACGAATACAAACCACTAATTCATAACATTATCATTATTATTTTTGAGCATCATTTAAAGAATATCTAGCAATAGAAATATATACTAACAATCCAAACTCCATCAAATTGAACTTCATTGTAGAACTTTTTGAACTGTTTTGTCCAATACGATGCTGCTGATGGATGACTAAAATCTGGATACACTGTGTTTCCATAATTCCAAACCTGCACAGAGTATACAAAAGTAATAAATTAAATTGAAAACCATTAATATTGAATTACAGTGTATTTGAAAAATTAATAAAATATTCAGTCATGAGTTTAAGTTTTTTTTTAAACATATATAAATGTATGCAAATAATTGACTGCATTACACAGAAGACTTGAAATTTGGTTTACTGCCCAATATTTTAGAAATCTGACAATAATAAGGACATTTCTTTTTTAAGCTTCCAAAGTTGATTAGTTAATTGACTAAGATAAACTACTTGAGGACCAGCTACCTATAAGAAGACCTTCTCCATAAAGGAATTAAGAAAAACTCAGTTGTGGTTATACTTGATACAAAGAAAACAATATAATATACTTTGTTCAAAATAAATCAATAAAAATTCTGCACTTATAAAATTGTCTGACAATTTCGAAATTTGATATGTAAGTACCTCATATTGAGACATGCATATGATAGAAAACATAGAGGCAAAGAATACACAGAGTGGAACTAAAGTGTACGAGAAACAAGCACTGTAAAACATGTATGTGTATTACTGCTTTGCCAATGACACATGTTGAGACTGCTTATTACTTATATGGCTTTGCTATTCACTAAAAAAATTAATGTTCACATAATGATGGGAGAACCAAGTAATTCTGACAGAAGTACTACATACCTGAAAGAAATTTGACTAACTTCAGGTATGTGCGCTAGTCATATTAATGAATCACTTGATATGAGGATCTGAATGATGACAGTTAGATGATGCTTGTATTGCTAGCTCTAAAAGAAGGCTTTTAACTGTTATCAAAGCAGCAACAGGCTTAGGATGACAACTTTTTGAAAGAATCATGCAATAATACAGTTGCTATACACATACTGAGAATTTTGTTACCTGCAATTTAGAACCACTTATCTATATCTTGTAGGACATAGTGTTTTGTAATATCATGAAGAAACAGCTTAAGAAGACTGGATTTCATAGTTGATGTTCACAGTGATCAGACTGGAGTGTTATGTACAGATTTTTACGATACACAATGAATCACTTTTTTGCTTCGGTACCAATGACTGCAAAATTTGTATGGAAGGCTCGTTCAATGATACTCATGACATATCACGGTGAAACAGCAGACACTCACCAAACTCGACATTATTACTCATCTACATGATCTATTGCGGGATTTAAAGCTCAGCAACTTACTTAAGACATCTTGGGTCTAATTGCATTGTTAATATTCTTGTATCTAGTGATGTATTTTTCAGACTGCCTGTCCATACATGCAGTACATATCAAGATACTGTCTTTTTTAGCCTGAGAGGTATTAAGATCTTTTCTTTAGTCAAATATGTAGAGATTGTATTAGAATACTGGTTACATCTTGCAATATGTATGAACTTCTTGAGTAAATATAGAATACCTAACAGTAAATTTTGCAATGCAGCTTTTGATATTAGCAAGTGCTGACCATATTAAATATTCTCATTCATTCCCATCATAGATATTCTCATAAATTTCCATATCAGAATACTATCTGTCTATGGCAAGAACAGCTTCCACCACGGTATCTGGCTGGTGGCGGTCACTATAGCAACATGGTTAGTATATTTCAAATAGGGACGACCAAGGGTTGCTTTATTGTTATTTTGTTTTTGGCGACTGTTGGCTGAGGAGAAAAGAGTTTATCATTCATCTTCTTGGTTTCATTCTAGCTGTACGCATTTTTTCTTAAGCCTTATATTATTACTATTAGCTATTTTTATTCTCGTTGTTATATCTTTTGTACTGGTATTTGTTCCAATTTGCTTCTATTTAGCTTGATTTTCGTAGTGCTTTGTTAATCACCAATTTTTTAAAATGCCCTTCCATTTTAAGAAAGATCAACCTTTAAAGTCTAAGGCATGTCAAATCGTGTACAACGTCACAGAATTTTGCGCTTCTGAAGCTTCAGCAAACTCTTTAGTAGTTCCTCTTCTCCAAGTTTTGAAGAGAGCATCACAAGCTACTGAAGTATCGGAGTATACAATTAAAAAAATTAAGCACGAAGGATCAACAATGGGTGAAAATAAACTTCTAAATACGCCTGGAAAGAAACGTAAAAGCTCTGCTAATCATAAGTGAGAAATTGACGATTTTGACCAATTCGTTATACGGCAGACAATACAAGACTTTTACATCAAAGAAAGTGCCATCTGCGCAGAAATTACATCAATGAAACATTAATTGACAGCAATTTAACTTTTAATAAATGGCGGCAGCATGATACGGTTTTGGGCGCACAGATAAATGTCAGTTCAAAAATAGACCGATTGTTGTATATGCTGGCTCTTCCGCAGGATTTATTCCAGGTGCAAGAGATAATGAATTAATAATTCAAACTGGCAGCAGCGATTCTGATTCAGAAGAAACGGAATCTTGCGACAGTGATTCAGACAACTTTTCAGATGTTATACCTCTATAAAAGTCCTCCACTAAGGCATCGTCTTCTTCATCTGATAGCTCTCTTAAGTTATGAGGATATTTCTAGGTTCCGTATTTTCTTTGCCACTATATAAATGAAAGACTACCAAAAGTGGGCAACAATGAGCCTTTGGTAGAGGTGAAACCCCCATGTGGATAATAAAGAACACTGCATGGTTGTTTCATTTCCCATTATTGTGTTCTTGGGGACCCACAAGCCATGGTATAATTTGCTTAAAAATAATTTTTAATCTTTAATGAAAATTAAATAAGTTTTTCTTTATTATGAAAATATTAATACAAAATTACATTAATGCAACAAAGCTCACTGCAGTTATAAAAGCCAAATTTTGTATAATTATATAAATTTCATATAATTTTAAATACTGAATAATTTAATACTAGGTAACTGAATAATTTAAGAGACCTTAATTTTGTTCTGATTTTAACATTTATGTTACTAGCTTATCAGTGTTTATAAAAAGCAGCATAATACATAAATGGGAGCTAGTAATTAAGAGGCCCACCAGTGGCTGATCAGTAAAGTCACTGAACACTGGTAGTTAGGTCTGAGGTTTGAATTCCGTGAACATGCTGGATGCATGGGCGTTTTCGTAGTTTTCCCCATGTGCAACGTGTATACGAGCCAGTTTCCCTTGGGAAGCCCTCCATGAAGGCATCCCTCCTCTTAGATATTTAACCCTGGAGGCTTTCCGTAATCATATAAACCAACCCAAGTCACTGGTAATTAAGGTAAAAGCTGTTTTGATTTTAATTCACCTTCGCTTCCTTTCGCCATTAAATTGACCAGCTTTTGGTTTAGTTTGAAGGTATGAGAAAAGAAGAAATGTTCGTAAAAAGTATTTATTGAGAGCATGGATATGTAAATAAACACTTTTACTTTCAGATGATTCCATATACATTTAATGATGAAATTTTTAGTCATTATTAAAGCACAAGCAATAAATTAACAGAGAATTTTGAAATAAAAACATAGAACGCCATTTAAAGACCGAAGAAATTGCTTTGAATGTTTACAGTAGATTAGCTAGAGGGGAGAACTATAAAAATTTAATTTATTTTGCATTTATGAAGTGCGTCTATACTACATTACAGAGAATGGGGCAATCAGGTAAATTTCTAAGATGTCATCTATGATTTTGCAAGAAAACAAATAAACAAAACGAAACAAAACAAAAAAACAGCAAAATAATAATATGATTTTTTTAAATGCAAATATTAAAATTTTTCTTCAAAAATAAGCATGGATTTTAAATTTTTTTTTCCCTACAAGTTATTTTGGTATATTTTTACTCATTTTACAGCTAGAGGTATGCCAAATTCAGTGACTTGTACCTCACAAAGCAAAATCAAAGACCATTTCTTGACTGCAAAAGCTTTATCTACGCCATTGAATTTTCATTTTAGGAAATTGGATGTTGGGGTCGACGAGCATTTTACTTGAAACTAAAACAAAATGTGAATATCACCAAATCATCTTTAAATGCGCCAAGGTGGCAAACTGAGAAGTAATCTTCAAGACACCCCTATGAAAAATGTGTCAGGGCTCATTTTTACGGCAACAGACAGCTGCAGACAAACTGGCGAGAGCTGTTCTTACCACAGACAGACAGTAAAAAGTAATGATTTTGGGCTTATGATATTCAGCCTCCTCCGGGGATCGACATACAGAACTCTGCAAAGCTATTGGCTAGGATCTGTACCTAGGCAGTCTTGGCCACAGGGGGTATACAAATAATAAACCTAGTGGTCCTAAAGGTCCCAGAAAGATTGATTATCAATCAGCCCATGGGTCTGGCATGTCCTAGAGCTTAAGGTTCTAGTAGCCCGGAGTGGGGTTCCGGGTAGTTGGTGGGGATGGCGCCCCAGGTTTTCTGGGTAATGTCCTTGGACAATGAGCAAACTGTGTGACTAGCAGGTATCAAACTGACAACCAGTGTTGCCAAATGCGATGGTGTCAATCCTCTCCAAGGTCTGAAGACAAGGTTTGAACCCCTGGGCCTGGCTCAGCAGTTGGATTGGACACCTAGTGTCATTTAGTCTGATGAAACGTGGAATGCCCAAAATCTTATGTTATTCAATGATGGATAGACTTTTAATTTATTTTTGCCTCTTAATAACCATGTTAAGTTTCATGAAAATTGCATAATTTCTTTATGCACACTTTATCTACATTTTGGATAAATGTAGATATAAAATACAACTTATTTTTTATATCTACATTTATCCAAAATGTAGATATAAAAAATAAGTTGTATTTTCCCCCAAAAAATAACATATGTACTTCAGGTAAAGTTTTCTTAAGGCAGCAAATTTTATTCAGATTTTAAACCATTACAGAGTTCTACTTATTAAACCTACTTTTCCATTAAGAATAGTGCCATCAGCATTTTTAATGAAGATATTATCTTTCACTCCATCATCATATGGTGGATAAGTTCCAGGTTTCTCAGCATTACTTATGCCAGGATCCTAGAAAGAAAGACACTTTTATATTCAATATTAATAAAAGTAATCATTGCAAGCATCACACTTTTAATCATAAAAATATTTTAAAAATTCAAAATTTATCTAACTAATAAAAACTACTAACATCAAAAAAGATTTTACATTTTCATATTAATAGCATAAATAATAAAAGTTAATAGTTAAGAATGTTACATAAGATTTGCAATGTAAAAATTTTTAAATAATTAGCAATTAAAATCTCAGTTTTATAAACTTGAATACTAAAAAAGAGAGATATTTACAGAGACATAATAAAAATAATTCTTAATATAAAATATGTAAAAAGCAATGGTTTTTTAAATACATTTTCATAAAACTTCCTGAAATACAATAAGGACTGTTTCTTGGCAGCAAAAATGAAAATGCGGAGAAATGGGATGGGGTAACAACAGTGCAAATTCATAAAATGGAAATAACTGAATAACATTCTTTTAAATATAGGAAATGCAATGTAGCATAATTATTGTAGATTTATTTCTACAAATATTAATAAATTTCCTCTAATTCTCTCATAAATGATTTGTCTTATTTTTGTTCATTAGCATCACAATTATATTATAAGAAATTCTACAATTCATCTAAAGAAATATAATGAAAAATACATTCATATGCTTTAACAACATGAAACAAGAATTTTAAAAGCAGAACACAACTACTGACTGTGTTAAAGATATATCACAATTAAAATATGACAAAAACTAAATTTACTGCAGAAAAAAAAGAAGCCCTCTTGAAAAAATAATGATAGAAGATTTAAAAAAAAAAAAAAAAAAAAAAAAAAACAAAAAAAAAATCAGCATTACCTAAAAAACATTGAAAATACAATGCACTGCTAAGGAATATAACTATTTGCATATTTTTTAAACCTCAAGAGAAAATTAAATACTTATGTCATATTTGATTAAAAACATTGCTTGCATTAATAATGTTTTCAATAAACAGCTATCATGAAAATTTGTCACGTATAATACATTGTGTTGCCAATCATTATTCAAAGAAAACAAATAAAAAAGGGTCATTAAAATAATTCAGTTGGTTTAGACAGCAATTTTGAAATAATTTAAGAGATGTTTCACAAAAAGAAAATTTTTGACAAGAATTTAAAGACAAACAAAATTCATAGTTGGCAGCCTCACCTTTACTTTCTGAGCTACTAACTTCTCCTTCAGAAATGTCATTTTTGGCGCATTTTTGTCTCTTCCATTTTCTCAATACTTCAGCATCTAATACATCTATTGAGAACTTTTATGCCTTTTACCTATGCATATTAAATACAGAGAGAAAATGTTTTATGACCAGATGATCTTGTCATTTCAACAACGAAACAGGTTCACTTTACTTCTTCCTTCTTTATGTAATTCTCCCCTTTTTTAGCATTCCAAAATCAAGAGGGAAAAATTATGTGAATAATTTGATTTCCAAAGGAGATGATTACAGAAAGAACATAGCAAATGTTAAGCAGTCATGGATTAATTACAAGTTACTATCACAATGTTATTTATTTAAAAGAAACATACATTATAGTAAGAATACATAGTAATATTAACATTAAAATAGCTAATAAGATAGTTTCATTTTTGGTTCTTTGTGATTTGAATCTTGCCCATTCTCATTGTTAACTCTGCTATTCCTCAAGCCTAAAATGATCCACAAATAATTAAAGAAAGTGAATGCGTGGCTGATTTAGAGAAATCATAGACTGAGTGTCAATTTGCATTTGCTTTGCTATTATTGTTTGGTTCTTGTATTATGCTGGCATAAAGTTCAACAGCTAGAAGGGAAAGTTTTGGTATGATAATTTGCAGGTAGTTTGTGAAGGTTTACCTTTGTTAGTAGGTGAAAACAGTCATTACATGGATGAATCAATTTTAAAATTTAGGGAAGCTTGTTCTCACGCTGAATTACACTATTAATTTAGAAGTCAAATAGAAACAATTAAAACAGGGGTTGTGTTTTTTTCATGAAAGTAATACACAAGCAAATATGATTAATAAAATATTCTAATTAGAAATAAAAAAATTGTCTTACCGTCATAAACACATAATGCATTCCTTTATTATGGAGATCTTTGACAAATTCAGGTAAACCTTTGAAATTTGTTTTATCATATGTGAAATCTTCAAACTTGTCCATAAAATCTATGTCATTCCACTGAACATCCTGCAAAGAATATTGTAGAATTTTTTTAAAAAAATTAATAACATTCATAAAATCAGAAATACAAAATATTTCTTTTAAAACACTATAAGAGTACATATTTAAATTTTCCTAATCAAATTTTTATTCTACAACTAACTTTGTTACAAATTCATTCTGCCTGAAAAATAATATCCAAACATTGCATTAGGTATTAATGTATGAGATTATGATTCATGTCTTATACCTTTTCAAAGTTTCAGTCAAGAAGTCATAATGAGAAAACTATCTGCAGTATCATCCCCAATAACAAATGGTTGCATCTCTTGCAACTGGTTCTCATGCATTTTTATTCATGCAGATGCTCTCATTAGACTAACTAAAGGGGAAGGGAGAGGAGAACCCTTCACTAGAGGTCAAATTGATTACAAAATAAATATTTCTATAGAATGTACAAAATTAGCACTTATTTAATAAGATGACGCAGATTCTTCTAAATTAGTTGAATGAAAAAATGAAAAAAAAGAGACATGATAAAAAAATGATGAAGAAAAAGGATAAAAGAAATCACAATCATGCAGATCTTGAAAAATTAAAAAAAAAAAAAAAAAAAAAAAACTCCTGCTAATGAAAAGTAAAAATCAATTATAATTATGAATTTTTTTCATTAAAAAAAAGGGAGGAAAATAACAGTGGTCTCAAATTGGTAATCCATGGGGTGCATGCATCCCAAAATAATTTTAAGCAGATTTCTAATAAATGAAAGAAGAACATTTTCAGAATGTAACTGTAGATTGTAAATATTTGTCACTCAATGATCACTGGGAAAATCTTCTGCACAGAAAAACTCATTGACAATATTGGTGACTTTTACCTTCGTGTACTTCTTTACAGATCTAAAATTTAAAGTGATTTCTTTCCTTTCAAGAGAAGAAGGGAAATCTTACTGGGCAGTCAAAAAGTCGGTAAAATCAAGGAAGACTCATGGAAATTGCAATAACATGCACCATAAGTAGCATATATACTGTGTCACTGCACAGAAATTTCTCATTTTTTTTATTTCATTCTAAAAAAGTTATCCTGCATATGATGAATGAACAGAAAAAAATATGTTCATATTTCAGGAAGCAGAAAAGAAAACGCACAAGTTAAAAATATGCATGTGACACGAAAAAATTTGTAAAGCGTTATTTTTAATGAAATCCCAAACCATACAATTAACTTTTCCTAACCTAGATTAGAAAAATTCATATTCCTGATATAGATACCTTGTTATATCTATTCCACATCAACAAGGCAAATACCAGAAAATTACAATTATTTTTAACTGTAGATTGTTTGAAAACAGAATAAAAAACAAAAGTTCACATCTAAACTATGTTTCCACACATAAGTTGTCTGTTTCCTCACCACTGTAGAGCAAGCACACTGCATAGTACATAATGTTGTACACGACCTGGCGATATTATAAAATAAAGTGATTCAAAGCTCAGCAAAACTGTGTTTTCATCAGATGGCTTTGGGCAATTTTCAGAGTTACTAGGCTCTAAGAAGTCTACTAAAATCACATCCAAGACATCCCAGATAATTAAAGCTATGAATTTTGCAGCAGGTGGTGTCACTGACAATGAAGAAGATACTTAACATAGAAGTTCTCTTGCTTGTGAGAATGGAGTAACAGAGCAAAACTTCAGCTACCACACTAAGGTCAAGAAAACCCTTACTTATTAGGAGTAAAATATTGCTGAATATCAAATCAACCATCATTCCTGCACCTTTGTAACTCACATATAACTTAGATGGCATCTTTCCGAAACTAAATCTCATGAACACTAAACATCCGCCAAAAAACAAGAGTATCCTAGTTTAATTCCAGCTTGGATTGTAATGCATTGATTCCTATGAGTTTCCCAAAAGAGGGGGAGATGTTACATATATGTGGCAACACACTAGTTGCTGGTCAAATTGAAGTGAAGTAATAGTCAGTGAATGTTAGGTGGAATAAACAATGTGCTATGTGAACGTGTTGCAATGACTTAATTATAGATCAATAAAAATGAATACGATTAAAACATGGCGTAGTCGTGTGGAATAGTATTACAACTAATTGCCAGGCAATCAATCCCCTTGGTTGTTTTTCCTCTCAGCAGACGCAAGATGGAATTTTGTCGCCCACCACAAGGCCTAAGTTTCGACGGCAATATGGCTGAAAACTGGCGCAGATTCAAGCAGCTGTTCCAGATTTATATGAAAGCTTCAGGAAATGCTTCAAAAGATTCAGATGTGAAAGTTGCTTTATTTTTAAATGCAGCTAGTGAGGAAGCAGTTGAAGTGTTCAACACGTTCAATCTTTCAACAGGAGATCAGGGTAACTATGAAAAAAGTGCTTGAGAGGTTTTGAAGCTCCTCACGACCACTAGAACAAATGTTGTGGTGGAGGGATTTTTATTCAATAAGAGAAAACAAGAAGAAGGGGAACTTTTTGATTGTTTCGTAACTGACCTGAAAAAACTTGTAAAATCTTGCGAATTTGGTGAGCAGAGTGACTCTGTCATACGTGATTGCATTGTCCTTGGAGTATCAGATGCCAGTTTACAGGAGAGGATGCTGCGAGAAAAGAAAATAATCTGAGTTTGGAAAAAGAAAAAGCAATTGAATTAGGGAAAGCAGCTGAATTGAGCAAAGCTCGTGCTCAAACGTTAAGAGAACACAATGTTGACAGCGTAACTAGAGAAAAAGTAAAGCAACATCGGACAGGAGGAGCCAATGCAGCCTTAGCAGTGAGGAAGCACAGAGGATGGAATGATGACACTTCAAATATTGAGACATCTTTATGTAAAAAATGCAACAGACATCACGTTAAGGGACAGTGTACGGCATATGGGAAAAAATGCTTAAATTGTGGTAAACTAAATCACTTTTCGACTATGTGCAGACTGAAGCACATCCAAAATGTTTCTCAGCATGATAACGCAGATGTATATAGGGACTCTGATAATGAATTCTTCGTGAATTCCATAAATGTTCAAAGAACTAAAAGTGTGTGTGCTCAACATCATCTACAAAAGAGTGGACTAAAACTTTAATTGTTGAAGGGACAACTGTGACTTTTAAGTTGGGACACAGGGTCTGAAGTGAATGTTTTGCCTGTGAAAACTTACGAAACACTGAATGCTAAGAACTCTAATCTTATTTTAAACAGTGTAATGTGTAATGTTTGTATTAGAAGCATTTGGGGGGTCCAAGTTAAAACTGATGGGTCATTAATGTTACAATGTTCCTCAGATGGTGTGGATCATACTCTAGAGTTTTTAATTGTTTCTAGCAAGCATATACGTCCATTATTAGGAATCGATGCATGTGTTAAACTTAATTTAATTCAGTTTTATAAATAAGGTTGGAATATCAATTAAAGGTAAGTTAGATCAGTATACAATTGTTTTTACCTCCATCTAAAGATCAAATTTATTATTAATAATCAGAAGTGTTTGAAGGTGTGGGGAAATTTAGTGGATTGTGTAAAATCATGGTTGATGATCAGATAGCTCCTGTAGTGAGACCACCACGTAGAGTGCCACTTAGTTTAAAACCTAAACTTGAATTAAAATTAAGCGAATTAGAGAGACAGGGCATTATTGCAAAGTTGATCAACCTTTGAACTGGGTTAGCAATCTAGTAATAATTGAAAAAGTTAATGGATCCTTAAGAATATGACTTGATCCTCAAGATCTTAACAAAGCTATAAAAAGAGAACATGTGTTGATTCCAACAATTGAGGAGATTTTACCAAAGCTATGTAATAAATCAATTTACTCTGTTTTAGACTTATGGTTTTTTCAAATAGCGTTAGATGGAAATAGTAGTGATTTTTGTACTTTTAGCACACCATTTGGATGCTATAAATTTTTAAGGCTTCCAATGGGCATTTCCTGTGCACCTGAAATTTTTCAGAAACGCAATCTTGAAAACTTTGGTGATATACCAGGAGTATTGGTCTATTTTGATAACATCCTCATTGCTGCTAGCACTATACAAGAACATGATAAAAATTTTAACAGAGGTCATCAACAGAGCTAAAAAAACTCAATATTAAATTCAACAAGCAAAAACTTCAATATAGGGTTAGTGAGGTTAAATATTTAGGTCATTTATTTAATGCGTCAGGCATGCGACCTGATCCTGATCGAATTAAAAGCCATTACTGAGTTACAGGAACCTCAGAATAAGCATGAATTTACAGCGTGCTTTTGGGAATGTGTAATTATTTGAGGAAATTTGTACCACATTTTTCAGAGGAAAAACAGCCATATTAAGGGAAACTTTTGAAAAACAAAGTAAGAATGGCAGTGGTTACAGCTACATTCTAAAGCATTCAGGGAATTAAAAAAATTAATTTCCAACAATGCACCTGTGTTAGGAATATTTGATAGCAGTAAACCTATAACTATACAGGCAGATATAGTTCTAAAGAATGGGTTAGGCTGCTGCTTATTGCAGAATGGGCAACCAATTGCTTTTTCGTCTCGGAGTTTAAATAATGCAGAAAAAACTATGCTCAGATTGAGAAAGAATTTCTTAGTATTTTATTTGCTGCTAATAAATTTCACTATTACATTTATGGTAAAGAGGTAGAAGAAGTGCTTACTGATCATAAACCATTAGTTTTAATTATGAACAAAAATATTGCTAACGTGTTGTCAAATAGATTGCAGAGGATAAAAATTAAGCTCTTAAAATATAACTTAAAACTTAAATATTTGCCTGGGAAATATATGTATATTGCAGATTTACTGTCACGTTCCTTTATTGATACAGACACGAATGAAAACATGGATATGACAGAGATTGTTCATACACTAACAAAACAACTGCAAATGTCTGAGAGTAAGAAAAGGGAATTTCAGAAAGCTACATTAGAAGATGAAGGGTTAATGCTAGTGAAGAATATTGGAAAAATGGATGGCCTTTGAGTGTTTTATAAAGTTCCTAAAGAAGCAAGATCTTATTTTAAATTTAAAAATGAGTTGAGTGTTGAACAAGATTTAGTTTTTTTTTAATAATCGAATTGTAGTACCTGTTGCATTAAGAAAGTGTATGTTAACATTATTGCATGAAGCTCACTGTGGGATTGAAAAATCAAAAGCTAGGGCTCAACAAGTACTATTTTGGCCAGGAATCAACAGTGACATTGAGAATATGATTTCTAAATGCCTAATTTGTGATAGGTTCAGGCCTCAAACAGTAAAAGAACATCTTGTTTTCTTATGAAATTCCCAGTTTACCTTATGAAAGGTTGGTGCTGATATCTGTGAGTATGCAGGGAAAAAAAAGTTACCTAGTAATAGGCTGTTACTTAACTAAATGGGTTAGACATAATTCCTCTAAAAAATAAAAGTGTAGTGGAAGTTACTAGTAAATTGAAATCGATATTTGCAACACATGGAATACCCATAACTTTAATTTGTGATAACGTACCATTTAATAGTTGGAAAATGAAGAGTTTTGCAAGGGATTGGGGATTTGAAATAATCACTAGCAGTCCTCGATATCCTAAATCCAATGGATTTGCAGAAAGGTTGGTAGGTATAGCCAAGAGTTTATTTAGAAAAGCAGGATTAGAGAAATTAAACGAGGCTTTACTGGAATATAGAAATACTCCAATTTCAGGCATAAATTTATCACCAAGTCAAATGCTATTAAGTAGGAATTTAAGAGCACGATTACCAATTACGCAAACAGAATTGAAACCAACTGTAAAAGATCAATATAGAGAAAAGGTGAGGAGTAACAGAAACAGAAACAGGCTAAAATCTATTATGATAAGCATGCAAGGGAAAGACCTGAATTTATTCCTGGGGAAAAGGTAATGTTGAAGATGGAAAAAATAATGGGAGCCTGCTATAGTTTTAAAAAAAGCATTCAACTCCTAGATCATATTGGATTAGAACAAAAGATAATAGGGTAATTAAGACGGAATAAATTCCATTTAAGAAAAACTAAAAATCAAAAAATTTAGTGACATTAGACTATTATGATCTATGTAATGAAAATGAGGAAAATATTAGTAGTGAACATCCAAAAATACATAATGATCCTCACCATCAAAATAATAGCAATAATATTAATCGTGATTGTGTATATAAAACAAGAAGTGGTCGTAATGTGTATCGACCATCCAAATATGATAATTATGTAATGCATTGATTCCTATGAGTTTCCCAAAAGAGGGGAGATGTTACATATATGTGGCAACACACTAGTTGCTGGTCAAACTGAAGTGAAGTAATAGTCAGTGAATGTTAGGTGGAATAAACAATGTGCTATGTGAACGTGTTGCAATGACTTAATTATAGATCAATAAAAATTAATACGATTAAAACAGGATGCTATAAAATCAAATGTTATATTTCAGTTTACTTGAATCCTTTCATCAAATAATACAATGTTGATTACTAGCATTGACTAATTGTGACACAACCACATCTTGTCTACACATCACAATATCTGGACAACAATGACTAGACATCACACCAACAAGCTAATTATAAATTTTAACTGTATGCATATTCTTGAGCTATGAAAACCCTGTTTCCAAGCCAATCACCATTTTATTATATTACTATATCTCTTGCTGCTGACATAAGTAGTAAAAGTTGCCTGATCACAAACATCTACTCTCAAACGCTTATGCAATCCATGGCATTAATTTAAAATCACACATTTACTGTATGGTATACATAACTATATTCTAGTCATCCTGCACAAGATATTGTTTAAATATAATACACAAATTTACTCTCAACTAAGCATTACTAAAAATGGGGCTGCCCCTTAGAATCAACTGCATTTTAGAACTGTAGATTTTTTTAAAATTACAATTATTGAAAGAAATTCTTGTATTACAAGTCTAAAAAGAAATACTACTGATTGTATTAAATCAAAATCAATTATTAAAAAAATATTTGCCCAATGTATTTCAGCACTTGATTTTACCCATTTCATTTTCTTAGAATCAAAATATTTTTCTTTGTTAGTGAGAATAAAATTAAGGGCTGTTTTTTAATATTGAGGAAACATGATACATAATAATACATATAACTCAATCCTGGCTGCATTATAAAAACTAAATGTGGCATTTAAATAGTGCTGGAAAACTGCAATTAAAACACAAATGAAATATTTCAATTAAATTTATAAAATATAAGGATTTTAAATCTGAACAGATCTACAAAATAATTTACTACGAAAATCTAAATGCTGATTTCAAAGGTGAAACAACTTGCAGAAAGAGAAATTATATGTTGTCTTCAGGATACAAAACAAGATTAATGGAACTTACTAAGGGTATTCCAGCTTGAATATTTCGCTCCGTAGTTTCCCTAGTTTTATTTAGAGTACCATATCCCCAGCGACACAACTGAAATCCTAAACTCCAGTAGGGTGGCAAGAAGGGTTTCCCAATAATCCCAGTATATAGTTGAACAACCTCTTCTGGAGTGGATCCCAACATGATGAAAAAATCTAGAATACCTCCAATTGGTTGGAAGGTGATCGCAGGAGTAGGCTGAAGAATAACATCTGTTAAAAGAAAAAGGGGGTGCATCTTTAATTAATATCACATGAAAACAAAATATTCTACAAGGTAATCCAATTAAATTCATTTTAAATTTACATATTTTCATATCTGCTACTGAGGCTTGTTCACGTTATTAGAAAATTTAGTCTCAGCAGTTGGTTGGTTATTTTAGTAATAACAAAGCATGTGAGGGCAGTCTACTTAAGAACAGACAAACACATCTGTAGAGAAAATTAGACACACAATTGAGAAAACCATAAAAAATTTCAAACAGCCAATTCTGCTTTATTGCTAAGACATGAAAATGTGATACTAGTAGTTCACAGTTACAAGAACTCAGCTAGTGGTTGATCAGAATATTTTTTCATAAGCACATTTATAGATAATTTTATGGTTGCTTTGGAATATTCATTAAGTCTTTACAGAACAGATGTTTTCATTATTTAGCATAATTTTTATTTACTATTTTTTTAAATAAATCTAGTCTATTAGAGACAAAAATTATCATCTTAAATAGTTGGAAGTTTTAGGCAAGTCTTTGAATGCTAGTTGCCGAGTTCAGCTCTACTTCATGTTCTTGGCATTTGTGTTTAAAGTGTATCATAATCCAAAATTTATGGACTGCCATTTTTTTATCTTAACATAAAAAAGTGAATCACTTGCCTTAATGCATTTAAACTAGTTCTGGGCTATATATAACTCTGATATTTTTTTCCTACCCTCCCACTTCATGAATTCTGTAAGCAGCTTTTGCAGTTTGAAGTCCAACTTAAAGCAATGACAATTTCAGTATTTATACCTGATATTTGCATGCCTCAAGCAAAGTTAAAGCGAATGAATGTTGATGGCAGAAACAAAGCAATATATATTTTAATACGATAGATTCATACAATATGCTTATTTGTATAAGTATGTCTAAAACAGAAATACTTTTTTATACACCCCAATACAAAGTAATATCAACAGTTTCTCTTTTTGATACATCTTAGTTGCTGAACAATTGACTTTTACTTAACAGGCCTCAATCAACTTTAATCCTCACAAATTTTAATTTAATTATGTCACACAAGTAGTTGAAAAAGTAAATTATGTTATTAAAAATGCATCACCTGCTATGCACATGACAGAAAAACAAAATTAAAAACATTTTCTTTTACAATCATAAGAAATTAATGCAAACAAATTAACCTAAAAGAGATTTCATTTTTTTTTTCAGCCTGCAATACTTGTACAGATTCTTACTGTACCCAAAATGACAAAATTATTTCAATATGCGAGATACACTTTGTGGGTTCTGTAAATAGTATCTGCAATTTTGAATCCCAACTTAAAATAATTTTGAGATAAAATTTCAGAATTTATATATGCTATTCACACACCTCAAGCAAAGTTAAAACAAGTTGATTGAAGAAACCAAGCAATTTGAGCATTTTTAACATGATATATTGCTTACATTAATCCAAACGCCTCTCATATTTGGGCCCACCATTGGCCAAGCGGTAAACTCATTGAACACTGGTAGTTCGTTCGAAGTTCTAATCCTGTGAATGGGCAGCCTGCATGGCTGTTTTCATGGTTTTCCCCATGTGCAACTCGTATACGAGCTAGCTTTCCTTAGAAAGCCCTCGATGAAAGCATCATTTCCCTTAGGCAGATAGCCCCCCCAAGAGGATTTATCACATAAACCAAATGAAGCCTCAAATTTCTGTGGAAATTTTTAATAGGCATTTTTAATTAAGGGTATGTTATTGTAATCGTGTCTATGATAAGGCCTATTCCAGTAGTACTATAGGTGAAGATGACAGCCCTGGAATTCTGAAAAATGTTATCACTGTAGAGGTGCATTCTTGTAAATAAGACATTAACTTTTAACAATTTAGCAAGGATGGCTGACAGTCAAAAATATGTGAAGTTGTCAATTCTGTGTCTGGGAAATTATTTCAGTTTCTGTAGTTTTCCTACCCTCTCTGCCAATTTTCAATCCTCTCTGATGACCAGTTCTAAGCCTGACTATAGTTTTAGTTATAAGTCAATCTCAATTGATGTTATGGAGCTAGCGCTTCACTAGAACTGAATGTCCCTTTATTTGGCCAAAGCATTTGTGCCTTAATATTTTTTATTATTTATTTCTTATAACACTTACATTGAAATTTTGAGCCTCTTTTACCAATTTATATGCATCCTTATTACCTGTGATGTTGATGTGTGCTAGCAGACATTTAATGTAGTCCTAATTTTTGAGTCTCATTTAGGTGAAAGTGGAACCTGTTGGTGATTAGGACGCTCCATCCAGGATTGCCTGTAGAGCAGCCTTAGAGGTTAGTATCCAATATAGCAGGTTATAGTATCCAAATAAGATGGATAAAGACTATACTAACATAAATAATATTGATCCCTGACATATATGTCTAATTATAAAAAATTTTGAAATACGGTTTCCAAAGACTAAAAAATGTCCAGTAAATAAAAGGCTCATTATGCTTTAAATGCAAAGTGTTCTACACAATTATATGAAAAATTCATGAAGGTATTACAAAATGAATTTATTGATTTTGATCACATTTTAACCTCTATTACAAAGCAACTTCAACTAGTTGTTCAGATTTAGAACAGAAACCATGAAACAAAACTTGGTTACACATTTAATGACTTTAATTATATAAAACAACACTTCATATTAACCTCATAACTGACCTTATGGAATTAATTACTAATATCTTCACAAATTCTATACTTAAAAGTAAGCAAAATTTTACACTAAACTTAAAGAATAATGAAATTTTTATTAATTGAACTTCTTGTTCTTCTTGTTTCCACATAAAAAGTAAAATTATTTTAACAATCATTGTACTGTCCAGTGTATTAAACACATAATTAATCTATTTCTGCACAATATCTTGCTAATCAGCTTTTTTTATTACTTTCTGATTATACACACTAACATCAATAAACTACGAAAAAGTACTTATGAAGCAACATATCATGTCAATAAAACATATTTATTTGGCAATCCATGATGCTGTTAAAAATATTTCAATGTAACATCAAAAAGTATTTAAATGTAACCCAGGTATAGCACATAGCATTCCTCCAGACAGATTTCCACTTCGTGAATTTTCGCTGGTGTGGCTGGAGATTATGGTACCTCTTGTAAGAATTTCAGCATTTTAGCCTTGTAGTGGACAGCATACTGCAGTTTTCATTATTTTTGCCGAAATTTCAGACTTAGCTTTCTGCATGCAAAGAGTGTAAATGGGTCTTACTCAAAGGCATCATGCACCTCTTTTTTCCTTCTCATTTTAGGATTTTGGTGCTGAGGTTGAGCATAAAGTTGAATTTGTGCTATTCTCTGATGTTTTCTTGAGTGAAAATGGATCACTGTGTTCACTGGCAGAGCTGGATTAATCAATAAGCATTAAGGAAAAAGGACACCACTTAGGAACTCATAAAAGGGGGCACCAGAAAAATTTCTCATTGCCGATTTTAAAATGGAATATATGGTGCAGGTAAACCAAGACCGAGAGAGAAGGAATGAGAAAAACATAGGCATAAATTTATGTGCAGGCACAAAATCATCTATGTGCTCAGGATCTCTGAAAGTCCTAATACAGTCCTGACATGGAGAGAACAATAGTAACAGTGAAGTGCGTGTCTTGTGTAATAAAAGAAGAATGTAAAGAAATATACAGCACAAAATGCATAATTGAAACACATGTAATAATACCCAAACAAACGTTCTCTCCAAAGTTGAAAGTGAGTTGTGGAAGACCAAATGACCATATAGAACAGGGATGCGAACCTTTAAAACATTGACAGCCTCATATTAGGGTTCAGGAAACTTCAAGAGTGACGAATGAACAGGTTAAGATTCGCATTTCCGTATTTACGTTGTTCTGAAAATAATCAAGCAAATTTTCTTGAAAAGAAATGTTTGAAGTTAATTAATGGAAAATTTTTTTTTCTGTATGTGTGCTTTCATGTGTAATTTAACGTGGTTGCATATTAAGTATAAGCAAGAACTTTTATTTCTCTCACAGTGTAGTCAGATATAAAAATTTGAAACTATTTTATGATGCAAGTGAATATTCTTTATTTAGACAGAAAAACAAGCATTTTCTTCTGGTTCCCTTCCCTTATCCCCGCCTGATTTATAGTTATTGAATGGTTTTAGCAGAAGTACACTAAAATCAAAAAGAGTTGAGGGAAAAAAAAAAAAAATCGAAGGGAATATGTGAGTACAGTAATGTAAAAGCTTTAGAAACATAAATGCCAAAAGTAAGCATAAAAAGCATACAGGAATGTAAATACTTTCTTAGAGGACTCGTAAATTTTAACACCCCAGACCTTCAAATGGCTTCACCTGCCTCTGGCTAAACTCATGAAACATTTTTGTTATGTGCAATATCTCAAAAATTTAAATACTTAATGAAATTCCTACATAAGTAAAAACAGAATGCCTATTTTAAATGCATTCCCCTTCTCCCTGTATAATACAAATCTGCTAGCAAAAACGAATATACTGATATATGAACAAAATTTTCTTCTCAAGGTATATTTTTAAGAGACTTTGTAAAGTAAATAATACTTTACAAAGTCTGTAATCCAAACCTCAAAGCTACAAACTTTATGCACATAATGCATTTACGCATGCACGTTTAATGTATAATGGACGGCATAAGCTAGGCTAAAATTATCTAAGGCATTTCAGTTAATGTTGCAGATTGCGCTGTTTCTTAATCTTCTAATTGGATCCGGCTTATTATTTTTTGCAGACTGTTAGAACAATTTTAATAAAAATTAAGCTTGAACTTTCGATTATATCATAAAGAGTTTCCAATTCTAGAGCTGCCAAAGGATCTACAAAGCGAAAGCATGTTTCGATGTCCATTAAACAAAAAGTGGAATTACTGCAAAAAATTGATACAGGCTATCCGTCTCAAAATTATGCGAGACGTCAAATATATATGACACAAGATAAAGGAACATTTTGAATTTTTTGTGGAAGCATCTTAAACAACTTACATTGAAAGAAATGTTTAATAAAGTAAACAAATAAATATTAAGCTTTTTTTTTTTTAAATTTTGATACCCTTTAGATCATAATTGTTCTTTATTTCATAAATTACGATTTCAAATTTTTAATTGTATCATTTCTGCATACTGTCTTACCAGATTTAAATTGATGATGTATAATTCAGAAAAACCCCTAATCCGGAATCGTCAAAGTCCCGACGAGTCTGGATTACAGACTTTGTACTGTACATTTTTAGTTTTTCTTGTAATGGTTTATTTTAATTTTTCAGAGTTCCAATTCTGCATTTATAGGATTTTTTAAAATTTATTTATTTGAATTTCTATTTTTGGTCTTTGTGAATAATTGGTTCTAAATTTCTTTCTTTACATATATATGTGTGCACGTGTGGATACTGCATTTTATACCTTTATGACTCAAAAAGCAATTATATGGAAATGGCAAAAATAATTATGTCAAATTAGTTATAACAAAAGTAACACAATAAAGATAATTAAATTTCATTGCAATTTTTTTAACATAATTTGCACAGCAAAGTATTTGAAATTCTTTTACCCATAGCATTGCTATTCAAAAGGAAAACACCTGTCGCTTTTCCAGATGGTTCTAAAGACAAATAAAAGGGTTGAGATCCATACAGACTGTGATTTGGCTGTAAATATAAATTTGTTAAATATTGCTTTAATCATTCTATCTATCAAATTATTATTAAAATAATAATAACTAGATTATGATTAAAAAAGCATTAATAATTATCAGAACAGTGAGAAAATAATCTAAAGCATATAAAATAAATATCTTTTGGGGCTTTATTAAAAATTATCAGAAATGCATTTAATCTTAAGACATTAAATAAAAAGATCTTTTCAAAAGAGTAGTTTCAAGTAGAAACATCAATAAAAATCATAGCATTTAAGCTCAAAGAGTAATTTATTTTACAGCATTCCTTACTGTGACTTTTACCAAATACATTAAGGTTCATGCTGAAAGTAATAGAAAAGACAGTCAAACTTTTTCACTCATACACATAGCCCAGGTTCCACAAATTGCTAGAATAATTTTTGCTCTACATGCAGCTATTACTCAAAACAATGTTCATTGCAAGTAGTACAACTGTGTCATTGATGAGCCCAGCTTTTGAATCTTCTTTGAATAAGTTCAAATTCTTCTGATTAAAATGAGAGTGAATGATTGGCATTTTTCCTCCGTATCAACTATCAAATGTTGAATACCCACTTTATACATATTTTATGATAATTTAAGTATTCCACAATTTTTTACATTGAAATGAGATCACAGCTCATTTCAGAAAAAAAAAAAAAAGTTATAGTCTCCCAAACCAATTCTATCATCTGTTGATAATTATTATTAAATTATATAGTTGATAATTATGATATGCATTTGATTTTCCCCACTGCCTGGTTTCAGTGTTAGAATCCTGTTTAAAATTCTCCATTCATCTGGGGATTCATCTGAAATCTCCATTCATATTCCTTTTGCCAATAGAGTAGTCGCTGTAAATCTAGTGCAGCCTTCTGTAGATTATTTACATATATTTTGTAAAGGGGGAGTCATTCTAGGAATATGCAGAATGAAGGCAATGTATGCTAATTAATAAAATAATTGATGCAGACATCTTGACTTCCTTGCACAGCCTATTAAATTATACACATTTTTTGTTGCACTGCATTTAACCTTATTGCCTCGAATTATTCTAAATTTAATTGATAAGGCAAGTTGAAAATAAATATCTCAGTCACGTTTTGTCTACACTACACGTGAGTTACACTTCTTATAATTTTATTTTGTCATAACATAAAACTTACATTTTGTTATTTGTCCTAAATTATCATTATTATTTAATTTGACATTGCAAAAACATGAATATTTTTGTCATTTAAAACATTTCTATATGACTAGCAATTGCAAAAATAAAGTCTGGGTAAGGGGATTAGGCATATATACCGCCTTTTAACTGGAATAGTTATTTACATGGGACAAACACTAGAAAACAAAAGAATTTTTTTCCTTTAATTGTTCGGTACAGTATATTATTTTAGCACAGAAACTACACATTTTAAACAAATCATTAAATACTGAAAACTAATATGCGGTAATTTATACTGAGCCAAAAAGTAAAGCGAGTTTGTAATTGAGAAACAGCTTGCAACTCATCTTGCTTTCCTCCCTCGCTTTTCATAATTTCTTGCTAGCAAGCTATCCTAAAATGAATCTGAATATGTGATGTACAATTAATCACATAGTTATACACTTTGAATATAATATGCATTTGATTTTATCATAAAAAATAGTTAAAGTTTGACATCATATTATTTTGCCTATATTTTCTTTTTAATACTAGATCTGCTACAATGATATTGTTAACTGAAATTACAATCAATTTAAGTGGTAGTAGTACTAGTAAATTCTAATTAAGAGAAATTTTGGATTTTAAAAGGCATAAAATTAATCACAATTAGTTTTGAAATGAAAAGATCTCAGAAACTTAAGCTCATAATAAAAGTAATTCAAATTTATCAAGAAAGATATATTTCTTACAATAGGAGATAAATCAGAATTGAATAATGTCAGCTTAGTCCAATTTACACTTCTTAGGAATGGACCATAATGTTCACCAATTCCATAAATGTAGGAAGATGGAAGATAGGAAGATAACTGTAAAAATTGATCTGAATATACAAGGCGAGAAAGGTTAGTTTTGAATCTAAAAAAGAAGAAAGAAAACATATTTTGAAAATGTACAGTGGAAAACATGCCAAAATGTTTAGTACGTTATGATTTTTAGGCAAAAATTAAATTGTATTCAACCCTATTAGCTTAATTATTAGCAGAATTTGGAAAGCGCATAAAATTCAATTTGAGAAAATATTGTTATTACTACTGTAACACTGTAACATGAGGTATTCAAAATTCAATTTTATCAGAAAATGAAATAAAAAGATTATACCAAAACTAAAAACAAGTCACATAAAAACTTAAAAGAAAAAGGCAATTTAGCTGGTACTAGTTAGTTAATAAAATATTTTTTACATTTATATAATTTCAAACTAAATTGACACATTAAAAATTTCTGACAATTATTATAAACAAACAAACAACAACGAAAAAAAAAAAAAAAAAAAAAAAACCTAACATCTCTTTAATGATGGTAGTATTAGATCTGATAGATGATCTTCCCTCTCATTTACCATCTCTTTAAACCTTATTTGCTGTTTGGCTCTGAAATTATAGAGAAGTTTTTTTCTATTTATGGTACCATTCCTAGTAAATAACCTCCATTTTGCTTTCATTTTATCAAAATGAAATTTTTAGAAGTTATGAAATTCAATTATTTATACAGAATATATGTATGTTGGATGAAGAAGATGCAGAAGTAAATGCATGATGAATTTGTCACATGCAATCTTCTTCATGCAACTGAAGCATATTTTGTTGCAAGTCATGTTTATAAAAGCATATTTTTCTGAATAAAACAAGAAAAATGCAAGTTAGGTTTATTTGATCATGGCAAAGCATGCTAGAGCTATCTGCCTAATGGGAGAGATGCCTTTGTGAATGACTTTCTAAGGGAAAATAGTTCAGATCTATATTATGCATGGGAAAAACCTAGAAAACAGTCATACAGCCAGTCACTTTGTCTGGAACTGAACTACTACCAAGGTTTAGGAGTTTTGCCACTCAGCTGCTGGTGAACCCCTTGATAAAATACAGAAGGCTCTGTCATGAAGGAAGCTGCTTTCAAAATTACAAGCATACACATTATGCATTTACTTTATAATTGTTGATAGAGAACTATGTCTTATATATTTACTTCATTACTGGCAACAGAAATGATGAATGTCAACAGCAGAGAGAAGAATTAGAAGAATGTGCAGGTTGTTATATAAATTAAGAATAACGAAGCTGTTGCTAAGAGTTTTGGTTTGCAAATTTAACGTTATTATTGGCTAAAAGATTTTTAGTTTCACTTTTGCCATAATGTAAAAAAACGCAATTTCTTAAAAAAAAAAAAAAAAAAAAAAAAAAAAAAAAAAAAAAAAACCTTTCAGAAAAAAGGATAGATTGAGTACAAGAGGTGAGATGGTTTCATAACAATCTAACTTTTTAAATGATTCTAATAGAACAGAGATTACAATTAGCAAAATATTTTTTATGCTTTAACCTTTTGAAGACGGGATGCCATTATGTGGCCATAGAGTCCTCTTTGAAAAGACGGTTTCCCTTAGTTGCATGTCTTTTTCCAGGCGAAAAGGATGAAATTCAATTACGTCCCTAGGGTTTTTTAACCACTTATCTCTTTCAAAGTCTCCTTTTGACATAGATGCACCCCTCTGAGAATCCATTAAACTACACACAAGAATCTTTATTGCAAAAGGGAGGTGATTTCTTAAAGGGGGAAAAGCATTCGGTTCAAGATTCCTCGTCCTTTGGTAGCTTTTACTGCTACCCAGCCTCAAAAAGTTAATACACTAAGAAAAAAAAAAAAAAAAAAAAAAACATATGATATCGTTCATGCTTTTTTCACAATTTATGATTGAACATTAGTTTCCCAGCATAGAGTTACTTAAGTAACACAGGGATATTAAAAACCTTTCTCAACAGAGGGTACAACAGCAACACAAATGGAGTACTTCTCTAAAGTGGAGAAAATTCACAAATGCGGTGTTCATATAGAAGCAGTGGCTTTCCTGCCTGCCTTTTATCAAAAGAAAATGCAATTAAAAATACAGAAAGAAGAGATCTTTGTCTCAGAGTAGCAGTCACGATTTTGTTGAAAAAATTTTAGAGCATTTCAGATACATTCCACTGTTTTATAAAAGGTGATTAAAACTCAGTTTAGACTAGTGAATTTTCTTTTACTTGAGAAAGTCTGTTTTAAAGTTTCATGATGCTGATAAAGTCATGAAAAGTTCAAAAATGGAAATGTACTCCTTCTCTACTGCTCAGCTATAGGAAGAGAGGATGTCGGAGATTTCAATTTAATGTGTGTGGACTATCCACAATTTTTAACTGTCCAGAGATTTCAATTTAATGTGTGTGAGCTGTCCAGACATTATGAGGTGAAGGATACAACAGGAAACTTATTAGGTGAACATTTCTGTTTCCACAGGAAATTCAGGCAGATAGCCTAGTATGCTAGTTTGCCATAATCAACTAAACAAATCAAACCAAACCAAAATGAACTTGCAGGAAAGTCTTCTACAAGCTATCCTTCCAATAAAGCCTTCCTTTCTGATCCCCATTTTTCAAAAGTATCTAGACTTTTGATTAACAACACAGAGAAAAAGTGCTTTAAGACCAAATATACATGAAATAAGTAGATGAGGGAGACATAAAAAAATTGCATAGCTAAGGAAATAGCTTAATACATTTTACAGAGTGAAACTTAAGGGTTTTTTCTTTTCTTCTCCTTCTTTTCTTTCTTTCTTTCTTTCTTTTTTTTTTTTTTTTTTTTGTTGTTGTTGTTTGTTTTTGTTATAAATTTGAGCAACTTTGAAAAGTTGCTCATTTAAACATTTTATGTTACCATATCAAACAAAACTATACTCATCAATACATTTGTACCAGGTTCCATGAAGATAATTAAAATATTTCAGTAAATTTTGCAGGTATGTATTTTGCCAATTTAACCATGTTGAATATTTTACTAATTGTATTTATTGCTTTTTGTTATCATATAACCTCCTATTTAAAAAAAATTTAATCAAATTATAATCAGGGATTAATACTACTATAATGAAGTTTTAAAGAAATCTCGCCATTTTTGAATGAACAACCAACTTTATTAGTCAAAACTTACAACAGAATAACTGAAAAACATTTTTAAGCGCGTGCATGCCTATTCTTTATGCGAGGTTTCTTTACATTTCTTAGTGGAATTATGTTGGTAGCATAGCAACACAAATACGTTACGATACTTATAAGAAATGTTCTAATAGAAATTCAGAAAATGTGATTAGAACCACATTTTCTGAACATACATCAAAACTGATAATTTATTCTTGACACAAGCAAAGATAGATAAATTTTCATATGACCATTTATTCTTGAAACAAACAAAGGTAAATAAATTTTCATAACACATTTTTATTTTCCCATTACTTTAATCATGAACTACTGAACATTTAAGACATTTCCAAAACCTGAAATAGTAACTTACACAACAATTCCAGAAGATTTTCTTATAATACTCAATACTCCTTTCTTAGAATCTACACTCACAATATAGTGTGGCTTATATAGCTTCTTAGGTTTCTGATAAATTGGTATAGATGGTTCAAATCGAGCATTATTAGGATCAGTAATCTGAAAAGACGTTAAAACAGCTTCTAAGATAAATCAATATAAGTTTATAAGCTACAACAAAATACTCTAAAAAGAATGCTACAGTACAAAGTCCGTAATCCGGACTCGTCGGGACTTCGGCGATTCCGGATTAGGTTTTTTTTCCGGATTATAGATCATCAATTTAAATCTGGTAAGACGGCATGCAGAAATTATACAATTAAAAATATGAAACCATATTTATGAAATAAAGAACAATTATGATCTAAGGGTATCAAAATTTACAAAAAAAAAAAAAAAAAACTTAATATTATTTGCTTACTTTATTAAACATTTCTTCCAATTAAGTGTTTCGTTTTTTGTGCTAATCTTTCTTTTAATTCTATAAACAGACATAATTTTGTTCAGTGACAAGTTCCACTATCAATCCTGTAATGCTGCCGAGAATACGACTAACTTGCCAAATCGAAATTTTTTCGTTTTCAATAACCTGTCACTTTCTTCACTATCGGAAGCATGCATGGGTAAACGCTTTACTGGCTTTACGCGCATGCGTAAGTTTGTGGCTTTGAGGTCCGAATTATAGATCATTCTGGATAATGGACATCCCAATTACGGACTTTATACTGTAATTAATGCAGGCCTTTCGTAGACATAGTAAAGAATGCAAGAAAAAGCTTTGCTCCAACTATTTTAACAAAAATAGAGTAATATGCAAGAATACGACTGTGATAAAAAAAAAAAAAAAAAAAAAAAAAAAGAGAGAGTTTTGAAAATGATTTATTTAAAAGCACACATGCCTCCCCCCCCAAAAAAAACACTCGCGACTCTTTTCCCCCCTCCACAAATTGTAGCTATTTTCAGAAAATTCTGACAATAATCCAGATTTCATTCTATTTTATCATTTCAAAATAAATTTGTTTTAAAATTACGTGCACTTTTTGGTGGATTTGGTGATTTCCAAAATTTCAAATTCTAAAATAAATTGGATGTATATTCTAAAATAAATTTGGTACAAATAAATTGCAAAGTCCAAAACAGCTTTGGTTATTTTCCAAATGGCTTGAAGAAAAAGGATGCCTTAAATTTTTTTCCTGCTGTCAAATTTCTGCTACAGAAATGTTTGAAATATTGCAAAATGCCTTTAAGGACAACACTTTGCCAAAAACAAGAGTTTTTGAGCTGTACAAAATATTTAAGGAAAGCAGAGAATGCAGAAAAAAAAAAAAAAAATGAATCATGCTTTAGTAGGTCTTCAACTTCAACTTATAAAACAAAGCATCAATCAAGTTAAAGATCTGGTGCTTTGTTATCATCCTGGTCGAGCGGTAAAAGCCGCCGAACACTGGTAGTTCAGTCTGGGGTTCGAGTCCCAGCGAACGAGCTGGCTGCACGGGCGTTTTCGTGGTTTTCCCCATGTGTAACGTGGATACGAGCCAGCTTCCCTTAAAAAGACCTCCACGGGGCATACCTACCTTTTCGTGTAGAGCCTAAAGATGGAGCACGTAATAAGCAAAATATATATATATATATATTAATAATATTATTGAACAAATTTCTTTATAACATTTAAATCCTGCGAAGCAGTTCTGGTTTACAGAAAATTCAACGAATGCCACCTAGTAGGCACTAGTCTGAGAATTTCAGAGAATTGTTTCTACAAATAAGTGTTTTATATCTGTTTGCTGACACTGAAAAGTGGCCACAGGTTTTTAGGACAACATTTTCTGTCTCCATATTCAAGTTCTCCACAGCACATTTTGCTATACATATACAATGTAAATATTGCAGTTAGCTTTAACAATCCTTTCATTTAACATAAAAATGTTAGTATATGCAAAATCCTTTATTGCAAAATTACAATTTGCATTACAGCTTACTAAAAAATTCTTAGTATTTCTCACACACTGGAGATCACTATCTGCATTTTCATCTGGATTCTTAAAGTCAATTATATAATTCACTATACTGAATACCATATTAAAATACTGAATACATACCGAGGATGTTTTCTTTTATTTTGTTTCTTTTTTTAAATTAATTTGAAGCTCCAGTATGAAGACAAAAATATAACAGTGGATTCAGATTTTTCCATTCATTCAAAACTACTCTTAATGCCTTTTAAGCAACCATAGTTATAACAACTCAATTTTGTTCCACCACAAGATATTCTTGCAGCTGCTTTGGAACCTTGCTCAATATTTAAATTGTATTTCAAACTACAATCAAGCAATCATGTGATTTATAGGAATGATTGTGTTTAACTTCATAGCATATTTTAGTTATTTTTGAAGCAATTATTTCATCTTTTGTAGAAACAGTTGTCAAGACATTAGGTATTTTTTGAAAGCAGGAGACATGAAAAAATGAGCAATGCCCTCGCTGGGACTCAAACCACGGACCTCTCGAATACACGCCTAGTGTGCTGACCACTTCTCCAGGAAGGCATGCTAAGAAAACGTGAGAAATACCTTATGTACTCCCCTTTTTAAAGGGCGACTGGGGACTAGGGAACCCAATTGCCAAATTCTGGAGGTGGAGAAGCATTATCTATCATCTTTTTTAGTTCAGGTGCCACTGTAGAGACATTGAATTATTTGAAAGCAGGAGAGATGAAAAATGAGCAATGCCCTCACAGGGACTTGAACCACTTCTGTACAGTAACTTCTGTAATATGCGCCAAGTGTGCTGACCATTACACTATGAAGGCAGGAGAAATACCTTGTACAGTTTTCCCAATAAACTTATCAGTTAAAGAGCTGGTTTGGTTTATATGATTATGGCAAAGCAAATGACGGCTATATGCCTATGGGAAGAGATGCTTTCATGGAGGACTTTCTAAAGGAAACTGAATCATATCCACATTACACATGGGGAAAATTCTGTTATCTACTCATTCAACTAACCCATTCACCTGGAATGAATGATTAAACTACCAATATTCAGTAGCTTTGCTACTCGACCAGCAGTCGAGTAGCAAAGCTACTGAATTACAGAATCCTTGAATTACAGAAGTGGATGATAGTCCTTCACTTTTATTTTTATGACAGTCTGATTGCTTATGCTGTAAAATACACATACGTATATCCAATTTAAAAAGTACTTATAATCCGTTTCCCAATTTCGGTTGCATGAACATATTTGCTTGGTCTTTTTCGTTGTTGGTTCTATAATCTGTTTGTGGGAGTAATGGTACTTAATAAAATGAGATGCGATGAACACAAAAAAATACCAAATTAAAAAAGTGAATATTATACATAGGCAGGCACAATGAATATTTTAGACCACATAAATGCAAATGAAACATAAACTAAGTGGACACCAAAAGGGAAGATGCAGCGACTGTTGAGCAGTGTCTCCCAACTGCAAGGTTCTTGTGTATAAAGTAAGGCCACTTATCCTTTTAGTCAATCACACCTCTTGGCATTTGATGACCATTATGGCAGATTAGTCAAATTAAGTCACATATAAGTCAAATTAAGAGAAACTATGACAACTTTTCTTTGGGTTATTATGCTGGGAGAACAGAGAAGAGATTACAGAACAAAGATCGCAGCCAACACTTGTGTTAGCTGCAAACAGCTAGCGAAAAAAAGGCCCCTACTTCTGCCAGCTGTTCAAATAACAATGCCAAATGTCATTATTCAGGCACAAGATAATTTTAATTTCAAAATAAAGGACATTTAGGATTTTTTGTGAACTCAAAGAAGGACAAGGACAGGAAAACTGATTAAAGGACTGTCCTTTTCAAAAAAAGGTTAGCAACTATATTTTTACTTCACAATCTGCGAAGGAAGCTATTGTTAATTATAAAACAGATTCTCTCTCTCTCTCTTTATATATATATAAATTTAATTTTTTAAAAAATATTTTATCCACAGCTACAAACAATCTATTAATGATATTGAATTTTTGAAGAATCTGAATCATGACTTAATTTCATTTATCCACAAATAGCTTCTAGCTAGGTTATCTAAGTAACTAGTAGCTAACTAGGATTTCAGCTGCAATGATTTGAAAATATATTGCGTCTTTTCATATTAAGAGCATATAATCTGTTTCATATCAAATACTACTACTGCTATCCCAGCCACTCTTAATATATGACTATATTTGCACTAATGGGATTACATGTAAGTATTCACTGAACGTTGAAATATGATTTTGAAATTCCCTTTAAAAATTCAAAAAGCAGAAATTAAAGCTTCGTCATGAAGAAATATATTACCATATTAATATATTACGCTATACACAATTTACTGCTGTACAGAAATGGAAAATGAATCAGCTCTGGATCAAAATATATATTTCCTTCATGAAGTTACATAATACTTTGAAAGCAGAATGTCAAAATTCTTAGAAAAATGCATCAAACACTTAAAACTATTTCTTAAAATCTTTTACATATAACTAAGCTTTACAAATACTGGAGACTTATGCCAATTTTTCAGTTTATGATAAATAAAACGAAATAGTTTTAAAAATATTTTTAACTTCTACTTAGAAATTATAAAACATTAGATAGCAAAACATTCAATATTTAATTTTCAGGAATTCATAAAACATCATTTAAAAAAACTTAATTATATGAAGTATTAGCACACATGTTAGAAATTCACATACATTCACGTAATAGTACAAATATTAAGAATTCACAGTATATCATTTTAAGGTTAGATTAAATAAATATGGCAAAACACAACAGGATAATCTGCCTAAGATAAAGGATGCCTTCATGAAGGATTTTCATGAGGAAAACATATTACACATAGGGAAACCAATGATAACCAACCAGCTACAACTAGGACCTTTGCCTGGGGTTGGCCCGGATTGAACTTACATTATTCAGTGACCTTAACTACTTGGCCACTGGTAAGGCATATATCAATTTAAAAATTAAAGTTAATTCAAAATGCATTGACAAAGTTGAATGTGTGATGTGACATAACTTAGAGACATAAAATGCTCAGTACTATTAATAATATTCTTCACAAGTAACATATCAAATCATGACAGATGTAAAGCAATTCATACAAATTTTCACACATTACCTTTATTCGCAATGTGGAATCATCAATGAAAGTCAATATAAGTAGCAAATTCTTTATGTCTCTCGGAAATCCAGATGATGTAGTTCTTTGCAACCTGATTGTTATTTTCTGATTATCTTGTGTCACATTTATTACAGAATAACCATCATAATTAACTGGATAAAAACAATAAGGAGTACCCAAGGCCGGTAAACCGTTGGGGGATTTATTAGGTTCAGCAACAGGCTTATAGCAACAACCTCTTTTTATACATTCACTCTCTGTGACAAGTCCATCAGGAAAACAATTAAATTTTTCCTTATCGGGAATTTTAGAACAGATCGGAGTTTCATGACTTTTCTTGTTAATAAAACGGATTAATCTCTGATTAGCTGTTTTCCAATACAAAAAGGACAGTGATGCAAAACATACACCAAAACCCAAAAGAATTAAAACAGCTATAAAAACATTCAACTTAACAAATCTTTGTCTTCTGGATTCCGGTAGCAGATACCCTGTATCGAAGGGTAATTTTATCATGTTTCTAATTTACTGATACGCGATATATACCGAAAACTCTCATCAGAAGTGACAGACTCGAAGATATATCCTATTTTAAAGCTGTGGTATATCAGTAGGATGATACTACATTGCTAATCATACCACATTCTCATGACAGCAGTCACATGGTAATACTTGTAACTTGTTACATCAAGGATCAAGGATCAAGGAAGTTAATTTACGGAGTGCGCTAGGCTAGGCCTTTAACTCCACATCATCAGAGATAGAATAATTACATCAAAAGAGGGGTTCATCTAATAAGGGAAGATTTTGAAGCCTAATTATAAAAATAAAAGCTTTTCAGATAATGCCTTCCGCATGAGAAAAAAAAAAAAAAAAGGAAAACTCTTAGAAATTCTTTAAATTAAATTTTGTGTTTAAAAAGGGCCAGGAATAAATTTGAGAGAGGAGTCAACATTCAAAAAGTTTTGAAAAGAATAAAAAAAAGGTGCAATACATTTCCTTGATTCTTGATATCAACAGCAAAATAAAATCCTTAGGACAAGCAATCCGGAGAGTTGGGCAAAAAAGGGCTGGGGGGTGAAACCCGTTGGGCGGGTTCTAGTAGCAGTTCAGTGTGATACACTGAAGGAGGAGAAGAAAATTATTGGTCGCTATTTAGTGCGACGTTAAAAGGTCCCCTAAGGGGTCGAAAGCAACCCGTTTAGCGGGTGGGAAGAAGAAGCTTTTAAGAAGCTATTGAGAAATTAAGTGCAGTCGCGTGCGGCTGCGGAGATAGGTTGTCCCTTGTTAAGAAACGTTAGAAGGCTCTTCTTAAAGAGTTAAAGAACAGGATTCCTCCGGTCAATGCCCTTACGCATTGTTAACGCGGGGGCGGTTGGGGTTTAAGAACGAGAGGTAAGCATCCACTTGGGCATCTGTATTCCAATACCGACGCCGTTTAAAAGGTAGTTGAGCATAATCAGGTTGTAAGATTGCTCTGGGTCGCTTTTTAGAAGAGGCAACCGCAGGATCATATACCGGCAGGGTATGTAATACTGGATTTCCAACAAGATGGATGTTTTTTGAAAAATCTTTCCGAAAAGTCGCTGTATAAAGCGATTAATGGGCATAATTTTGAGGTCGTTATGAATGTCATCGTTCCTTATGAACCATGGAGCGTTTAATATCTGCCGTAAAAATTTTGATTGAAAAATTTGGACGTGTTTACGGTTAGTCAGAGCAGCTGAGCCCCAGATGGGACTCGCGTAAGTGAGAATAGGCCTTATGATAGATTTATAAAGCAAGATCTTGTTATCAAGTGACAGGTCGCTATTTTTAGCGAAAAAGGGGCGCAGGTTGGCTTTGACAGCTTCCGCATTCGCAATAATTTTTTGAATGTGAAGTTGCCAAGTTAATTTTGAGTCTAGTAGAACACCAAGGTATTTGTAAGTAGTAACCCAGGGAATAGGTTCACCGAAGAAAATTAGATTATCTAAACGAGGGATGTTTCTTCGGATGAATAAAGTGGCAGCACATTTAGCGACATTAATTTTGATTTTATACAGTCCGAGCCAGAGTTCTAAGGCTGAAAGGTAACTCTGTAATGTAGAGATTACTGTGGTGATGTTGGTATGTTGAGTTAGGATGGCCGTATCGTCTGCATATAAAGCTAAATCGATACTAGGTGCCTTAGGCACGTCGTTGATATAGATATTGAAGAGCAGAGGTGAGACAAGACTGCCCTGAGGACATCCAGCATGGATCGGGCGGGGAGAGGAGAGTTCGTGGTTAACTCGTACGCGGAAGCTTCGTCCGGCTAAGTACGAGCTAATAATTTTAATGATGTGAGCCGGAAAATCCAAGTCGCATGAGCTTGTAAATAAGTCCGTCATGCCAAACCCTGTCAAAGGCTTTAAGCTATGTCAAGATAGACAATTTCAGTATTCTCTCGCTTACGAAAGCCTTCATGAATGAATTCCACTACACGTAGTAACTGGTGTACCGTGGAGTGTTTAGGTCGGAAGCCGAATTGTTCCGGGATGATTAAGTTTTGATCTCGACAGAATTCATTCAGGCGATTAAGTAAGACATATTCATATACTTTTGAGAGTGAGGAAAGCAGACTAATTGGTCTGTAGTTGGACGGGTAAGTTTAGATTTTGCCCCGGTTTTGGAATGGGGACGACCGTTGCAATTTTCCAGCGGTCGGGGGTGGGAAGTAGCTTCTCCTTAGCATAAAATTAATAAGGACCGTTAATCCAAACAATAAACATTACAGGGAAATTTTTAATCATGCGATTAGAGATAGAATCCATGCCTGGAGCTGGAGCCTTGTTGGGTTTCAGTCTATTGATGTATTCCATCAACCTCTTTAGGATCAGTGGGCCTCTAAGTTTCAGGCGTGAAAGGTTGTGTTAAAAACTCTTCAACACGTGAGTGTATGCGCCCTTGAGTAACCGGGCGGTTACAGTAGGCGTCGTTATTAGGAGCGAATTGAGTAGCAAGGCTGTCGGCTAAGACTTCTGCCTTTTCAGTGTCTGTGTAAGCCATCCGTGCGTCATCGGCCGTTTGGAGCGGCGGAATGTGTCTGGATTGTTTGCGTATTCGAGCGGCAGCCCGCCAATCGAATTGTCTTCAGTCGTTAGGGAGCTCTCAATGTAGTGTTTCCACTCCGTCTGTTTGAAGAGACGGGTTTCAGTCCTTATCTCGTTCTGTATTTTGCGAAATTGGGCGCGGATATTGGGATCACGCGACCTTTGCCAAAGTTTTCGCAAAAAGTTCCGCTGCTTAATTTTGGATTTAGTCTCAGGTGGGAGTCTGACACCCCGGATAGAAAATTGGTTTTGAAGCCGCAGCTCTCGCTTCTTTGAGAATGGACTCCAAATTTAGTAAACACCTGTCAAAATCCGAATTGCTGGGTAATTTTGATAGGGGGGTAGCAGTTACAGTACGTTCCAAGATAAAATCTAAAGTCGTCCCAATTTGTAGAGAGACTTGCTCCTGTAATTTTTGAGGTAACGATTTTGGATATCTAGGGTGATCAAAAACTGGAGTGATCAGAGTCAAGGTCTTGAATCACTTTTATTTCGTGTCTAAAATTGACATTATAAAAGGCAGCCAGATCAAGAACTGCAGGGGACCTCTAACAGGGTAGTAAGTCGGGAGGGTAGGGCTATGATCTGTATATGGTTTTCTCTGGCACCATGAATTTAGATTAATGCCATACCTGTTCCTGTTAGGGCAAAACCATGCGGTATGACGTGCATTTAGGTCACCAGCAATAATTAGATGATTTGATAATGATAAAAGTTTATCAAAATCACTGACAGGAAAAGTACCTCTTCCACGTGCAGTTGATAGTGGAGGCAGGTACGCCGAGATGACTGTTAGTGGAGGAAAATTTTGATAACTGTCGCTTCCAAAATACTTAAATCAGGAGGGGGTATCATGGTAGATACAGGTGCCACCACTTGCACGCCTGGCTAATGACACCCGTCAGTCGAGTACATGTCATAATTCCCAATTTTGGGAGTTTTTCCCTGGGGAAGGTGAGTCTCTTGGACTAATAACACGTCAAGATCGTGCTCTACAATAAAGTCTTTGACCTTCATCGATCTTACTGATGAGGCCGTTTACATTCCATGTACACATGGTAAGTTCCCTGTTGGTAATTGAACTTTGTCTTGAACAGTTGAATTTAAGGCCGTTGTTACAGCTCTGAAAAACTGAAGACACGGGTCTAAAATAGCCAAGAAATCCTAATTTGAAAGCATAACATAGCTTTCATAAATTAGGAGGGCCCTCGTAAGAGCGTCTGCCTGCCCAAGCTTTGGCAGGGCCCTTTGGAAGGTTGTAGTAGATATGCCTATCTACCGCAGGATCGCGTGAGATTTCAATTAGGCATTTTAAAGTAGAGGAGAAAACATCCTCTGAGTCTCCACTTTCTACTTGGGTAACCGGGGGAGCTATTTGAGGCACATTCGCCATAACCGCCGGATTTGGACCCTGATTTTTGGGTCGGGGCTCTGTAGTCCTTTACCTAGGGTCGCTGCATAAGACAGCGAGCTGTGGTTTTAAGTTGCCCGTCACAGTTGCTGGTTGTACAGCTTTTGCTGGGGTGTTTTGTAGTTCCCTGAGGGGGGGGCTGCAGGAAGCAGCTGCCCTAGGGGCATTCTTTGAGCTCTTTTTGTTATTACCTGGGTAACGAGGACAAGATTTAAAGGACGCTGGAGACTACCTCCACGTGCAGCAGAAGAGGTGTCGTCACTTATGTGATTTTGCCCGGCGGGCCAGCGCTCACACAACGGATGTTAGGGCAAGTTCAGAGGAGGAAAAAATCCTTGGCACTAAAGATGATGGCCTTTACGGCCTCGTAGCTCAATTGACTCACGCCCACATATCGGTACACTGACAGTCGGTCACAAAGTATTCGAACACCGGTACCCTATCAGAAAATGACAAGATGGCGTTTTTTTTTCTCTTTCTCTCTGTGTGTCGTGTTATTCCATCCTAGGTTTTCTTCTCCCCCCCATCTTGGAAAAAACTGGAAAAAATTGGTTACGATCTCTTTTTGAATGGGGAGATGCCATTTTGAGAAAAAGCTGACGACCCTATCTTGGAGAATGAACATGACCGCTCTACACACCCTTTTACTCTCTCTCTCTCTCTTTGAATTGGGAAGCCATTTTGGGAAAAAGCAGACGACCCTATCTTGGAGAATGGAAATGAACGCCTCTCCCTCTCTCTTTGAAATGGGAAGCCATTTTGGGACCCTCTATTCTTGGGGAGGGAGAAAACTGAAGTCTGCATTTCGCTGTCTCTGAATGCGGAAAGCCCTTTTGGGAAAAGCGGACCCTCTTCTTCTGATCTTGGAGAACTGGAAATGAACGCTCTACACGATCTCTCTTTGAATTCAGAAGGTATTTTGGGACCTTCTAATGTTGGAAAACTGAAATGAACGCTCTACACCTTCTCTCTCTCTCTCTCTTTCTCTGAAATGGGTAGCCATTTGAAAACTCCCTAACTTTGGAAAAAAACAGAAATGAACGCTCTACACCATCTCTCTTTGAAAATGGGGGGGGGGTCATTTTGAGACCTCCCTCCCCTAAACTTGAAAAAAAAAAAACTGAAATGAATGCTCTACACTTTCTCTCTTTGGACATGGGTAGCCCTTTGGGGACCCTCTCCTCTTGGTAGAAAAAAAAAGAACTGAAGTGAAGGCTCTACACAATCTCTCTTGGAATGGGATCCATATTT